GTCTGAAAGATGAAACATACATCTTATGGAACACACCATAAGAGCCAGGTAACACATGAGTCTGCAGTTGTTCATTTGAACATAGTGTTTTTTTTTCCTGACTTAGGACAACATCTGATCACAGCATTGGCAGAATCCATGTTTGGATACAAGACCACGTCATGGTACTGCACATTCACACTGGTGACTGCTCTTTGGACAGAATGAAAACTTGAGTATGAATTTCTGTGGGGTTTGTTTTCAGGGAGCTGGGGCGTCAGAGGAGTAACATCGAGCTGGACACTCCCTGTATGAAGCCAGCTGAGGTGCAGGCTCTGGAGGAAGCTGTGAACGACAAGATCAGAGCTCATGTTCCTGTTAATGTCCAACTTCTCAACGTGGAAGATCTTACTGTAGAAGAGGTGTGTGTGTGAGTGTGTGTGTGTGTCTAAAGGCGTGGGGTAAAAGTGTGTTTAACAACTTCTCATGGTCCTGTCTGTGTGTGATAAAGGTGAGGAGTCGGGGTTTACCAGGGGACCACGCAGGACCCATTCGGATCATCAACATCGAGGGCATCGACGTCAACACCTGCTGTGGGACTCATGTTTCTAACCTCAGTCATTTACAGGTAGGCCTTCACAGTTATCTCCTCACTTAGTTTTGGCAGAGATCGACTTCTCAGTCATTTATTTTAACATTTATTAAGTTGTTTATTTTGTAATTCTTTTGGAAATCATTTTCTTATTTAAGCTGCTTTGACCAACAGTTGAACTTAGATATGTTAATCCTTAGAGACTATATGTTAGGTTCAAAGATGTTAGATGGCATTAAGTCAGTTTTTTTCTTTTTTTCCCTTAACTTTCTTAACTTATCAAATAATTCCTCATGATAACTCTGATTCCAGGTAATAAAGTTTTTGGGAACTGAGAAAGGAAAGAAAAACAAAACCAACCTGATCTTCCTGACAGGGAACAGGGTTCTGAAGTACGCAGAGAAGAGCTTCACCACGGAGCGGTCACTGGTGTCTCTGCTGAAGTGAGGACAGATGTTTTGTTTGTTTTTTTTTTTACAATTTTTCCATATTTCACATTTTTAACTAAATGTCACTAAATGTTTGAACAGAACTGGACCTGATGAGCATGTGGAGGCCGTTGACAAGCTGCAGAAATCCGTGAAGCTGCTCCAGAAAGTCAGTCTCTCTTCATGATGTTCTTTTTCCTACTAGTCACCAGAAGATGGCGCCTGTGTGTAGTTGTAAATGGTTCTTAAACCTCTATCATTTTGTCCTGGCAGACTAACCTCACTCTGCTCAGGGACCTGGCGGTGCTCATCGCTCAGAACTTTAAAAATGACCCAGAGAGAGGAAACTTCTTCAGTTTCCACAAGTGAGAAAACTTCCACGTCACTCCTACAACTCCGACTGATCATCTGATCTGAAGCTGAACCAATAAGAACATGTGTTTTTGTTCTTCTTCCTCTTCTAGAAAAGAAGGTGATAACGAGTTCATGAACATCATCGCCAATGAACTGGCCACTGAGGTAAGACCAGACCCAGAACCAGAGACTGTAGAGAGGAAATGGACACATTTGTAAAAAAAAGTTCTTGAAAAACAATTTATGAAAATAAAAGCCTAAGATTGTAAACAGGATTTCAATTATATTTTTCCAAGCTTCTTATTTCAGTTTTCCTTGATTATTTTTTAAACATCATATAGTCAAAAGTATTTTTCTGATAAAATACTATTCTATTATTTTTATTTTAAGTTTTTTGCTGGATAGCCTGCCCTCTTGTGGCGATGTTCTGCTACTGCTGTAAAGGAGACATTTTTTTTCACTCATCTTTTGATGTACTATTGTAACCTTTGACCTCTGTCTTGTTTTATTAACTTTTTAGCGTGATTTTTTTTTTCTGCCTTCAGGAAACTCTGGTCTTCCTCACCGTGGGTGAAGATAAAGGACCAGGTCTGTTTTTATTGGCTGGACCTGTCGGACTGGTGCCTGAGATGGGCCCAAGGTAAAGAGCCCGGTGCTCCTCCCGGCACTCTCACCACCAGTATCAACATACAGTGATACATTCTCTGTGTTCTACAGGGTTCTGGAGATGCTCCAGGGAAAAGGAGCCGGAAAGAACGGACGTTTCCAGGGCAAAGTCAACAGTCTGGCTCGGAGACCAGAGGTGGAGACGTTTCTGCAGCAGCACTGCAAACATCACACATCTGAGGAGGAATAAAACCTGCAGCTCCACAAGCACACTGAAGTGAAGATAATCATGTGGGGAAGTTGGACTTTGGTAAAAATCTGTGCTGTAAATATTTAAATATTAAATGTCCATAAATCTTTTCTATGATCATGCACTACCAGTCTGTCTCATGGACAGTTAGAAAAATGACTAAAAATCACAGACATCGACATGTGTCACCTAAATTCATAGAATAAAATACTGCAGTTTTAAGGCCTGCTGTAAATTGACTTTTCAATATTGTGTAAAGTCTTCCTCGATAACCACGTCCACCGTTGTTCACTACATCATATTCACATTACCATACACACTGCATTAATCTCAGTCTAAAAGTTACCCAGAAAACATTGCGGTAACTGAAACAGCTAAAAAAAAGCTTAGCAAAAAAGAATAAGGAAATTATAAGGTAATCAAAGAGTCCATTAGAAAGTCAACCAAAACAGTTCAAAGAATCGCAAGGAGTTGAACCCCTGACCTATAGGTTAAAGGACGTCCCACTGCACTTAGTACCTAAACACAAGTGTATTTTTCCCCAATGAGGATAAGGATCCAACCCCTGGTAAACACATGGTTTAATTTGTTCTCTGACATAAAAAGACTCAGGTGTTGATCGAAGAGCTGGTTGAAAAACAGTGAAAAGTGTAAATACATCAGATTAAACAGTCCTATAATAAAGTGTCCGACACTTGCTTTGCATACATATGACAACAAAGAAAAAGGCATATTCTGGTGTTTTTTTCTTGTTTTTTTTAGTGATGTGCTGAGATTAAAGGTCGTTTAGGTGAAGATAAATGACGTCCAGTTTCAGACACGGTGATGAAAAGAGTCAAAGTTCAACTGTGCCCTCAGTGTGTTGGTGATTAGAATTAAGTCGTTACAGTGCAAATGTGCAAGAAGACCCCCGCCCCCCAGCCCTTGGCCCCCTTTAAAAAGACTAATAAAGGCTTTACAGATGTGTGTTCCAGTTGGTCCGGTGGTTACTGCAGAGGCCTCACAATCTTCATGGAGATGTAGTTCTGAGGAAGAAAGAAAAGAATAATTATGTTGAAGGAACTCTCCAGGTAAAACACAGCGTTACAGTTTCCTGTTCTTACCGGTAGAGAGTAGAGGAGGATAGCGAGGAAGAGAACCACGATGACGAGGAGGATGAGAGCGATGAAGATGCACCTGAACCTCCTCCACACTATGAACTTCATGGTCTTACATGGGTTGGTGAACCAGAAGAACGAAGTTTCTGGGCGACTGGTGGTGATGATGAAGGAATAAAAAAAACAACAAAAACAGGTGGGCCGTTATCTAACAGTTATAAACCAAGTCATAAACAGACTCAGACATTTGCAAAACAACACCATGTAATGTAAAAATAAAGACAAAAGAAAAGCCTTAAATTAGTTTAAAGGCTCAACATAGTCTTACTTTGGAGGATCTAGTTTTGGGTTCATGTTTGGTTCATCTCTGCCCTTTCCTGCAGGTCTTTCATCAACAACTGTTTCACTTACGATCTCCAGCGTCATCTCCACTTTACCCTGCAAAAAAAACCCAGACACACACACACACACACACACACACACACACACACACACACACACACACACACACACACAGGTGTGAAGAAGGCTGAAGAAGGCTCAGGGCAGCAGAAACAGCTGTCCACTGTCGACTGCCCCTCCCTTCATCTACTCACACCCAGGGCCCTCTGTCCGTCCTTTTCGATGGAGCAGGGCCACCAGCCTCTGACTGACTGCTGTGCGAACAGAGACTTGGCGCTCTTCAGCTTGCGTGAAACATTCAAATCCAAGATGTTCATCATTTCCAGAGAACACTTCTCTGGGGTTTTAGCAGGAGGAACCACGTCCCGGAGATCCAGTTCCAGAGTTCCTGAGATCACAGAGAGTCAGCTTTGAGTCTGGTTCCAGGTTCCAGGCCAAACAGTGTCACAGTTCATCAGTTCACCTCAGAGTTGGTGTCTTACCCAGGTAGTCATCCAAGGAAAATTTGTCGTTGTCCCATATTTGGACAATGAGCTTTGGTGGAATTCTGAACTCGGTCTTGTCAAGACTCCAGAAGTGTTCCTGTTGAAGGTAGAACATGTTTTCAATGAGTTCCAGACTAAATGTGTTTCAGTAATGTTTGTTTTCACCAGCCTACAGCTATTTCTGCTGATGAACATTCACTGTGTTGCTACATCCATAAACACAACACCCACTGGTCCACAGAGCTCACCTTACGGGACACCAGGCAGAGCTGCTCAGCAGGCAGAAAGTCAAAGTCAAAGACGAACCTCCAGTTGAAGTTACCGTCTCCGTCGAGGGACCTGTAGTGGACGTCGGTCTTCTGCTTGTCCTCCTCCATTCCTGGCATCCACCTGGAACATGGAGACAAATAAAAAAGATCACCTTTAAAACCAAATTTACATCAAATCATTATAAAGTTACATAGTATAAAGAAGCTGCTGGCAGCACTGATGGGCCGTCATCAACCAGTGGTGGTTTCAACATCAGGTCGGCGGCCCAGCTTGTGTCAGAGGTGTAAGACAATTAATCCTACCCTTTGACATAGATGTCGCTCATCTGTTCTCCTGTGATGCTGGTCTCGTCCAGTGTCACGTCAGTGGTGTTCCAGATGACCACTCTGAGGAAATACCTGTACGTTCAAACACACTGGGTGTTAGCACTGAGAAGCAGCTGAAGTGTTGAGATACTCCATCATCATCATCATCATCATCATCATCTTCAGGTCATTTCCACAGAGGATTAGCCTCCAGAACATTTTATTTTTTTGTTCATTAGCAGTTTCCTGAACCAAGTCCAGCTGCAACATCTGGCCTCCCGAGCCTGCACCGTACTCACTTCTTGGCCTTGCGTGGTGTGATGTCAAAGGGGGGACCGGGGAGACCCATGCTTTTGGGGAAAACATCCACCCACATTTGAAGTTTTCCCTGAAAACAGCAGAGAAACCCTTAGGTTAGTCAGTGTTGGTGGTGGAGTGGATGCAGACGATCGATGTTCTGGAACTGAACCTGGGAAAGATTTGGCTGGAAGCTGCTGTAAAGAGTTCTGGTCTCCACGTGTTCTGGTACCAGTCCCTGCTTCAGGAGCACGTGGAGACACAGTCGTTCTTTGGCCGGACCCAGGTGCTGGTGGACTTCCTTGTTGTTTTCTGGATGATGGTGACAAACAGGGCACAGAGATGAAGCATTGGCTTTTTGTTAAAGGAATTTCTTTCACATTTTTTCCATTCATCTGAGATCTGGAAAGTTTGAGGAATGAGAAACAAATAGAAGTGAATGTTCTGCTACATTTTGGATAAAAAAAACAAGCAATCAAAAAAATAACAGTCACACTGGCTAAAGGTTAGATATGAAGAAGAACTATCAGCTTCAAGATAAAAATCGAAAAGAATAAAAGACAAATGTTAACCTTATACAAAGACTACAGACACGGCTACAAATTAGCCATGCATTACCATCAAACATCTAACCAATCATTTAACTTATGAATTAGCTACAATTAATAACAAGGTCAGAACTAGATCATTATTTGCCAAGAGATATAAAAATGTAAAAAACGTAAAGTTTGCTAGAATATTGACTATATTATTTGATAAAAATGTTAAAACGTACGTCTACCAGAAAGGACACATCTCAAGCCACTCTGTAGGTGATTTAACAGTCAGGTCTAAACTGTTCTCTAATTTTTTTCACCTTAAACATTTTTCTAACGTGCTACCAAAGACGTCCAGAACCATCAAAGTCTCAGAGTCATTACCAAACTCAGCTAGGGTGTAGTCTCTGCCGTTGAAGGTGAGTGAGGTCCCATTGTCCTCAGTCCTGGGTTTGGACAGACCTTTGAGACGGGCCATGTTCTCCAGGATCTCCGACGGCTTCAGCTGGTCCCTCCACTGGTTGACACCAGAACTGAGAGAGAAAAAGAGAGAGAGAGAGAGAGAGAGAGAGAGAGGGTGAGGTTTCCCCAAAGCTTTCCCCAAAGATCCTGCTTCATTGACATTTCTTACATGCAGTAGGTTTGTGGCAGACCACAGTAGGAGTTATATCTGGACAGGAATCTGTTCTCCAGGTCGATCACTGTCTCGCCCACCTTCTCGTCACGGGTCAGGAGGTCGTAGTCATAGACTGAGATCTTCAGGTCTTTGTCCTGGGGCAGGAAACAGGTCATCTCAAACATCCTGGACAAACAGAGGAGAGAGACGGTCTGACTGTACATCAATGATATTATCACTGATACTAGACGTGTTAAGGTGCCTTCTGCATTTTACCTTATAGATGTAGGGTGTATAGAGTAGATGTAGGATGTACAGTATAGTGTAGATGTAGGATGTATAGAGTGGACGTAGGATGTATAGTGTAGATATAGGATGTATGGTGTAGATATAGGATGTATGGTGTAGATATAGGATGTATGGAGCAGCCCATTGGGTCACAGGTACCTTCCAAAGACGGGGCAGATGGTGTTTGGTAGGTAATGGTCTCGGTCGTCAACGGTGTTCCGTCCCAGTGAAATCTTAATGTATGGATCACACTGGAGAAAAGAAAACCAGACTAGTTTTACATACAGTTGTTGTTCAACGTGATATTTCTCTACTGTCGTCACAGATTTGTCCTCACTCTGCCGTTGTTATCTTTGGGTTGCAGATCTATGCCCCGGACCACATAGAGCCTGACCAGACACTCCTGTGGACCACTGTCCGGCAGCTCCCTGAACTGTCTGGGGGGGGCAATTACACCGGGGTCGTCAGACAGAGGGTACACCTTAAATGAGCCCTGTGGGTGGCGGTAGAGAGCAGGAGTGTCAGGCAGTTAGCAAACAAAAAAAAGCTAACTTGTAATAGCTAAATGTAAAGTCAAAGGCAGCAGAAAAACACAAGTGTCATGTAACAACTCCAAGAACGATACCTTAAACTCTCCAACAACTGTGGGGTCGTCTTCATTGTTTTCATTCTTCCCTCTCTCCAGTTTGAATGTGTTGCAGAAATCCGTCAGTCCTTTATATTCTGGGACGCTCTCCAGTTCACAGTCGTACACCTGAACACACACAACTTCTCAGAGAAGCAGCAGGAAATACAGCGCCATCTACGACATGCAGCTTATACATGGGACCAGGCCTATGACAGAGCCACCCACTTTGAGGGTGTCGTATCCTTTCTTTATGTATGGACCACATTTCTCCTTTTCGCCGATCGAAGCGTAGAACTTGCTCCACCAGTCCACCGTCTCCTTCTCCTGGAGGTGAAAAACATTTTCTTTAATGGTGTCTTATTCGTTTGATGAGCTTGAAGGAATGTAGTCACATTTCTAGTGGTTTATTTTCTCACCTTTTCTGCAATCTGTAGAAAAGACACAGAAACAGAACAGTCATGTTGGATAAACAGAAACAGTTACTACAGATACTACAACAGTCCAAATACTGTATTATATAAAAGGAGAAAAAGTGAATCATGGTGGAGTGAGAGAAGAGATGGTGAAGAGATTTCCGTGGATATTTAGGTGACATCAGTAAGGAGCATAACATTGGGAAGTCCTTAGCAACTTTAGCTGTCTGGTCTTGTACTGCGTCTGAGTTACATCGGCAGTCACTTTATTTCCTATTTTCCAATGTTTTCACAGTAGTCTTGAATTGTAAGGGTAAGACAAACGTCGTCAAAACATAAATTAAAATGTCACTGAGGTTTGTTTTCTTTTAAAGATTTCACTTAAAAAATGATTTAAGATTTCTTCTTAAATCATTTTTTGTAGTTTAGTCGAGGGAAATCTCTTAGGTATACTTGATGGTATACTCAAAGTTTGAAATCTTTTTGGACAAAATTGTATTCATTTTAGCTAGTTTAACAGCCTTTAGCCAGTTCTTGGAGTGTTGTTGTTGACACAGTTACCCACACATAATCTTTGGCATCATCTAAATGACAATTACCTTCTATTCTATGTAATGTTTAAGCTCATTTTAATCTATTTTCTAGCATCTGTCATTTTCTATGTTACTGTGGCCTGGAGCTTTATTTTTAACCATTCCAATGTCATGCTCCTATCAGGAAAAGGAAATTTGTGACATTATTTCTGTCATTTTAATGAGATAACTGCAGAGCCTGACGCAGCGCTGATCATTACAGTGATCTCAGCCATTCAGTGTCATTGGTGCCCAGCTGTGTGAGGGTCAAAGCTTATTGAAATACGTCGTCATACATACAAAGTGGGACAAGGTGGGAGAAGCCATTTTGTTGACAGCAGCTGACATGCTGTACATGAACTGTAGGCCAGAGTAATACAATTTGACTGAGGCGTTAAAACTCTGCATCTTCTGAACAGATGCAGAACTCAGACATGACAGAGAGACCAATGGACAAACAACTGACAATGTTAAAACAAACAAACAAACAAACAGAATCAGTGACATCATTACCTCAGCTTCCAGCAGTGGTCTGCACTCCTCCATGTTGATAGAGATGTAATTCTTTGGGGATGACATCATCAGGGCCACTGTCAGGGATGAGACCAGGTCAGAATAAAGAAATAAAGATGTGCTTCACACCTACAGTTGACACAGTGTCAGGAACCTGCTGTTACTGCGTCTCATGTCTCCATACAGGCAAAATCTTTAGTAATATTCAGGTATTATTGTTCACTTTATTCATTCATTTCAAGTAGTATTTTTTACGTGCTCAGAAAATATAAAAGCTACATGGCCGGCCCCCATTTAGGTTCCATAGTGTTGCAGTTATCGCACCTGTTCACACATTGTACAAGGACCTCGGTTTGAGCCCCAGACGAACCACATACTTGGCGCCTCCTGTTGGGCAGTCTGTTGCAGCAGATCTGCTGCTAACACAACAATTGTCCCAGTGTCGAATCAATAAAGTTGATAAAATTACAAAAAAGTAAATACTTTTAGAAGCCATGGCGCCGTCTGCAGTGATGATGTTTGGGTCACATCTGAACTCCTCCAAGGAAGAGATGGTGCACTGGCCGACTACAGGCTTCCGACCAAAGGGACGATGATCGATGATCTTCAGGACGATGGGGGGTGTGTACATCTCATCTTTGGGCAGGAGCTGGACAAAGAATTATAAACCAAATTCTTTTTGCTTCATTCCTACTCATATGGAGACTGTGCTTGTTTCTCCTTGACGTTACCACTTTGATGAAGAGAACAGAGCTGGGGAAGTTAGGGCTCTTCTTCATGTTCTTGATGACGGCGGACTCCACCCGCTGACCTCCACACTCCACCACCAGGCTGGGAGAATTCACTGAGGCTAACTGGTAAGGCTTCATGTTCCTCAGACCCCAGGCCAGAATCTCCACAGCTGTGAGCTGCACCACGGGCCGGATTCCCTGTGGAACCATGTAGAGGTTTTCCGCTCTCTTTGGAGGAACCAAGGGAAGGTCGGTCTCACCAGACTAGAGGAACAAGAACAGACCAGTTATTAGTCTTTTATGACAAGTCACAGTATTAGCTTATATATACACAACTTAGCGGACCAAAGAAACTGAGGTAAATACACGTTAAATAACATATTCTGAGTCATTAAATATTATTATATTATAAACGTTAAACATTATCCTCCCAAACATAGACAGCCATAAGTTTCAGTGTCTCCCCCTGACAGACCTTGTCCTTAAGGATGAGCTCAGCAGCCAGCAGAGCCTCTCCTGCCTTCTGACCCCTCTGGATGATGGAATGCCACAGCAGCTTCGGCGTCTGGTCCATGCTGCTACTCAGCTTCACCATTGGGACACAGATGGTGCGTCCTAGCATCTCATCCTTCCCCTGAAAGGAGGAAAATATGACACGATCATTTAAAGTCTGAAGACTGTCCAGTGATGTACAGCAGTCTCAAAACTAAACTAAAATAGCAAATTACAAAGGTTTCTAACCTGTGATCTTCCTGTTAAAAGGCCGATCTGCCCCCATTTAGAGAAAATAACGGTATATGATCTGGACTCACCACTTGGTCATGGTCATAGAATTCCACCACGACATCAGGAGGATGCTGAGCGATGTGCTGAGGGTCTCCGTGAATCTCCACGTCGTTGAAGATCAGGGTCTGGTCCCAGGTCGGGTTCAGTGTCGCCTGCAGCTTCTCTGTTGTCTTACTGACGTGGAGGAAGGAGATGTGTGCATACGGGTCTGTGACACAGGTTGGAATAAATGTGGAGGATTAACAATAAAAAAAGATTCAATTATCATTTGACATTTAACTGTTGACAACAAAGTCTCACCTGAAAAACTGTCCTTGTCCATAGACATCAGGTTCCTCGCCTGGTAGATGTAGACACGGAGGTGGTAGATGTACGACTCTGGAACAAGAAGGAAAACATTAGTCCAAAAAAAACTGTGGTGCCAATAGGTTCATTTTTTGAAACTTCAACCAACATTTATCAGACAAAAGTAACAGTGATTGAATGTTCATAAAAATATAAAGACAATTAATTAATTAATTAATTAATTGAACGGTTTAAATGATTCTTTAGCCATGTTTTAGCAGCTTCCTGGAACTTGCTTTCATTTGCTGTAACATATAGTTATCATGTGTGTAATTTTAGCTTAGCTTTTGACTAAAACACTACCTCTTCTGTAATCTATTGTAGCTTTTGATTACCTTATTTGGCTAATTATTTACTTTAATTTTTTTTTCTTCTCTTTCCTCATGCTACGCTAATCTTTAGCCACTCCTGGGTCCTGGAAGTTAGGCACCAATTGTCTTTTGAACTTATCTGTTATATTTTATATATGTTACTATTTTATATGATTATGTTAAATGGTTGTTTGTCAGACTATGATGTTTTGCATCACTCACTGTCAAAGGTACAGGATACAGTGGGTGTGTTGGCACCAAACAGCTTGGAGGCATCCGTCTTAGAGTCTTTCTCCTTTTCCTCAGTATCGACTCCCTGCAGCAAAAACCAAACACACACTCCTTACTTCCTCACCATGATTCACACAGAACCACACCACTGTGGATGTGTTTATTACGTGAGTCAATATTTGTCTTGTTCACTGATGGATGATGTGCTTCTCTTGCATGACAGCTTATTTGTCAAAGGACGGACAACTATGGGAAACCAGACCTCATCTTTTTTATCATTGTATTTTTACTCACTAGTGCCCCCTCCAGTTTGAAGATGGCAGACGCTCCGAGTCGGTCCTCGGGTCCCATCTTTCTCCTCCAGCGCCTGCGCCTAAACGTATCAGATGAGCGCTCTTTCCTGTGGAACTTCCAGCCAATCAGAGAGGAGAACTCCCATCCTTCAGGATCTCCCTGATCCTGTCTCTGTGTTAGAAAGAAAAACACGCAGAAACAACTGTTTTGGATCATGTTCCTTGAAAAATAAAATCCTCCATGATGCTACAGCCTTATCACCCGCTGACCTCCTTAGGTGTTCCTGCAGGAGGCGCTGCTCTCCTGCGGGGCCTGACCAGTCTTCTCCTGCGGTGGACGTGGTAGACCTTCTCTGTGGGAACCCAGGAGCGAGGCTTGTCATCTGGGGGGATGGTCACTCCGTACTCCCAACCTGGAGGCACAAACATGATCACTTTTTTTTCCTTTCATTTTTTTTAAAGAAAAATATGAATTTCAATTTTTAGTGTCTCTAAAATCAAATTATTTTTTGTTCAATTTAATTTCATTTAGTTAATGAATATAATCTTCACTCCATATAGTACCATGTAAAACATTACAATCTTTTTGTTCAATTTAATTTAGTTAATGAATATAATCTTCACTTCATATAGTACCATGTAAAACATTACAATACATAAAAAGGAAACAACATTTTCATCAGCGAGCTGACATGTTTTGGGGTGTAGCCTCCATTATGACATATTCTGCATCAAAGCTGGTCCTGAAAGGTTTCAACATAAGGTTCACGACCCATAGAGGGTGCTCTGAGATCATTTTAGGTTGATCAGACATTACAGACATTATTAGACATAAACAAACTAAAGACGCAGATCTTCCTGGACCTTGATCATCCACTGCTCTGTTGTCGTCTACGGTCCACTCGTCCTCCCAGGTCCAACCTGGTGGACAGTCAAACTCCCCTGGGTTACGGCTCTTTTCTCCATTCTGTAACAGAAACAAAAATCTAACTTTACAATGGTGTTTTTTTACATTATTACTGAGTATAATAGCTAATGAGCTAATCTCTTAACTGACCAATAAGAACAAGTACACATTGTGTGTGTGTCGCACTTATGAGTGTGTGATATTTAAAGCCTTCATTTGAACAGGTCTTGTTCTCACCACGTCAGTGAAAGGCTCGGAGGCCGACTTCCACTCTCCCCCGGGGAAACGAGTCTCATTTTGGAAAACCTCATCCATGAACTCCGTGTGTCCTGCGTCTGCCTCAGTCAGCAGACTGAAACACAGGGTCAGACATGTTGTATGAAATGTGAGGTAAACAGTAAAACGTGAAAGAAACATTGTTTTCATCAGCTCCATTTATGAAATCAACACCTGGGTTTAATCATTTTAGGTCACAAGAGTTTGTTGAAGCTGCTTTGGAATTAGAACATGTGTGTATATAACACACACTTTTTACACATTTTACAAAGGTATTAAAACTCAAGTCTAAATCGTGAAAAAAACTTTAAATGTTCAGTTAAAACTCAGTCACTGAAAAAACATTTTGAGTCAAGTCTGAAATGTGTCTGAATAGTTTTGAAACCAAGTGGATTCCACTGAATTTTCTTCTGTTAGTCAGACTTTATTAGTACCATTCCAAGTCCAATTCACTGAAGGAACATTTTAAGGTCAAATCTAAACCAAGTCTCCAGACTTCTGAGTCCAGGTCCAGGTCCAGTCAGATCTTTGACTCAAGTTGTTCAAGTTGAGTCAAAGTTGAGTCAAAACTCTGGGACTTGGGAATAAGAATAACACTTGTTAAAAATAATAATAATAATAAGATCCAAAGACTAAAGACTTTCATTTGATTTTTCGTTCTCTTGACACATTCACATCTTTTATGGTTCCACGGCCTGTAAAAATCTGATGTCCGTGTAGAAAACGGAACAGATTTTCAGGATAAAACTAACCCAGTTTTAGAACAGCGTCTGTTCTAAAACTAAGGCAGATTAGGAAGGTCAGAGGAAACCACTTCCAGCTCACTGGCTCAGTTCATGTCATGAAAATCATCTCACATGGCATGAGAGGAATGTAAACAGCACAGAGCTCTTGACTGAGGCCAACACTGGAAGCACACATCCAAACATGGTAACCAGAAGTGGAGTTTATGTTTAGACTAATGAAACTCTGTCCAGCAGTGTCATTGTGTGTACATGTGTATGTGTGTGTTTGCCAAAATTTAAATAGCTGAAAAAGCTTTGGTTGGTTTAGAGAAAAGACTCACGCCTTCTCTGGGTCGATGAACCACTGCTCTTCCCACGCCCATCCTCTGGGGGGCATAAAGTACTCCTGTTTGAGCTTCAGTTTGCCCGTGACGTCTGAATATTTGTGGCGTCCCACCAGTCCTGTGGTCCCCCACTTCCCAAACACTCTGGCCTGGTTCTCATACTGTGATGCCAAGTAGATCATGCAGATTTTTGTCCGTTACAAAACACAGACAGGATCAAATCATTAAACACAGGATTTTTAGTTTTGTTCTACAGGTCATACCAGCTCTGCGAACACACTGAAGGTTCCCTCAGAGAAGGAGTTGTACTTCTTTTCATGGGCAGACAGACCCAGCCACATGTTGACTCTGGTCTGCACCGGAACCTTCTGTCCTTTCTCCTTGTCCATCGGATACTGAGTAAAAAAAAAAGAGATTAAGAAAATGAGTTCATGAAGAGTTCAGGTTAAATAAACATGAGATTCTGTGTTTTTTTGGTAATACTTCTGTACCTTTAAGAAGATGGTCTGAGTTTTACCACAGTGTTGTCCACAGGCCTGTTCGCTGTAGGTTGAAAACAGGATTTGATGAGCTGGGATCCGACTGTACGCCACTCTCTTCTCACCTCGGAGCATCCAGATTATCACGTCAGGCAAACTGTTCTGGGGCTGGACATAAACGTGATATGAGTACACCGGCTGGTACTACCAGGTAAAACCATTTAAGAAGTACACACACCATGGAGACTTCTCAATGGTTTAAAAGTAAACAAATTTACACACTGATATAAAGTCTATGTTTATAAAACCTTGGTCCGTTATTTAAAAGCTCTTAATTTTTTAACCTTGTAAAAGCACCAGTGTTTGTACCTCCTCAGCCAACAGTCTCAGTTTCTCTGCCCAGGCCTCGATGTCAGGGAGGGTGTCTCTGATCTCCATGGCCTCCTCTCTCATGTTCCTGGCTCCCTGTCTGATGGAGGCTAAAGTGCTGTCTCGTAGCTTCTTAATCTGGATGTCCAGAGAGGTCAGGTTGGAGCGACCCTCCAGCTCTGGCATTGGTAAACTGGAGAAGAGACAAGCTGTAGTTTAGGTCTGTTGCAATCATCCGAGAATGTTTTTAAAAATATACCAGGGTCAGAAATTAGCCGAATGTGCAGGAAATGTCATTATTATATTAGTGAACATGACATAACTGAGTAATTTTATGTCATTATTCTACGTCAAAGTCCTTTTCACGCTGACAACCTTAACATAGAAATTAAATACTATTTAGTGAAATATCCCTGTATTCCTGCGGAGTGGGCTGGAGGGTGGGGGGGGTAGAGGTTCTCTCTTCACCTCTCCAGATCCTCTATCAGCTGGTTGAGTAACTTCAGCCACACCTCGACCAGTTGGTTGTCTGTGACTTTGGCAGAGATGGCGGTTTTAAAGGCCTCCAGGTTGGATTGCTGTAACAACAGAAGAATGTGGATGAGGCTTTCACCCATCTTCACGATCAGACTCGTGCTGTAACATGAACTTGCATGCTTTAAAACTTTAATAGACTGTAATTTCAGACCCTGAAAGGCTAGGGACATCAATCAAAACTTCAATGTTGGGATTAAAGCAGAAAATCCTGTTGATTTACCAGATTGTTTAAAATGTAGAGGATGATGTTGACAGAGTCCAGACGGTGGCTGATGTCCTCCCAGAATGAGGTAACCACCACCACAGGCTTAGTGTTGGCCCAGGGCAGGTAATAATAGTGGTTACCTGAAGTAGACGAACGACACCGGTTAAATCACCGCCCTGATATTTATGGAGGATTACCGTGTGTTACTGCTCTGACACTCACCATCAAATACAGCGCAGCTGTACTGAGTGGTGGACGACAGCGGTTTGCACGTGGTGTCCAGTTTGTTGCCGTAGTTGCCGATGCTGACCTCAAACTGGATCGGTTCTCCAGGTTCCTGGATCATGGTGGCGCTGTGGAAGACGGCACACAGGCAGAACTTTCTCCTCCGCTGGTACTTCTGAAAACATGAAAAGTAAAAACACATTAGCTACAATAGTAGCAGTACAGTATATTCTCAACAGTGTACACCGGGTTTGTACACGCAAGAATATCCTGCTGATTTTGAGGAGCGGTCTTAAACAGAAATGACCCAGAGACTAGTGATTAAATTCTTGTTCTTGTTTTAACAAACTTGTGTGTTTATTGCACCTGTGCTACCAGGACGTCATCACTGTGGATGCTGTCCACAGTTTTGTCCACCTTTCCTTCCAACTTGGTGCTGAGCTCCACCAGGATGCGGCCTCTGTAGGCCACGCCTTCTCCCTGTGAATGCGAAGCCACACCCGTTAGAATAAGGCACATGTTGTTCTTGAAAAATAAAAAGACGACATCAGACGTCAGTACCTTGCCCAGGTTGAGATCTTCGTAGGGGTCCGGCAGTCCAGTAAACTCTCTGGGGCTGCCGTACAGATTCACAAAGCAAGGTCCAAAGACGGGCAGGAAACCCACCTCAGCCTGACCCGTCTTGGCTGCACGTAGAAGAAAAGGATTGCTTGAGAAATAGTTTTTACTAATGACTTGTGCTAATCAGAGGCAAGCTGAGAAGTTAGTTTGCTGGTGATGCTTTATTTCAAGCAGCGGTGGATTCAGTAAAAAGCGTTTGACAGACACTCATTTATCACAACAACAAAACAGTTAAAGTCTAAACCTACTGATGTGAAAACACAGCACAGAGCAGGTGTGTTTGTAACACACACAGATTAAGTCTGCAGCAAGAAATGCGGCGTGCACCATCGGATTTAGACATGGACTCATGCAACAGAAAGTAAAAAAAAAAAAGAATTCATTAATTAAAAAAAAGATCATGGATGAACCTTCAAACGATGGCATTTCATGACTTCCTGCATGTTCCTCTGAGGCAGGAGAAAAAAGACAACGCAAGGAACCGTTTAACAGTTTAGCAAAGGCAACAAACCTTACTGCAGGTTTCATTTTTACAGTAAAACCACAAATATATGAGGTGAAATTCATCATTAATATGTCCAAAAATAATAAAGCTGAAATATTAATGTTATTTTTACTAAATAAACACCTTCTATCTCTCCACCAGAGGAGGCAATCTTGGAGAGGTTCAGGTATGTGGTACCAATAGCATCATTTCCTGTCAGACGATCCCTGAAAAAAACAAAAAAACACACAGTCATTTTACACTGTGTACACACACACAGTACAACTGTACAGTACAGACAACAACCACAGCTACAACAGTTGAAAACAGACAAAAAATAATTTATTAAATGGCTTTTCTAAAATAACGTCAGGATTCTGAATAAAGAAAAATTGTGAAATGAGCTTTTTTTTGTATGAACTTATTTAGTAATATTTTTCATGGCATTATAATAAAATAAGAGTTCAAATGTTTCCGTTTGTAAAAAGTACGAAAAACTCCAGCCCAGTATCAGGAGTGTGACTTTAACACTGTTTCCTTTTTCTCTCCTCTTGTTTCCCTTCAGTTTTCCTGCAGCAGAGTTTTTTCTTTTTTTTTATCAGATCGTTGAGGCTCACAGAAACACAGGGATGAAAATAACTGCTGCTGCTGCTGCTGCCAACAGGATCTGAGGGTATTTCACTGGGAGGAGAGGAGGAAGGGAGGAGTCTGTGCAGACTGAGTCACAGGCTGCTACATTATTCTCTCCCTCTCTCTCTCACACTCTCCTCCTAAAATTTGACAATGCAAAACAAGGACAGGCGTGTTCCAGAATACTCTGCAGAATTACCTCTACACCTGTATACTCCAAAGGTATTGGAGCAGGATGGGGTACATGGAGAGTAACTCCCACAGTTCTTTGCAGTTTGTTGGCAGTCTTGCACCATTGTTGCCAAAATCAGTAAAGGAAAATAAAATAAAACAAAATAAAATACATAAATAAAATAAAAAATTCACACGTCTTGTGACCTCTCCCTGGCTGAGGCAGAATAAAGGTTTTGGGGTTGTTTTTGCTCATAGACACTGGTGGAATCAAACTCCTAATCATCTGAATAAAACAGGCTGTAAAGTTCAGTTCCCCTGAATTTCTACTTGAACATTGAACTCACCAGTCAAAGACGGTCAGTTTGACAGACTCACACATGGAGGGAAACTACAAGAAGAAGAAGAAGAAGAAGAAGAAGAACTTTGAGAAAAGCATTTAATGAACATTTAAACAGTCCTTAACTGTTCATCATTTAAATGTGTTTGTCCGTGTTGTCACCTTGACTTGCAGGTGCAGTATTTGATTCCACTCTGGGTTTGCGTTCTTCTCAATTATCTGAGTACACAGCTGCAGAGTAAAGTACACACACAGGTGATTCACTCTCCCTTCACTACACACAAAAAAGACAGGTACAAATGAGGAGAACGAACCTTTTTCCCTGCGAAGCGAGCCTCCAGGAAAGGATCCACCAGGTTCTTCTTGTTTTGATCTCCTCCGAAAATTCCCTTCAGTGTTTGAACAAAAGCATCATCCACTGGAAGAAGGAGACACAAAAATAAAGTGACAGATATGACAGCTTATGAGATTTTTTATTTTTATTATTTTTGATAGAGAGAAAGTGATGCTGACGACGTTCAAGAAATACAACATTAAAATATGTTCCACTTAAATTAAACTTAACCCCAGAGTAAGACACAGTTATGGTGGTCCACATTAAAGAGCCATAAAACTAAAGGAAGAAGTTTCCGCTCATTTGCAGCAGAACGAACGACACTTCACAGAAATTAAGACGTCTTTGTGCTTGTTCTTACTCTGAGGAACGTCTTCAGCTCTGAAGACCTTCAGCGACAGTGTGGCCCATCTCAGAGAGACTCCGGCCGGCAGCAGCAAGTTACTCTCGATGTCGTCCAGGTCGTCGTTGGCCTCCCGCTTCTCCACCTTCAGCGTGGAAGTTTGATAAAAGGGGGTAGAATAATCCATGAGAAGGAAACGTCAGGATGTGATTGGAGAAAAAGAAAACATCCAGGGAGTGTCTGCCTCACCGGCAGCTCGTCTCCTGTCCCCAACACGAACAGGCTGACTTTGAGGTAACCTTTGGCCCCAGAGGTGGAGTCGTCTGGGTCGTTGAGCAGCACCCACTTCCTCAGAATGGAGTGAGCTGAGAGAGCAGTAAACATGGCTTAACATACGTCAACTAATCACAAGTATTACTGTGCCCGGAAATTGATGTAACAGAAGCAGCATTGTGACTGGAAGTATCCAGTTTTACTTTAATTAGAGGCGGTTGTCCATGTACAAAACATGTAAGAATGTGTCTATGAAGAGGTCACGGTCAGGGTTAAAGAGTTCTCTTGGATGAGAGGCAAAACATCTTCTTTGAGAAAATGTCATGTCCAGTTCTCTAACAGAACTCTTCAACCATGTAAGAATGTAGCTAAAACTTATTGCAGAACACATTTGGTTAAAAATAAAACCAAAAAAGAAGAAAGTTACCCAAAAGAATTGCCTTTTTTTTTTTGCTCAAAAGTAAATAGTTCTTACAAAATAATCAAAATAAAATGAGCATAATGAAACCCATATATCCATAGGAATGTGGAAGTTAAGAGAGTTGCTAAGAGGCTGGAGAATTGTTCGTGAAGAATGCATTTGTAAAATTCAAGCGTGTCGATCTCAGGTTTACTTTAATACAATTCCACATAATGATTTGTAATTATTTGTAACTCACCTGGTTCATCATAAACATATCCAACATCCAGCTAAAAGAGAACAAACAGTAACAGATCAAAGCCCACAGAACCACAGCAGACATTTTACAAATTCAAAATGTAACCGTCTGACCTTGAACTCTCCCATCAGGCTGTCTGCTCTCAGAGAGTAGGAGTCGTACACCTGCAGACAGGAAACAGCGTCAACATTCACCCTCACAGCAGAGGAGACCAGAAATGACCTGAGTGACTCTCACCCTGAAACTGATTTGTTGGTCAAACAGATCTAATGGAAGCATGTGGACATTGTAGAACAGCATCTGTCAATGACAAAAGAACCAAGTAAGATGAAAAAAGGTAAGAAAGCCTGAGCCAGAGCCAGTAAGGATGTGTGTTATCGGAGGTGACGTTACCTCGTCAAAGTAAGGATTGTTCCCCCGTTTGATCCTGGTCCTGTGGGTCTGTCCACACACACTGATTTTCACCACAGGTCTGATGTTATTTCCAGGCAGCTGACGGGCCTGGATGATCCGCACACGGATCTGACAGAAGAAGAAGAGAAGCAGATCCATCAGAGGTTACAAAAACTCAGGTTCAATGGTATAAAAAACACGTCAAAATATCATCCTGTTCCACTGACCTGGAAGTCCTGAGGTTTGTTGACCAGTCGATGTCGTTTCTGCGACCTGGCCAGTCTCTGACGGAGGTTAACGGTCCCACCAGAGGGTGATGTTCCACCAGAGGGCGCTGCCGGGCTGCCGTCAGACTGAGTCTCACCTCCTTCTTCTTCACCTCCTCCTCCTCCATCTGAACGTCACAGACACAAAATAATCCAATAACCAATTTATCAACATTTAGCAGCAACCACATCACTAGTAGCTACGCACCAGTGTCCGTGAAGGCATCTCCACTGTGGGGGTCACCAGGGTTTGGAGCAGCGTTGGGTGGAGGATCGTAGCCGACAACCAGGTCAATGGTGGCCTTAGAAGAAAACAACTGTCGTCAACTATCGGTTCATTGATTTAATGGATATATATATATATATTTTTTTTTTTTTTTTTTTTTTTTTTTTTTTTTTGGGAACTTAGTCCAACGTTCTGTCCATTTTCATTGACCAGAGGAATGTTTTTCGATGGCAGGGATCGGGCCTGACCTGAGGCTAGGTCTCTCAGTGAGATCTTAGTGGATCCAAGGAATCTGTAGCACAAACACACAGCAGTGAAAACTTTAAATAGCCCGATTGCTAACATTTGGCTATTTATAGGCAAATATTGAGTGATCTTTAATATTTTTTTTAGAGAAATGTTTAAAATTAGGTGACTAAAATCAAATGTTAAATTAATTAATTCACTCGTTCAGCCAAGGTTCAAACTGAATGGGTGGGTGACAATAAAGTCGGTCCCATCGGTCACCACCCAGAGCCAACAGACCTACCTGTTCAGACAAACACAGTCACTGCTGCACAGAAACCAGCCTACAGCCTGACACACTGCGCGTGTGTGTGTGGATCATCTCACCACACACACCGTCAATGTCTGACAGTAAACCATAGATGCAGACTATTAAATGTAATAACTGTAGGGTTTTTCATCTTGTTTCTTAGAGTAATGACAATGCATAAAAACATGACGATGAGGTCACTTTCTTCCCAACAAAGCCTTAAATGTAGAATTATTTTTTATCAGGTTGCAGATTTTGTAAAAAAAAAAAAAAAAAAGCCATTAGATGCAATATAGAAAAAGAGTAGAGAAACATAATCACATGGACTTTGTTAAAGCAATAAAAAAGACTAATTATGTGAATTCCATTGGAAAAACTATAATGGACAAGGTTGTTGTTGTCGTCTGTGTTGGGTGACCTGTTGTTCAATTACACAGTTTAATGTAATAGATGTTCACACTCAGATACTGAAAACAAGTTTTCTGTTCACCATAAAAGGCCTGGATGACTGAAAACAATAACAAAAACAAATTCAGTTTTTTAACTTCTTGCCACCTTCTACGATTTTTATCAATTAAATCAATGTAAATCAATACGGCTTTAACACATCGTCTGACAAAATGTCAGTACTTCATACAAAGACACTTGATGCCCATTTCTACTCCTACTAATAATTCTCCTCCAATGACTTCCTAAACAGCTGCGACCACGGTCTGAGGTGACTCCACTGCACTGAGCAGAGAGGATGTCAACAGAAACCTGAGCAGCCTGGAGTCTAAGTTCCTGTCATGGACAATGTCAAGGTGCTGCCCCACAACTGTGGACATTTTTGGTATGTGTTTTTAAAATAAAATGCTCTCAAATGACCTCAAACATTTCACTGGGTCTAAAAAGACCCAGTGCTACAAGTTGATTTCCTCCACTGCTGCTGTGTCACTCCTGGTCCTGAGGCAGAGTGAGGGGATAAAGTTGCACAAAAAGCTGAAAAGCTACAAATTTTCCAGCTGTCATGGAACACAGCAACGCTGCTCCTCATCACATTCAGTCACACTGACTCACACAGTATTTAACTCTTTATTGCCCTGAGTTTAACAAAACACCAGATTGGGTCCAGAGATGATATTCACTGATTTGTGAGTATGACAGGGTGACCATGAATACAGGCAACGCCCAAAACTCCTCAGCTGCGTTTCAGTCCATTAAATAAACAACTTCTCACCATCACATTTTATTTCCTCCCACAGATGTGCAAGGACGGAGCAGTGTGATGATGTCACATCTGTGAATGTGGTGCGACAATCAATCGTTCCCTTGTGAGTTTTCAATAATTGCTGCTGAGCTTGTGTTCAACAACAGTTGCCGGCGCTGCAGACAAAGGTCGTAGAGGTTTAACACTTGCACACTGCACAGGCGGCTGTGGACTTTATTATACAGGAAATTAAACAATGCTTTAGGAAAGTTGGAGCTCCTCAGTCTGAGGATCTGTGTAGCAAATAGAGACTAGAGGCACAAGAAGTTTAGCTTAGGTCAGACAGCTAAAAGTTAGCCAAGAAATGGTTCAAATTAGGTCCGAGATGGTAAAGCAAAGGCCACTGAAAGTTTCTGAAATATGTTTCAAAGTATGCTGGGGTCAAAGCCCCGGTGCAGAATTAGATAAAAAGCTGAGAGGCTGATTATTTTAGGAATACAAAAAAGTTAAACATTATCTGGAGCCAGAAACATTCAGCTACAAGACGGATGAAAAGTACTGAGCTAAATGCTGACACAGGACTACTATTAGGTAGAACTAAAGATACGTTTTAACTACCAAACATTGATAAAAGACACATTGCTAAATGTTAGCTTAACACAAGCACACAATATGGTTACAACTTGTACCAAAAAGTAGCAAAAAGGCTAGGTTAGCCAAACATGACCCATGAAGCGATGGCCCAGAAATAGCTAAATGTTAGATGCCACCGATGGCCCAGAAATAGCTAAATGTTAGCCAAAATGATTGACTGTAGTTTGAGTTCAATCAGTGGATTTTAAAGCCTCCCCTCTCCCCCCGCCCCCCACCTCCCCAAAGCCAGATGTTAGGAAACCATGAGTGATCAATGAGGAGGAGAACCCGACTCTGGTCCCTGTGGTGAAGCTGTAACTTCAGGGATTGAGTGTGTGTGTGTGTGTGTGTGTGTGTGTGTGTGACGAGGCCGACCCAGTGGAAAAGTTTACTCAGGACTCACACAGGATTCCAGAGCTGGAACTGAAGCTCCTCCTCCTCTTTTGTGACTGACTATCAGACAGTGGAGGAAACGTTTACTCTGTGTGAAGCAGCTGAGCAGAAATCCTTCAGTATCTGAAGTCTGACATGTTAGAATGTCAAACAGCAACAGCCTTGTTTTCTTCTGTTTCTACAGATGCAGACTTTGATCTGACTAATTAGAGATGCTGAGGGGAAAAGGCCGTTCTTTATGAACAGGGTAGTTGTTTCCAGATGTCATCTGAGCTGCTTTAGAGAGATGGAAACTGGATTTGCATAGCAGCACCTCCTCTAACACAGGAACAACGTGTCAGAGAGTCAGGGCTCAGTAATTGTCCTTTAAATAGTCACACGACTGCTAAGTAACATCGAGCAAACAAACAAACAAACAAACAAACAAACAAACAAACCGAGTTGCCGAATTTCAGTGAAATCTCTCTACTAAGGCTTCCCACAATTATTCCAAATAACAATTTAGATTCAAAACCATTTGGTCTGTCACATGTCAGATACAACAGGTAAATGATAAATGTTGGCTCAATTAGCCACAGCTAACTAAAAAGTGAGCCCTGAAATTCAGAAAAATAAAGAATTGGTTAGTCCTGAAGTAGCTTAGCCAAAAAGGATAAGTACATTTTACATTAGTGCCCTCAAAATTGTCTTTAATGACCGACCCACCACTTCTTTACACAGGCATTAATGTGGTCAGTTGATTCCTCTGCCCCGACACCCACTGCACCTCCGTGATTAGTCAGAGTCTGGTGTCACACTGTTCCCTCTCACTGTTGCTACACACACACACACACACACACACTTCTCAGGCCGTGTGAAGACAAACAGCAATTCTTCCTCAACTTGCCCAATCAGGATCAGACATCCCACACATTGCAACAAGCCTCAGCATGGCAAACAGGGTGTGAGGGGGTAGAAACACGAGTAGAAACGGCAGAAGACGAACAGTGGCTGCATAAGAACATACCTCCATAAAACAACAATGATCCTGATCCTGACTAATGGGGCTGCTACAGCTCAGTCATGTGAAAAGTGTTATTCACCACTCACAGGTTTTCCAGGACCAGCACTTATGTTAAAACTGAGTTATTTATAAAGTACATTTGATGGGGCGACAGATCAACATGTACACACTGGAGATGTTGCCGTCACACGTGACTGAACTTCTCTGTGGAGGCACAAAAGCCCAGAAGACTCCCGGCAGCATCACTTACTTGTCTCTCCCAATGGTTTCATAGTCTTTCACAACCACGTCGATGAAGGAGCCGGAGTCCAGAGGAGTTCCCTTCAAGTCAAACTCAAGCACCTGGAGATAAAAAATGTGAGACATCAGCTGAAGTCCAGAAGACAGAGGTCAATCATCACACTGTTCAAATCTGACGACTCAGGTCACAACATGTCAGAGAGCAGACAGTGGCTGACCTGATGTTGGCTACAATCTACTGAGAGTGCAGATAAGATGTTCTACAGATGATTCTGATCAATCACAAAAAAATATTTTTAGAGAACTGGACTTAAGCATGAGATCGTAAAGAAACGAGTTGGTTATCGTCACTTGTTCCTTTAGTTGGGGAACCTGTAGAACTTTAGAAGCTCTGGAGAACTGAACATTTTGAGAACCCCTTAGGGGTTCTGAAGTAACCAATAAGATTGCACGTTTCTTTTGAGCTCTCAGAAGAAATATCTTAAACAAGAGGCTCTCCAGCCTTTGGAACCAACACAATAAAATGATCTTCTTAGATAAAAAGTTCCACCACTTAACAGAACCAAAGAACTTAAAGAAACTTCTCATACAAGTTCTAGGAACCAACCAACATGAAGAAGATTTACCTCATTCCAGACAGGATTGACCTCGCTGTCAATAGATTTAGTTTTCTTCTTCTCCTCTGAAACAATTCAGATATGAACATTATCTGACATTAACAAAAAGATACAGTCAAGTAGAAAACCATTTTAAACACAACAGTGTCTGAAAATGAACACAAAGACAGTGGTATAGCTGTAGCAGCTTTGTTAAATGTTGACCAATTTGACTAAAACATAACCAGAGCTACGACTAAAGAATTTACCTGACATTTCACTTTTCTACTGCTGTCAAAATTGAATTCAATCACTCATCAGTTCATATTTACTTTAGGTTTTTGTTTTGTTTGGGTTTTTTTAAACAGCAGTGATGTTTTCCTTCGTGTGAGGACAAAATGCCACACCTGAAGACGATGATGATGATAACGATGAAGACAATAGATCAGCTGAGATCAACAACAGCTGATCGCCAGGCTCATAAAAATCTAGAACTGTTTTGGAGGAAATGACTGACCACCCTGCCCATTTTATACTTAGAGGCTTGGTCAGTTTGTACCAGAGGCATTTTATCATGTTTTCCTTTTATTAAAATCTAATTTCCTCTTCCTCTTAACATACAGATCCAACAAAGAGTTCCATGGACCATTAAATACTTCAAATGGACGATCTTTATGTATAAAATCTAACTTGTTTATAATAAAGCTTGACTTTATTTATTCATATATTCATATATGATTGTAAAATATGTATTTGTAGACCTTGTACATAGAGTATAGCTGAAATTAAAACAAAAAAAACAACAATCAACCCTTAAAAATCACAGTATAACTACTAGACTCTACACAGTGACGTCACATTTTTTGAGAAATCATCATAAGAATGTAAGAGTTCTAATTTTTCTACGGCTCCAAATAAAGTTCCACAAGTGGAAATTTGTCGGCACTCACCTTTAAAGATCACAGACGTGATTGGATCCGGACTGCCAACCTTCTTCTTGGGCAGGTTTTTGGCCGATTCTACCACAACCCGCAACATGGCAGCAAATTATCCAAAAGAAAAAGGAGAGAAAAAGTTGAAAAGTGTGTGTGCAGCCTTACTGCCCCATCACTGAGGCAGACTCAGGAAGTCCCTCAGCGGAGGGTGAAGAGAGATGAGGGCGGATCACGGGGGTGTAATTACTGCGGCTACCATCCTGCCATTCAGAGAAGGCTGCACCAAAAGAAAACACATTACAACAAAATACAAGTGTCTAAGTCTTTGAATGTCAGTAAAAACGTTGGGGGAAAACCTTTGACATCGAAAACCGACATCAATTTGACGGAAACATAAAAGATTCTAAGATTTGAAAAAACACTGGGATAACTCCGTTTGGTTTTGGCTCCACTTAGTGGCAATAAAAGGAAGTACAACACGTACTAAAAATACAGTACATCAAGATGCTAGCTTCAATTTTGACTGTCGTTATTTGTAAACAAATCTAAACAATAAATAACTTAATTTAAAAAAAATCTAAATATATATATATATTATCTTTCTATACAGGCAAGACTTACAATAATAATCTTCAGTCACCTACAATAAGAAAATGTTAGCTATTGAAATTGTATTAGTAATTGTATTTATAATAACATTTTCATCTTAGTTCTGGTTGATGTGTCAGCCTGTTACATAACTGTCATGTGTATTGTTTTATAATAAATGTAGGTAATAACATTTCCCAGCATGCCTCCCTCCCTCCCCTGTCTCTCTAAGTTTGTGAGGTTGCTCTGTTGGCTCAGACTCACTGATGTGGAAAACTAATGTAAGTCATCTGGTAATAATTAAACTGCTTTAGTTAAAGCTGTCTATAAGGATACAATCATACAAAGTGTTAAGGACTCTTCAAATCATTTGAATTAAATGATGTCCTCACTGAACCAACCAATCACCCTCTGTGTAGAGCTCTCTGTGTGACCTGTTGGTGCAGAAGGCCACAGTCTTACTGTCCATCTGCCTGGGTCTCTGACTCACCTGCCTTCTCTCAATGATTAACCCACCAAGGAGAACCGGTCTGTATTCTTGTTCGAACCTGCCAGCTCCGTATCCACTGACGTGTTGACACTCTGTGGTCAAACATTGGTGATGGACGTCTCATTGAAGACATTCCTTTTCCCTTCCCGACAGGACGTTTTGTTTGACTAAATTAGGTTTGAGTGAAGGGAGGGAGACAAAGGCTGTGAATGTCCAGAGTGAGTCCAGACTCAGGGCTGATCTCAGAGCCACCACTGCTGTTCTGATGGGAACTGTTGGCTCATGAAGAACAGATGAGGCTAAAGGACCAAAAAAAAAAAAAACAAACCACTGGATTAAACAGGAGGATGAGAGAATAGAGGATTCAATTTTGAACGGACATAGATTCATAAACATGAAGAAAGTAACCAAACTTAATCCCTGGATCACTTATGAGACAGAGGTTCAACACAGCAGGTTCTGGTGAGTTTGGCTTTTTATTTTTATTCTATTTAAAAAAATAAAAATAAAACTATTCACAAAAGTTGGTTTAATATTGTGCACTCTACTGCCCTGACAAGACAATTGAGTAAACTTACAGTAATAAAACTACAATAAACTTTAATTCTTTATTTTTTACATCAGGAACACATTCAAGCTTTATAGTTAAAATATTTTAACTATTTCTGTAAAAATTCTAGGCATCATAACTGTTAACTATCAGCTTCTGTATTTGTCAGCTGTTTTTATACATTATTACACCTTGCAGTTCATATTTTTGTGTATTAAACACAATTGAAATATCTTACACTGCATAATAAAATACCTGTTTCGCTCCAGTGTTAACAACATATTCCACAGTCTGGTTGTGGTCGCAGCACCGACCCCTTCACAGCTGGACTCTTTTCATCAAAACCACTGCACTTTTACGACTTGATTATTTTATGGCTCCGTCAGTCAATGCTTGGAGATGATTTTCATGTAAAGGAGCACTCAGGCATGTGATGATGGAATACAGCCGACACTTGTGTCCTATTGTCTCCGTCTGTACCAGTCTCCCTGAGCGACAGGGCCACACAGGAGCAGGTGCAAAACAAATAGACACTATATTTACAAATATGTCAGGCTCCCATTGATGTAACGGTCTCATCTGGATTGCAGAGTACAAACATACGATGAATAAAACAACGATTTTATCATTACTCCTCGTGACATGATGATGTGATTTTTTTTACGCTTTGTGTTGTGTTGTCGCTAAGTCGCCACTGGAGGGTGTTAGAGTCATTTGGAACAGCCCGAGCAGTTACAGCTCAAACATGTTCCTGAATGTCAGTAGTACCTGGTATGAATTTAGAGTTCAGTTCCATCCTGGTGTCCTGTGTGAAGTAGCAATCCTTCCGTGTCCGTCTCTTCGTTCCTCCTGCAGTGACCCAGCCTGTGGACCCAGCCCTGCAGAGAAGCTGACCCCACAGCACCTAAAGCTCCTGAGAGATGCGTTCACCAGGCCCAGACCTGCAGCACAGAAACATGACAGAATCAGAAAGAGCAGGAGAGCAGATGTGGAGGATGGAGTGAGGTTTGAAGAGTTCCAGCAGGTTCTAAGGACTGTGATTGGTCCAGATATTGAGGACACGTGGGTGGACAGATTTTTTTGTGAGGTAGTGTGAAGTAACAAAGTCAGAGAGACACAAGTTATGATGATGATGATGATGATGATGTGTGTATCAATGTCTTTGCACCCAGGTAGACATCAGCTGTTCAGGTCAGGTGACCTGGAAGCAGCTGTGTTCTTACCTCCTCCTGGAGTTCACTGAGAGAGAGAGAGCCTCCGTCCCCACAGCTGCTCTGCTGCAGCAGCCTCACGTCCAACACTGCTCTCACAACAAGGTTTTAAAAAACAACTCAAAGTTAAAATGACATAAAATTACAAAAGTTATTTAAAAAAAAAGTCAATTCAAAGAAATGAAGGTGTGAATGTGCACCTGTGTGTTGGTCACAGCGAGAGACCACGGTACGCGTGGTGGCCGTTTCTTATCCTCCTCCACTCCGTTACCTCAGTATCAGTAAAGGGGGTCAGGTCACCATGTGGAACAGCAGCCTGCACATCCTGAGAAGTATCGGGGTGAGTGACATCATGGTGACATCACTCGTAACTGAACAATTTTAGACCAAACTTTTTTTTTATTTTTACCTCAACGATGCTTCTCAGCTGGCTGGAGACATGACAGAGGAAGTGGCCCACACCAGGAGGTTCAGAGGCTGGGTCACTGATGTGGTCTACATGGGCAGTGTCCACAGGGTTGCTGTTGCTACAGACAGCAGGGACCTGCACTTCATCAATGTCTCCACAGCCAACATCTTTGAGGAGATCCATGTATATGGTTGGTGTCAGACCTGTGTGCGTGTGTGCTCAGATTAAAATGCACCAAAACTATCTATGTTAGGAATTTAAGAGTTTCTCTTTCAATTCAACTTATAAATATCATTATAATATATCAATTATAATATTCATAATAATGATCTTTTTGTCTCCCTGTTGTCTTCAGGGTTCCGCAGTGTTCCCACAGCTCTTTGCTACTGGAACGATGCTCAGGTGCAAACATTTTTTCCCTTTAAAAAAGTTAAAATTATTTCACCATAATAAATAAAACCAAAGTTTTCGTTCATGGATATGTTCAAATACGTTTGTGACTGTTTGACTCCAGTGTCCGGATCGCCCTCCTCTGCTGATGCTGGGGGATGAAAAGGGTGGAGTTCATCTGATGTGGTTCCTGTACTCATCGAAGGGACTCTTTGTGAAAACCTCCAAAAAACAGAACAGTTGTCAACGGCACTTTTTCCCAGTATGTTAGGTCTGTTTTTATATTCTTACATGATATATATATATAAACAAGAAATACAGAAGTTCTTTCTTCCACATCAGGACCTGTGTGAAAACACCAACATCATCTCCCACCGTTACATCCCCAACATCCACCTAGAGCCAATCACCAAAGTAATGTTTGATCCCGGCAGCAACGTCATCATGACATCGTCACAAAGTGACTGCAGCTCCGTGGTCTTCTTGAACTTGACACTAAAAAGGGAGCCGTATGTTTGGAGAATTAATCAGGTGATTTACACACACAAACAACTTGCAGTACCTTATCAGACACCTTAGGATCCACAATCCTGTTGATGACCTTTGACCTTAATGCATAGTGCAGGATTTGTGCAGTGACATCTAGTGGTGTAACAATTGCAGTCAAAGTAATATTGTTAAAATTAGGCCAAAACCTTAGACAAAAAACGTAATGTTGTCCAAAGTCACAATAACTAACAGAAAACAAGACAAGGTAAAACATGTAGAAACATCTTGGTTAGTGATAAAAAATGGAATGGACTTTTACCCACTTTCATCAGAGCAATGTGACAGGAACAAATGTCACAGTGATCTGAACATCTGTGACACTGACCTGATGTCATGACATTAAATGACTCTCACTCTTAGTGATGACTTGTTCAACAATTTTAGGTGGGTTTTTACTACTGTCTCCCCACTCTATGCGCGGTACTTATAAGGTGCAGTACTTCTGCCAAATCTGTATCCATGTAAACAGCAATACTTGTGTATATTTTTTTTCTTGCTGTTAACTTCATATGAATAACAGTGCGTTAAAATTTTCTATGAAGTGTAGAGAAACAGAAGCTTCAGTTCAACAGCAGGGGGGGTGGGCGCGTGGATGGGAGAAGAGCTGCTGTGACAGAGAATCCTATTAAACTGGGTTGTCGCACTTCCTGTTATTTACCAGGGTTTTGTTTTTCCAGGTTTAAAGTGTTGGACAATGACCAAGGACAATGATGAGAAAGAGAAGGGAAACAACATGTATTCTGTGGTCTCTCTCTCTCTCTCTCTCTTCAGGGTGTTAAATGCTTTGACTACAGTGCATCTCTGCAGCTGATGGTCACAGGAGGTTCTGACCGAGCGGTCAGGTTCTGGAGCAGGTTTGTCACCACTCGTCCTGTATCCACACTGCTGGGTCACTGCTCCACTGTACTGGATGTTGCCATCTACCAACCCATGGAGCAGATCTTTAGCTACTCCAGAGATGCTGTGAGTCAGGAAAGATGAACTACGATAACGTCTGTAAAAGTCACTGGATGATTTCTTTCTGCTTTGAATCAGGAGCTGAGGATCTGGGACATCTCTTCACATCACTGCCTCAAAACTATCCACCTCCAGTTCCCTTGTCTGCAGTTGGGTCGAATCCCAGAACATGGAAACTTCCCCTTCCTGCTCGTGGCTCCTCGTCGTCCTGCAGAGACGCAGCCTCATCTGCTGGTGGCCTGCAAAGATTATCTGGCTCTGCTCAAACTGGCCAGAACCAGAGGAGGAAGAGGAGGTGAGTGGCTGACAGATGAGGATGGAGGACCAGGTCTGTCCTGTGCCCTGTACAACCCCACCCTCAGACAGGTGGTGACAGGACACATGGACTCCTCTGTGTCTCTGTGGGAGGTGGAGACAGGCAGAAGGAGGCTCCAGATCGTGAATGCTCATGGAGAAGAGGAGCTGCTCTGCATGACGCTGGACTCCACCCACAGACGACTCATCACTGGGGCTGGAAACGGAACCATCAAGGTTTGAATCCCACTTCATCCTCATCATCACACAGAACTAATGTTTCCTCACAAATAGTAGGATTTTTCGCTCTCTTTCAGGTGTGGAACCTTCTAAACGGTCTTAACCTGCACAAACTGGAGCCCGTCTCTAACAGTGATGTCAGCAAGTTGATCTGCCTCAAAGACAACAAGCTGCTGGCTGTGGGACGGAGCCGGCGTATCGTTCAGTATGACATCGCAGCAGCAAAGGTGAAGTTAGAATCCTACATTAATACTTCAATTCTGTACTAGGTTTAACTCCAGGCATATCACACCTATGGTACTGCTGTCTATCTCTCAGGGGTCACAGATCCTGTGTTGAAGACTTGTTCTTTAGATGACATTTTAACCAGATGAGGGAGGTCACAGACATGTTTTACCCTCAGGTTTGCGGTGCTGACTTGCAATTTCCAATTTTAAATCCCCTGGTGTCAGCAGAGGAGCAGATTTAAAGAAAACATTTTGGTAACAGTTAAACAACCTCCTCCTGCTGCATCTGCAGCCACGTCTCTCTTATAAACCTGCACCTCGCTGAGTCCGTGTTTTAACAGCCGACCACAACACTGAGGCCCTGGGGTGTAAACATCATCAGTAAACCGAGGGAGGAAACAGATCTGCTGTTTGTAAAGCTTCACAAAGCAGGAAATGTTGTGAAGAGAGTTGATTCTTCACATGGTCACATGGTGTGTGTGTGTGTGTGGATGAAAACTGTCACTCTAGGACATGTACGTGAACGCAGATCTGTCCTGGAAGTCCACTGCTGTCCATCAGTCGGACGTCCTGGCAGTATGCGAGTGTTCGGCTCTGGGGGTGGTGGCCACAGCTGACCAGGATGGAGAGGTCATCGTCTGGAGGGTGGACACTCAGGGGCCACTGCTTCACCTGCACACCCAGACACAGGCTGGGTAAGATGTCAGACCTGCCCATGGTTGAAGTGAGACTTATTATAGTATCATCTCCGACCAGAAAATAAAGCCATTAGAGGGTGTTGTTTCTAGTCAGGCCTTTGTTACAATTTATCATCCTCAATTCTGTGTTTGTTTACAGAGTGTCGCCACCTGTGGACAACCTCTTGTTCCTGCAGCATCGGGCTCAGAACAGGAAGCAGAGAAACAGAGGTGTGCTAGTTTCCTCCAGCGCTGGCAGCCTGTGCTTCTGGAGCATCTGCGGAGCGGGGCACACATACGGTGAGAGGGAGACAAACATCTGTCCATTTTAATGGCCCTTGCATTATGATGGATTTATTTACATGCAGGGAGCTGCAGTGAGAGTGAGTCTGAACCATGATCTTGGACATAGTTGTGGGCTGCAGACGCCGGCCAGGCCACAACTATGTCTCTTTCCAGATCCCATCTGTGTTTAGTGGTAAAAGCGCGTGCACTGTGACCACTGCATATGTGTCTGTGACTGTGCATAGGTGTGAGTGTGTTATGCGTGTTTGTGTGCATACAGCATACGCCTTCATGCAGAGGGATCTAAGATGGTGACATAGTTGTGACATAACAGAAGGTATTAAAAAAAGCCAGCAATTTGTCTCAGGAGAACACTTGTCACTGAGATGGAAGATGGAAGGATTGTTGTCGATACGAGAAACATCGAAGGTCAAGTCAAGGTGAAATACAAATGCTTCTATAACCAGCAAAGTAGAAGATCCAACATCAAGAACATCTTGAAGCCCAAGAATGTCTTTCCAATTCTTTTGGCTTCAAAACTGTTTGAACGAATCCCCTAGTGGATGGTCTGAGTAACGATGTTTGGATGAAACCTCCAACAACACAGGAACTGACACTGATGATGTCTCCTGATGTGCTTTTTAAAACAGACAAGAATCTGGAACGTCCTCTGTTTTTGACTTGTATTTAAATTCATTCTTTACTCTTGACTCCAGGTCAGTTCTATGCTCCAGAGCAGCCCCGTACACGAGTACTGAGTGTAAGCTCAGACCAGGCTAAAAACACCATCCTGGTCTCTGGAGATACAACAGGTTGGCTTCAGATCTGGGACATCACTGACTATGCTGTGAATGAAGGAGAAGTAGGTCGGAGTGCAATCAAGAACATTTCACAAGTTCTGTTGGTGTATTGGTGTGTACTTGAAGGTGTTCTCTTCCCACAGCTGTTCAGCCAACAACCTCCTCTGCTGCAGCGATGGAGGGCACATAAGCAGGGAGTTGTGAAGGTGGAAGTTCTGGAGGTGGAAGAGGCTGAAAAGATGAACGGTTCATTCATCTTTTCAGCCTCAGCTGACGGTTCTGCTGCTCTGTGGACCAAGGATGGTGATCTTGTCAGGTCTTTCGGACAGGAAGTGATGTGGAATCTTATGGCTTCAGCCAAATACCAGAGGTGAGTTTAAGAATGTAACTCAAATTACGAGTATGTGAAGTATTTGGCACTGAGAGTCACTCGTTCGTGTAGGAAAACCCTACAAAAAATGTTAAAAATGAACTGTCCTGGACTCCTCGCTCCCTGCTGCTGATGCTGCTGCTGCTGCTGGACTGACCCTGGGTTTTTTTCTCTGTTCAGTTCCTGACACTGTTGGACTGCTGGTATCAGATACAGCATATTCCCAAACAAGCCACGTTGTCAGCAGCTGGCAGCTCCAAATTGAATTTGCTCTAATCTAATATAGACCAGTAATATATTATGATGAACTGTTTCCTCATTTTTTCCACAGCTGTTTTAGTCTCTGCTAAAAATTGAAGTTGTCTCTAAGGTCATAAACTTGCTTGGCACAGCATGTTGCTGATGTGTGCCTGGCTGTATTAAGGTGTGTTTTTGCTGCATAAACTGGTTTTAGGAATGACGTGCCTCCACAATTACCAGGAACTAGATGAAACAACTAGCACTGTTTTCAATTGCCAGAACAGTTCCTACTGGAAATGCATGGGCTGCAAAACAGCCTTTCGCTCGTGAACCTTGGACTTCTGACATATTGAAATAATATCAATCTCCATCCTTTTATCATCATCGTGACTGTGACGAGAACCATGTAGTGTGTTCTTCAAGCACGTGGCTCTGTGTAGTTGAAACAACTTTAACCTCATGTTTTAGGAAACTTTGGAGGCTTCCTACAGACTTTCCAAGTTCAACATTGTTGTAGGAACATTCCTATATAGCTAATGAAGATTCAAGAGTGAGGAGAAGGCTTAGACATAGCACCTGGTAGATCTGCAGCCTTTCTCATCAATCATCACTCTACATCTTTACATTTGGTGAGCTGAGAACACAGACATGTTTCGTTTTAGGGTTAGCAACATTTTTTAAATTTCCCTGAATCCACCCTTGTATAACCTGGTAATAACACATGAAGATGGAAGAAGAGTCCTTGAATACATGCCTGGCAGTGGTGGCTTAGTGGTTAAGGAAGCAGACTTGGGTCCAGAAGGTCTTAGGTGCGAGTCCTAGAGCCGCCAAGTTACCACTGAGCGTCCCCACACACTGCTCCCCAGGTGCTTAGGCTGCCACCTACTCACTTTGGTGATGGGTTCAAAGCAGAGGTCACATTTTGTGGTGTGCTTTGTCACAATGACAAGTAGTTTACTTTCCTTTTGTTTCCTTTTCATTCCTTACTTCACCACTGAGGAGAAAGACTCAGCTCCAGTTCTGGTTTAAATCAAATGTAGCAGCAAACATTCTGAGAAAAGTCTTTCTCTCTCCCACTGTGACAAATATCCTCCAGCACAGATCACTGATCTGAGTCCTGCTTGCTTTCAGGACCTTGGCGCAGCAGCCAAATGGGTAAAACTTTTATCCAAAGTAAACAACATTGTGTTTGCGCAAATGAAAACTCTTCAGCGTGACATCCTCTGAGTCTGACCCCCCCTCCCAACTCTCTCCACAGGGAGATGGAGAGGGGTAGAGAGATAAAGATGAGGAGAGGGAGAGGGCTGTGATGGAATGGGTCCAACCTAAAGTCAGATGTCACACCAAGCATGCGGTTGTAAAGGTGAACGTTCAAGAACATTATTGTAAAGTGGAAAAAATAGAAAACATTCTTCTCCAATCACATCCCAGTTCACCACTGAAGACAAGAAGACTCCAGAACATTCTCAACATTCTCCTGCTCTGATGTATGCAGCTCAGTTTGGGCAGTGTTTCCAACTGCAGAGATGCATAAATGCAGCAGGATTTGTTTGCGTGTGCAAACCTGGCTGCACTCTTCCTCTCCATTTCTTTCCCTGTAATTCAGAAATTGCCAAAACAAGCGATTAACTGTGCCTTCAGTGAAACCACGCCCAGGCAAACACAGTAGTAACTCACTAAACAGTGTCTCTCTTCATCTGTTGCAGATCCAACGATGGCTCTGCAGAGAGTCATTAGGAGCAACATCAGCGACCCCTGGTGACCCGGTAGCTGTCTGCTAATGATGGTCAACAAACATTTATCATCATCATTTACTGATCCTGTTTCCCACAGTTCCATCCCTCTTCCTCAGTATCTCAGTATCTGTGTGAGAAGACGCCTCAATAAAGACACTGACTGCAACACTCGCTGCCGATTGGCCCAGTTTCAGGACTTATTTTGTGTGATCTACTGCTTACAGAAATTCAACATTCCTCCGAAAACCTTGAATCTGGTTGAAGAATGCTAAACCAAGAAGCAAATGTTATGGAAGCAAACTGCTTTTAAAATAGAATTTCTTCTTACATTTTTTTTACCATTTAAAAAATGAATTCCATTTATAGCTGAAACCTGGTGGAGGAACAGGCAGGCATCCATACAAGTGAACACATTTTTTCTTTCTTTTTGTTAAAATCTCCGCAACAGTAGCAATTCATCTGTCTGACTTACTGTAGTTAGTTCACCCTACAGAGGGCGCCATACATACAGCCGTACCGTAGATTCTCTAAAGACATGTTAAATATCACAGCATTAATCTCAGAAAAGAAAAAATGCAGAGATTCTTTGCTGATACACACAGTAATCATTAATCTGTGTTAGAGCCCACATTTTTTTCTCATCCATCTGAATTTTTCTCACTCATTCAAATCCTCACTCACTGAGAGTGTTTACTGTTTTTAATGTGGTCACCTGGGTTTGTGGACATCCACTGGTGACCACAATAAAAAAGCACAGACGTCTATTAAAAGCTCATTTAAGTCAACAGATCTAGTTACTCTCATTCCACCAAATGATTTTACAGCAACGCCCGTCCTCAGAAAGACTGTTCATTAATAAGATTGATTAATATAGTACTTGTTTTAATGACATAACAGTGTGCACCCAACTCAGTCATGCTATAGTTCTATTTTTCAGATATGAACAGGAATGAGTGATATTTATCTTTTCATCAAACCTAGTGAAAGCTATCGAGGAGGAACATTTCCTAAAATGTCAAACCACCAGCTCTGCCTGTTATCTGCACCACAGCAGCTACTCTTCAGTCTCATTGTTGCAGGTATATTTTTAATCAGTAGCGACATTTTGTGATATCTGAGACCTGTGAGTCATCCCCCAAGACCTCAGCTGTTCCTCCCATAACAGACAGACACGGACAATAACTTGTATGGTCTTAATCTTCTGTCGAGGGACTGTTGAGAACCGAGTCATTTAATGTGTTTTCAATAGATGAACACTGAGTACATGACAGTAATCACCCTTCTGCTACCGTAAAGTCGACTCAGCAGTGTTTTTCCTGTTAAATACTGTATGTCTCTAGAAATATCCAAACAAAGAGGGATCAAACTGTGTACAAAACATATTTACTTTTTGTTAAGGATTGCTGAATAAGTCAATGACACACTTGCATATTTCTCAGGTTAGTGACCCGGAGGGGAAATACCTGGACTTGTTGTTTCACCAGAGTTTTTAAAGTCATGGTTTGTGTGGAAAATCACTTCCTTGCCAAAAAGGGTTTTGCTAAATGCTTAAACTATGGCGTAAATAAAATACCAAAATAGCAACATGGTTAGTAGGTAGGAAAAAAAGAGAAATCTGATAAACAGATAAACAGATTACAGCGGCAACAATATCCAACAAGTCGCCGTGAGAAGACGCCATGTTATGCCAACGTTATAATGAAGACTAGCCACAGATCTGTCTGTAAACAGGAGAAAGTGTTGTTCTTCTACAGGTTGTGCAAGACTTCTGGTGTTTTTCTTTTTTAGCACTGCTTTTTTTCCTGTCATTGTAGGTCAGCACAACACAGATACAGTACGAGTGCAGAATTCCTTTGTGAGGAAAGTGCAGATGGGAATTTCTGCCTGGAGGGAGGTAGACATAGTAGAGGTCTGTGGTGGAGAGGCAGAACACATTGACAGACGGGCGAAAGACATGAAAGGCATTGTCATAAATTCATGTGATGAAGGCTTTTGAAGACTACCTAGGTCAGAGAGTCCAAGCACTCCTGGTCTGTCCTGTGCCCTGTACAACCCCACCCTCAGACAGGTGGTGACAGGACACATGGACTCCTCTGTGTCTCTGTGGGAGGTGGAGACAGGCAGAAGGAGGCTCCAGATCGTGAATGCTCATGGAGAAGAGGAGCTGCTCTGCATGACGCTGGACTCCACCCACAGACGACTCATCACTGGGGCTGGAAACGGAACCATCAAGGTTTGAATCCCACTTCATCCTCATCATCACACAGAACTAATGTTTCCTCACAAATAGTAGGATTTTTCGCTCTCTTTCAGGTGTGGAACCTTCTAAACGGTCTTAACCTGCACAAACTGGAGCCCGTCTCTAACAGTGATGTCAGCAAGTTGATCTGCCTCAAAGACAACAAGCTGCTGGCTGTGGGACGGAGCCGGCGTATCGTTCAGTATGACATCGCAGCAGCAAAGGTGAAGTTAGAATCCTACATTAATACTTCAATTCTGTACTAGGTTTAACTCCAGGCATATCACACCTATGGTACTGCTGTCTATCTCTCAGGGGTCACAGATCCTGTGTTGAAGACTTGTTCTTTAGATGACATTTTAACCAGATGAGGGAGGTCACAGACATGTTTTACCCTCAGGTTTGCGGTGCTGACTTGCAATTTCCAATTTTAAATCCCCTGGTGTCAGCAGAGGAGCAGATTTAAAGAAAACATTTTGGTAACAGTTAAACAACCTCCTCCTGCTGCATCTGCAGCCACGTCTCTCTTATAAACCTGCACCTCGCTGAGTCCGTGTTTTAACAGCCGACCACAACGCTGAGGCCCTGGGGTGTAAACATCATCAGTAAACCGAGGGAGGAAACAGATCTGCTGTTTGTAAAGCTTCACAAAGCAGGAAATGTTGTGAAGAGAGTTGATTCTTCACATGGTCACATGGTGTGTGTGTGTGTGTGGATGAAAACTGTCACTCTAGGACATGTACGTGAACGCAGATCTGTCCTGGAAGTCCACTGCTGTCCATCAGTCGGACGTCCTGGCAGTATGCGAGTGTTCGGCTCTGGGGGTGGTGGCCACAGCTGACCAGGATGGAGAGGTCATCGTCTGGAGGGTGGACACTCAGGGGCCACTGCTTCACCTGCACACCCAGACACAGGCTGGGTAAGATGTCAGACCTGCCCATGGTTGAAGTGAGACTTATTATAGTATCATCTCCGACCAGAAAATAAAGCCATTAGAGGGTGTTGTTTCTAGTCAGGCCTTTGTTACAATTTATCATCCTCAATTCTGTGTTTGTTTACAGAGTGTCGCCACCTGTGGACAACCTCTTGTTCCTGCAGCATCGGGCTCAGAACAGGAAGCAGAGAAACAGAGGTGTGCTAGTTTCCTCCAGCGCTGGCAGCCTGTGCTTCTGGAGCATCTGCGGAGCGGGGCACACATACGGTGAGAGGGAGACAAACATCTGTCCATTTTAATGGCCCTTGCATTATGATGGATTTATTTACATGCAGGGAGCTGCAGTGAGAGTGAGTCTGAACCATGATCTTGGACATAGTTGTGGGCTGCAGACGCCGGCCAGGCCACAACTATGTCTCTTTCCAGATCCCATCTGTGTTTAGTGGTAAAAGCGCGTGCACTGTGACCACTGCATATGTGTCTGTGACTGTGCATAGGTGTGAGTGTGTTATGCGTGTTTGTGTGCATACAGCATACGCCTTCATGCAGAGGGATCTAAGATGGTGACATAGTTGTGACATAACAGAAGGTATTAAAAAAAGCCAGCAATTTGTCTCAGGAGAACACTTGTCACTGAGATGGAAGATGGAAGGATTGTTGTCGATACGAGAAACATCGAAGGTCAAGTCAAGGTGAAATACAAATGCTTCTATAACCAGCAAAGTAGAAGATCCAACATCAAGAACATCTTGAAGCCCAAGAATGTCTTTCCAATTCTTTTGGCTTCAAAACTGTTTGAACGAATCCCCTAGTGGATGGTCTGAGTAACGATGTTTGGATGAAACCTCCAACAACACAGGAACTGACACTGATGATGTCTCCTGATGTGCTTTTTAAAACAGACAAGAATCTGGAACGTCCTCTGTTTTTGACTTGTATTTAAATTCATTCTTTACTCTTGACTCCAGGTCAGTTCTATGCTCCAGAGCAGCCCCGTACACGAGTACTGAGTGTAAGCTCAGACCAGGCTAAAAACACCATCCTGGTCTCTGGAGATACAACAGGTTGGCTTCAGATCTGGGACATCACTGACTATGCTGTGAATGAAGGAGAAGTAGGTCGGAGTGCAATCAAGAACATTTCACAAGTTCTGTTGGTGTATTGGTGTGTACTTGAAGGTGTTCTCTTCCCACAGCTGTTCAGCCAACAACCTCCTCTGCTGCAGCGATGGAGGGCACATAAGCAGGGAGTTGTGAAGGTGGAAGTTCTGGAGGTGGAAGAGGCTGAAAAGATGAACGGTTCATTCATCTTTTCAGCCTCAGCTGACGGTTCTGCTGCTCTGTGGACCAAGGATGGTGATCTTGTCAGGTCTTTCGGACAGGAAGTGATGTGGAATCTTATGGCTTCAGCCAAATACCAGAGGTGAGTTTAAGAATGTAACTCAAATTACGAGTATGTGAAGTATTTGGCACTGAGAGTCACTCGTTCGTGTAGGAAAACCCTACAAAAAATGTTAAAAATGAACTGTCCTGGACTCCTCGCTCCCTGCTGCTGATGCTGCTGCTGCTGCTGGACTGACCCTGGGTTTTTTTCTCTGTTCAGTTCCTGACACTGTTGGACTGCTGGTATCAGATACAGCATATTCCCAAACAAGCCACGTTGTCAGCAGCTGGCAGCTCCAAATTGAATTTGCTCTAATCTAATATAGACCAGTAATATATTATGATGAACTGTTTCCTCATTTTTTCCACAGCTGTTTTAGTCTCTGCTAAAAATTGAAGTTGTCTCTAAGGTCATAAACTTGCTTGGCACAGCATGTTGCTGATGTGTGCCTGGCTGTATTAAGGTGTGTTTTTGCTGCATAAACTGGTTTTAGGAATGACGTGCCTCCACAATTACCAGGAACTAGATGAAACAACTAGCACTGTTTTCAATTGCCAGAACAGTTCCTACTGGAAATGCATGGGCTGCAAAACAGCCTTTCGCTCGTGAACCTTGGACTTCTGACATATTGAAATAATATCAATCTCCATCCTTTTATCATCATCGTGACTGTGACGAGAACCATGTAGTGTGTTCTTCAAGCACGTGGCTCTGTGTAGTTGAAACAACTTTAACCTCATGTTTTAGGAAACTTTGGAGGCTTCCTACAGACTTTCCAAGTTCAACATTGTTGTAGGAACATTCCTATATAGCTAATGAAGATTCAAGAGTGAGGAGAAGGCTTAGACATAGCACCTGGTAGATCTGCAGCCTTTCTCATCAATCATCACTCTACATCTTTACATTTGGTGAGCTGAGAACACAGACATGTTTCGTTTTAGGGTTAGCAACATTTTTTAAATTTCCCTGAATCCACCCTTGTATAACCTGGTAATAACACATGAAGATGGAAGAAGAGTCCTTGAATACATGCCTGGCAGTGGTGGCTTAGTGGTTAAGGAAGCAGACTTGGGTCCAGAAGGTCTTAGGTGCGAGTCCTAGAGCCGCCAAGTTACCACTGAGCGTCCCCACACACTGCTCCCCAGGTGCTTAGGCTGCCACCTACTCACTTTGGTGATGGGTTCAAAGCAGAGGTCACATTTTGTGGTGTGCTTTGTCACAATGACAAGTAGTTTACTTTCCTTTTGTTTCCTTTTCATTCCTTACTTCACCACTGAGGAGAAAGACTCAGCTCCAGTTCTGGTTTAAATCAAATGTAGCAGCAAACATTCTGAGAAAAGTCTTTCTCTCTCCCACTGTGACAAATATCCTCCAGCACAGATCACTGATCTGAGTCCTGCTTGCTTTCAGGACCTTGGCGCAGCAGCCAAATGGGTAAAACTTTTATCCAAAGTAAACAACATTGTGTTTGCGCAAATGAAAACTCTTCAGCGTGACATCCTCTGAGTCTGACCCCCCCTCCCAACTCTCTCCACAGGGAGATGGAGAGGGGTAGAGAGATAAAGATGAGGAGAGGGAGAGGGCTGTGATGGAATGGGTCCAACCTAAAGTCAGATGTCACACCAAGCATGCGGTTGTAAAGGTGAACGTTCAAGAACATTATTGTAAAGTGGAAAAAATAGAAAACATTCTTCTCCAATCACATCCCAGTTCACCACTGAAGACAAGAAGACTCCAGAACATTCTCAACATTCTCCTGCTCTGATGTATGCAGCTCAGTTTGGGCAGTGTTTCCAACTGCAGAGATGCATAAATGCAGCAGGATTTGTTTGCGTGTGCAAACCTGGCTGCACTCTTCCTCTCCATTTCTTTCCCTGTAATTCAGAAATTGCCAAAACAAGCGATTAACTGTGCCTTCAGTGAAACCACGCCCAGGCAAACACAGTAGTAACTCACTAAACAGTGTCTCTCTTCATCTGTTGCAGATCCAACGATGGCTCTGCAGAGAGTCATTAGGAGCAACATCAGCGACCCCTGGTGACCCGGTAGCTGTCTGCTAATGATGGTCAACAAACATTTATCATCATCATTTACTGATCCTGTTTCCCACAGTTCCATCCCTCTTCCTCAGTATCTCAGTATCTGTGTGAGAAGACGCCTCAATAAAGACACTGACTGCAACACTCGCTGCCGATTGGCCCAGTTTCAGGACTTATTTTGTGTGATCTACTGCTTACAGAAATTCAACATTCCTCCGAAAACCTTGAATCTGGTTGAAGAATGCTAAACCAAGAAGCAAATGTTATGGAAGCAAACTGCTTTTAAAATAGAATTTCTTCTTACATTTTTTTTACCATTTAAAAAATGAATTCCATTTATAGCTGAAACCTGGTGGAGGAACAGGCAGGCATCCATACAAGTGAACACATTTTTTCTTTCTTTTTGTTAAAATCTCCGCAACAGTAGCAATTCATCTGTCTGACTTACTGTAGTTAGTTCACCCTACAGAGGGCGCCATACATACAGCCGTACCGTAGATTCTCTAAAGACATGTTAAATATCACAGCATTAATCTCAGAAAAGAAAAAATGCAGAGATTCTTTGCTGATACACACAGTAATCATTAATCTGTGTTAGAGCCCACATTTTTTTCTCATCCATCTGAATTTTTCTCACTCATTCAAATCCTCACTCACTGAGAGTGTTTACTGTTTTTAATGTGGTCACCTGGGTTTGTGGACATCCACTGGTGACCACAATAAAAAAGCACAGACGTCTATTAAAAGCTCATTTAAGTCAACAGATCTAGTTACTCTCATTCCACCAAATGATTTTACAGCAACGCCCGTCCTCAGAAAGACTGTTCATTAATAAGATTGATTAATATAGTACTTGTTTTAATGACATAACAGTGTGCACCCAACTCAGTCATGCTATAGTTCTATTTTTCAGATATGAACAGGAATGAGTGATATTTATCTTTTCATCAAACCTAGTGAAAGCTATCGAGGAGGAACATTTCCTAAAATGTCAAACCACCAGCTCTGCCTGTTATCTGCACCACAGCAGCTACTCTTCAGTCTCATTGTTGCAGGTATATTTTTAATCAGTAGCGACATTTTGTGATATCTGAGACCTGTGAGTCATCCCCCAAGACCTCAGCTGTTCCTCCCATAACAGACAGACACGGACAATAACTTGTATGGTCTTAATCTTCTGTCGAGGGACTGTTGAGAACCGAGTCATTTAATGTGTTTTCAATAGATGAACACTGAGTACATGACAGTAATCACCCTTCTGCTACCGTAAAGTCGACTCAGCAGTGTTTTTCCTGTTAAATACTGTATGTCTCTAGAAATATCCAAACAAAGAGGGATCAAACTGTGTACAAAACATATTTACTTTTTGTTAAGGATTGCTGAATAAGTCAATGACACACTTGCATATTTCTCAGGTTAGTGACCCGGAGGGGAAATACCTGGACTTGTTGTTTCACCAGAGTTTTTAAAGTCATGGTTTGTGTGGAAAATCACTTCCTTGCCAAAAAGGGTTTTGCTAAATGCTTAAACTATGGCGTAAATAAAATACCAAAATAGCAACATGGTTAGTAGGTAGGAAAAAAAGAGAAATCTGATAAACAGATAAACAGATTACAGCGGCAACAATATCCAACAAGTCGCCGTGAGAAGACGCCATGTTATGCCAACGTTATAATGAAGACTAGCCACAGATCTGTCTGTAAACAGGAGAAAGTGTTGTTCTTCTACAGGTTGTGCAAGACTTCTGGTGTTTTTCTTTTTTAGCACTGCTTTTTTTCCTGTCATTGTAGGTCAGCACAACACAGATACAGTACGAGTGCAGAATTCCTTTGTGAGGAAAGTGCAGATGGGAATTTCTGCCTGGAGGGAGGTAGACATAGTAGAGGTCTGTGGTGGAGAGGCAGAACACATTGACAGACGGGCGAAAGACATGAAAGGCATTGTCATAAATTCATGTGATGAAGGCTTTTGAAGACTACCTAGTGGGAAACTTTGCCACACCTGAGTGAAAAATGTCTAACAAGACTTTTAATGAGCTTCGACTGCTGCAAATGAATGGAAAGTATTCTGCAGTAAAAACCGTCACAATAGTGTTTGTGTAACTGGTCGGCCTGCAGTCCAGACCTCTGTCATAACACGTCTGCTTGAACATGAAGAGGAGACTCAGATAACAGTGACCAGTGACTGTGAAGAAGCTCAAGACTGAAATCCTGCTTCTGGACATTTCTGGAGGTTTGTTGCAGCTATTTCTCAGAGAGCTTCAAGAAAACAGGTAGACAGGAAGTGTGTCATCAATGTGAGTATATGTAAACTTCCATGAAAAAAGGAAAATGGGTGGAAACACTGGAGAAAGATCAGAGTCAAAAACAAAACATCAGGACAGACAGAACTGTCTCATTCAGATGAGCTGTGATAAGAACAAAGCTCCGCCTCTGACTCATGTCACGGACACACACACACAGTCTCTCTCACACACACGCAGCCAAAATGTGTGTGCAATGATGACCCTGAATGTGTGTGTTTCTGCAGCCTGACTGCACACAGTCATTCTGATAATCTGTCTTTTGAAGTTTACACACATACCTGCACTGACACACCCACCCCTTTTCTCACTCTGCCCTCATATCATACACACACACACACACCGTGTGTGTGTGTATGATCTCTCTCTCTGCCCTTCTGAAACACAACGACATCCTCTCTCGCCCTCTGGTGCTCTCGCAGCCCCTGGAGCAGCCAAACTCTCACTCACTGGTACGCACACACTCCATCTTGACTCGCCTTTTTTTTCAGCTGCTGCCAGAAAAGGAGGAAGAGGAAGAAGAGGAGGAGGAAGAGAAAGAGGAGGAGGTGCAGAAGTGAGTGTGACATGAGCAGTCGTGAAACACTCAGAGAGAGTGGAGCAGGACTTGGAAGAACATCTGGCTGCTGCTTTCCTCTCTCTCTCTCTCTGCTCTGCATTGCTCTGTGTGTGTGCGTGTGTGTGCGTGGAGGCAGTGATGTCTCACACACAGTGTCAGGACCTTCTGTAGATCTCTCTCCAGCTTCTGTTACTCCACTGTGTCTGTTGTAAAGATGAGGAGAGATCGTCTCCTCTTGGCCACGACCCTCACTGCCATCCTCTCCGCCGACCTCTACTTCATCCTTCTGCCGAAGCTGAGGAACATCAGACGAAGGTCGGAGCCCCTCTGCTCTTGTGGTTCCAACAATCTGAGCAGAGACGCTACTCCTCCAGGGTTGAACTGGACCTCAGTGTCACCTCAGCTGGTTGGGCTGACCCGCAGAGAGACCAAAGATGGAGGATCGAAGCTGGAGAAGCTTTTCTCTCACCCGCTCTACAACATCCAGACTCCTGCTGTGGGTCCAGAGGAGAAGCTGCTGCAGGAGGAGCAGCTGTCAGAGTATGTTAAGAAGAAGGTGACCCGGTGGGAAAGGTCAGTCCGTGCTCAAGACTTTCCTGGGAGTTTTATGTGGAAAAGTTCAGCCTGGGCTCAGTTGACAAAAGTCATGTTTTCACTGTCAGGGTTCAGTTTCAACCTGAGGCTGATTTTACCTCAGCAAAATATGTTCCAGAGACATTTCATTTCACTTTTAATCATGAGCGATTTATTAGCATTTCTAAATGTTTTTGGACTATTGCATGGCTAACTATTTATATGATATTTTGTTTTTTAACTTTTTAGATACTTTCGGGGAAACTTTTGTTTACTCCCTGTACAGTTTTGTGGCTATATTTCCCACAAAGATCTGCAGTAACCCTCTCTGCCTACTTCCTCTTTTCCCATACCAGTTGTCTCCAAATTGGAGGTGGGTGCGAGGAGATTGAATATTTTTCTTTTCACTACTTAACTATATTTAGGAATAATTTCTGATATTTTTGGCCTCCTCTCTACAGAATGACTTATCATTCAGACATGTTGACCAACTACCACTTATTTTTTTTTCCCACCTCTTATTTATCCTTTGGCTTATATTATTTACTCTTCGGCAGAGCTCGGGGGTTTTCAGCTGTCTATTTTTAGGCATTTTTGGCCGATATAAAAATTGCAATGACTACAGCAAAACTTTGTTTTTTGTAACATCAATTTAAAAGACAGAAAAGCCCAAATCTTTTCAACAAATCCCGGCTGTAGTGCTGTTGTTTATGCACGCCTGACTTCAACGCTGGCTGAACTGGTGTTGCTTCACTTTATTGTGAAAGACAGGCTGAAGAAATAGTTCTGTGAAAGCACACGCTGAGACTCGACTGTGGTCTGAGGGGCAGAGTCAGTGACATGATGGTCAAACCTGCTGCACACACACACACACACACACACACACACACACAGACAAACACAGACTGGGTCCATGATAACAGATGTTTACCCACAGGCAGAACACAGTGAGGGACAACAGACGATTCTGTGAGTCATAAAAACAAGTCCAGCATTGAGTGGGCCGATGGTACAAAACCCTGACAAACATGTCACTGTAAATGGCTGCGACGCCTGCAGTCGACACATTAAACTAAGCAGGGATTTTGAAGACCGTGGATATAGCAGAGTTGAGTTTTTTTCTAAATGTATTTCTTTTCATATTGTACAAAAGAAAAACACAAACTATTTAACCAACAAGGGCAGGTCATTAAAAAGTGATTCATGAGGTGTAATTAATGCTAAAATATGATCAAAAAAGTAAAAGTTTGTCCACATACAGTATCTTAAGTTTACAAATGATAAAAAAATTAATAAATAAATAAATAAATCCTGCCATGTGCTATGATGGCACTGCAGGCCAGACTTTGGACACACTTGTTCTAAACTGCATCTCATGAGAACGCCCTGTGACTCTGCCTGTCCATCCACTGCACTGCCTCGGAGAAACAGAGACTTTGGGCGTCTCTTCTGGATTCACAGACAAAATATGAGCAGCACATTTTTTTTCTCTGCTGTGAAACAATCAATAGCCCCAAGGCCCTGTTTAAAATTTGCAGTATCTGGCAGAACATTTCGACAGCACAGCAAACACACTGCAGAAAGGCTAAGGTGAAAATACACCTGTACAAAACTGAAGTTGGAAAAAAAAATCCCAGATTTAATTGACACAAATGTATGATTTTTTGTGTCTTAGTTGATAGATTTGTACCATTTAGGAAAGCAGAGAAACTGAGGTGAGAAGAAGGTGCAGCAGGTTAGGATGCTAAAGGAAAAAGATGGAAAAGCATTCCTTAAGGAAGGAGTATTTTAGGAAGTAATTACTAGAAAATACTATCGAGCACAAGAAGCTGCACTGTGATGTTAATAGGCTGCCAAAAGAGGAAATGTAGTACTCTATCAGAAAGATAGGAAAGAAGGAAGTACGGGATGGTTTTGCTGGACACGCATGAGGACAAGAGTGCAGGTCCAATGACGTGGGAGGGAAATCACAACAGAATCTTCTCTTCTCACACTTTTGGAGCAGGAAGTTTGAATATTCTGACTGGTGAATAAAATGAGCAAAAGATGACAAACAATGCTGTAAGTTGTAATCATACAAATAATAAGAAAGTATAAATTTTCGGAGCACCAGGTATTTAACTGATCCAAACCATCTCCACTGGTTCTGTTTTGGTGCATCTGTAAATGCAGGAGTTACACAATCTCAAACTTCCACAGCCTGCTTCTCTCTTTTCCTCATTGCTATACTTAATGTCGGAGGGAGTATAAACTGAGAGCAAAACAAACAAGTCTGTGGTCTGAGCGGTACCACATCAGCGGGGCAGCTGCACTGAGTAGAATGGTCATCTGTCACAGATGCTGGACCAAAACATGCAGCTGTAAAGATGGATATAAGGCTCAGAAATAAAGAATCTGAGCATCAGTGAACTGGAGCAGCATGTCACCCAACCTGTTTTCTAACCTTAACTAGAGGCTGATGAGACCAAGACACTTTTTCGCCACCGGTTTTATATTAAAAGTTTTTTTGTGGCTGGAAAATTACTATTTTTTAGCCCTGTAAACTTTTTTCCTTCAACAAAGCCAATAAAAGAAATCAGCAATTTTCAACCACTGCACACAGGAGTTAGTGATACAATACTGGTTCCAAGCATTCAACCTGAAATGTGTCATGTTGGTGCTTTGTAGTATAAACTAGTTAATATTCATCTTAGTCAAACAAACTTAGAGACTGCGATGGAGCAGCCGCCTCTGTGTCACCATCAGCTGAAAAAACAGATTTTACAAGGGCCTTCTTCAAAAAAAAAGGAATTCTGGGCGTAATTCTTTTGGAAATGAGAAAGATATGATGTTCGTAAAAAAACATATCAAAATGATGATACAAATTTACTATAACATTTAAAAAGGTCAAAAACAGTGATATAAAACCAGTTATGGAGCAGAGCTCTGGTGCAGAGAAAAGCAGACGACAACACTCTCTACTCTGTTCCAAAATAAAATCTCGGCCACGAAAACAGTTTGACAGTGGACAGTGGTTTGGACTCAGTTTCTGACACTTTCTTTTTCTTGCTCCCTGCTCCCTTTTGTGTGACTTTCCAGGCACATGAAACTGTACAGCGAGGCAGCAGTCGCTCTCTCCAACATCACTCTCATCCAACACAAGATGACGCTTGACCCCAAAGCCAGCTGGCTGAGGTTCCACCTGGGTATAAACCGATACGCCCTGTACTCCAGGGATGACCCGGCCGTCCCACAGCTGCTCAGGGACATGCAGAGGATGACTATAGCCAACGCAGGTGAGATGCACGACTGCGCGGCTCGGAAGTTTTGCCACTAAACAAATATTATTCCAGCAGGTTTTTGTCTACACAACAGCAGCAGCAGATTATTGTGTTGCAAAACAAAAACCAACAACAATTATGTGGGCTCCAACCAGCAATGTCTAGGTTAACAGATGGATGTGCTAACTGACTGAACCACAGAGGCAACTTTTTTCACTTTCGGACAAAAGTGAAAAAAAAAATGGACAAAAATATGACAAAAAAGAATTAAAATTAGAAAATTGAGTAGAAAATTGATTCAGGTCTGACAAAGGTAATAATTCTGAGTTAATAATACTTTGTAATACAAAGAATGCAGGTAAGTAGGCAAAAGAAATAGTTTAAAGTCATGGGAAAAGTTGAATTGTTCTTTAAATGAACCAAACAGCCTGAAAAGTTATTTTGTTCACCTTGAATATGAGCCATGAAAATAAAAACACAGACAAAGCCGACTTCAGCGATGCTCCTGAGAATCGAAGCAGAATCTTCTGCTACAACTGTTCTTCTGTTAAACTGACTAAATAACGAGATTTAAATTATGTTAACAGATTACACTCAGGATGAAAAAGCCCTTAAAGGAGCGTGTGACTGCAGCCAAGGTACAGTGGTTTCACAGTTGTACACAAACCCACACTGTTGTCTTTGTCATAAGGTAGAATTTTTTTCTGCTTGTTTTTCATTTGGCTCCACATTTCAGTTGAGACATTTGTCTTTGACGTTTGGCATGTCTTTTTGCACATTCCTGAGTTTTACTTTTCTGTTGTTGTTTAAACCATCAGTAAAATCAAAGTACCTACGATTGAAATACGTATTTTATGTGGTACAACCAGTTATTTAAATACCTTGTGGAACAGGAAGGTAGTTTGTAGCAATACTGACATCAAGCTAATGACAAATGTACATTTCTTCCTCAAGCTTAACAATGAAGGTGAATGAAGTCATGCACCAGTTACTGACATAGTTTGTAAGTGAAAGTGAAGTTAAAACATGTAAGGAAAAAATACTTACAATTTATTGAAAGGACAAAATCCAGAAGTGAAGGAAGTGATGCCGACACAGTGAACTGAGAATGAGAGGAGATACAAGTGAAAGTGATTAGAAACTGGTGTAGGACTTTATTGACACCACACTTGGTGAATTGACAGGCAGTTGTTGTTTTATTTGGTAGATTGCTTCTATCGTTTAATTTTTTTTCCCCCAAACATTTTACAATGAATGATTTGATGTCTTTGTTTCAGTGGTGAAACCTAGTGGTCATCACCTGAAACTGGCTCTGAAGATGACCAACTATGCTAAGGCCATGTTTAAGCCAATGAGGTGAGAAGTGAGTCTTCTGTCTGGTCTGAATCATGGGAATTAAGCGGCCCACATTATATCCTAAATATGTGGGCCACATCTTTGTCAAATTAGACAAACTCAGACAAGTTTGTCTGGTCCTCTGTCTCATATGCACAAAATGTATTAAACGTCCATATCAAATTACGGCCAACGTTGTGGATGACATCGGTGGGTTGGACTATAGCGACAGGTCAAAACAGGGGCCGAAACAGTGACAGTTTTAGGGTTAGATGAGTTGTGTTTCTGTGATCTGGCCCAATTTTGGACACCAAATATGGTAAATGGTATCAGGAGAATTCAAGTTTGGTTAAAATTTGGCCCACATTTTGGATACCATATGTAAGCCAGAAAAGTCTGTTCAAGGTTTAATTTGTTTGATGAATATATAAAATATGCAGTGAATAAAATTAGTTAATAAAAATGTAAAATTATTTTACAGTATATTATTTCTCATTTCTTATGTGTCATATTATTTACTTCAGTCCAAACTAGAAAACAACAGTTTGAATTACTGATTTTACACTGTTTTACACTGTGTGTGTGTGTGTGTGTGTGTGTCAGGCAACAGAGACACGAGGAGACTCCAGAGGACTTCTTCTACTTTGTGGACTTTCAGAGGCACAACGCAGAGATTGCAGCCTTTCACCTGGACAGGTGGCGCCCTACTGATATTTTTCAATTCATACGTTCCATGTTATTATGATTACATCTGTGGATTTTAGTTTAAAAAGGCTTGAACCAAACACAATTGGCAGAAAGAGCTGAAAGCAAAAAAGGACAGTGCTTGTCTTTGACTTTAGAAGTCCAGAGTGCAGCACCATTGACAGTGGTAATGAGTAGGCGTCTGTGAGTCATGAGAAATAGATCGTGGTGACCAATATGAGGTTTCATCAAACCTAGATGGTGGTGTAAAAGAGTAACCATGAGAAGAGTGGAACGAGAAAGAACAAAACAAAGAAACAAACATAGAAACAAACATCAAGAGAAAGAAAGAAAAGAAATAGATATTTTTTGATCTTCAGGTTGTACTGGTTTCTAGACACAAACAACCGTCTGACTCATATATTCATCCCGGTGTCGACACCTGACAACCAGACATCCATCACAATAAGTGAATCACGTTTATCCAACCTGCAATTTCTCCATCGCCTGATGGGTGTAAACCGCAGTCTGGGACACACATACACACACACACACACACACACACTTTTTCAGTGTGTAATTGTGAGGTGAAGTGATTCAGTCTTATCTGCAGACAGTGTCATTAAAGCAGACCGTTGTCATGTCACCACAGACTGGGAAACAACAGGAGCTGAAACACCAACCTGTCAATCACTGTAATTTTACTGGTGGCTCCACCATGACCTCATCACATACAAACATCTATTGGACGTTAGGAGGAAGCATTAGCAGCAGTTTCTCACCAGTCGTGCCGCGTCTTTCACTGCTCCTTGGAAATATTTATTTGTTCTGCTAACATGAAAACTCTAACCAAGTTGGCTAACATTCTGGCTAACCACTAACTATTTAGCTGGTATTTATAGCTATTCTTAGGCTAGTTTTTTTAATTTACTGCATTTGAGATAAAAAATGTTTCCTCTGATCATTATTTCAGATTTAGATTGAATCTTGGACTTAAGGAAGAGGTATTTTAGGAAGTAATTACTAAGAAGTACTATGGAGCACAAGAAGCTGCAATAATGTTTTGAAGCACCAGGTATTTAACTGTTGCAAACTACAGTATCTCCTCTGATTCTGTTTTGTAAATGTAGGAGCTACAAAAGGAGGAGGTGAAGGAGGCTGTTTTCCTTCTTACCGTTTTTGAATATTTTGTGGGGGGGGGGGTTTGTTAGGATCCTGGACTTCCGCAGAGTTCCACCTGTAGCTGGGAGATTGGTGAACATCACAGGTGAAGTGCTGGAGGTCACACACACCGAAGATCTACGAGCTGTTTTCTTCACCTCACCAGGTACAACCTGGAAACAGTAGGAAAACACACAGAATGAGAACTGAGAACTGTTTGTTTGTGTTGTGTGAAAACAGTGTCCAGTGAGTTGGATTCAACTTTTTTTCAACTAACATACTAACAATATACTGATATACAAATATAAAAATATGGCTGAAATACCACCGCTAGCGCAGGGCCAGCTAAAGTAGCCTTAGCTTCCACTGGCATTGTTATCTAACTTTTAATCATCTACATAATTATTTAGATATCCTTCAGGTCTTTGCGCAGCCTTTAGCATATGATAGGTTATCATAATCATAAGTTCAACCCTTTCATTGATTCTATACATTTGGCCAAGTTTTTAAGAAGTTAGGCCAAGTTTCACTAACTTAGCTATTTTGCTATATGGAAACCATTTTACCTAAATCGTATTTTATTTTATTTTGTACTCAGTTTAGTTCATTTTCATTTTTTCCCCTCAAATGTCGAAATATGGCGTCTTAAAAACTTCAATTCTTCTTCTTTTCTTCACAAAAACAGCCAACAACACATGTTTCTTTGCCAAGTGCCTGTATGTGTGTAAGACTGAATACGCGGTGTGTGGTACTCCTGATCTTCTGGAAGGTTCTCTGTCTGCATACCTGCCCGGACTCACCATAGCGCCCCGTATCTCCATCCCAAACCCCTGGATACGCTCCTACAGCTTCACCGGACGAGAAGAGTAAGAACTTCATCCACCTTTGAAGAAAATATTGTTAAAATGTGTGAATTTATTTTATGGTCTACAGATGCTCAACATTAGATAAAACGAAGTTAATAACCTTTTTTTCGAAACCGTCCTGTTCCATGGTGCGCACTCGAGCGTGCCGATAGCAAAAGAAAAATATACTTTTGTTTTATTTTGAAACCCAAGCTCCTTTTTCCTGTCGCTTTTCAAAATAAAACCACCATTGTTTTAAAATGATAAATGTATATATATATATATATATATTTTTTTTTTTTTATATATATATATATATATATTTCTGGTATTGACTTTCAAATAAACAAGTGTATATGTGTATCACTCAGAGACAAACCAAATGTGGTTGGAGACACTTGGTGGTCCTCCAAGAAATTACAACTTCATGTATCCACAGAATAAAGTGAAATGAAAGAGTAGATACTCAACATTGCCAAATAGGAGAGGATGTTTTTCTCTTTGTAGGCTGATTTTTGTTTTTCTATTTGTGCACTTCTTTTCTGTTTGCTATATTTAACAAAACTGTTTGGTCACTTTATACCAGACAGACTGAGACCCCTTCCTGTTTGTGGCATTAATCAGTCAAACCTCACAATCAGACTCATGCAATAAATAAAAACTTCTGTTTACTGTATTTAAAAGGTGGGAAGTGAATCCTTTCTACTGTGACAGTGTGAAACAGATGTATCCATACAACTCCGGCAACAGGCTGCTCAACATCATCGACATGTCCATCTTTGACTTCCTGACAGGTATTTGGTTCAAGTCCTTGTACAGATACAGGTTCATACACACACAGGTTTAGTAACGTTTGTGTCTCAATCACAGGAAACATGGACAGACACCACTATGAGATATTCACCAAGTTTGGAGACGAAGGATTCCTTTTGCACTTGGACAATGCCAGAGGGTGAGAAGAATTAGCTTTGACTCATTGCTGAAGTCATACACAGTAATAATCACGTGTCTTAAACATCATGTGCTCAGGTTTGGGAGACACGCCCAAGATGTGATGTCTATCCTGGCTCCTCTAACTCAGTGCTGCATGTGAGTAGAATTCACTCTGGAGCAGCAGAATCATACGCTCTATAAGTCATACACATGGTCAAACTTTTTCCCCTTTGCCAGGATCAAGCGCTCCACCCTGCTGCGACTCCAGCTCCTGGCACAACCAGCGTTCAGACTCAGCGACATGATGAGAGAGTCTCTTCAGGGGGATCCATTGTGGCCGATTCTGACCGAACCCCATCTCCAAGCCATGGACCGCCGGTTACACAAAGTGCTCAAAGCTGTGCGGCAGTGTGTCAGGAGGCTGGGGGAGGACGAGGTGATCATTAAGGACTTTGTCAAATCCACAGCAGAATCTGGGACCAGCACAGAGAGGAAAAAGAGCAGGTAACACTGGATGACCCTGACACAGGACTTCACCTCGTCAACAAACCGGGTTCAGCTGGTTTTTGTTTAAGGAAGACGGCGTGGAGCGAAGGTTCAGAACATAAAGCACTGCCGGCTTCAGATTCCTGCCAGCGACAGAGAGCTACAATTTTATTTTCCTTTTCTTTCTGTTCAATCGTGGTCATAAAACTCCCCTAAGGGGCACTTTATGACTGTTGGTGAACACCATGTGCACTAAAGTTGTTATAAAAGGGTTTTTAAGTATAAATTAAGACCTTCAAAAGAAGGAACATTAGCTGAAGGGGGCAAAGGGGGGTAAAAATAAAGCTGGAAAAAAAAGAACAGGAAAATTCATTCATACATGGAGTTGATGTGACTGTCACAGACATTCAGTGCTGCAGAGGACTTTATGTAAGAATTGTGATTCACTGGATCAGAGTTTTTATTCAATGACTGATGAAAATCCTGACTGTGGGAGAGAGATCGGTGCCACGTCTGTGTAGTGGGCTTCAGGGGAATAAAGACATTTTAAGTTATGAAACTTTGTCAGGATTTCTCTTTTTTTCTGACACGTTTTATATGATTAAACATCTTTACATGTTGAACTAAGTGAGCTTTTTTTCCTGGTTACAGATTAGCAATTTTGCTCTCAGCTGTTGGGTGCAAACTTTTAGTCATTGTAGGATTTCGACCTTCAAACAACACTTTAAGACTCATTGTGAGTTTATAGAGATTAAGAAAAGTGCAACCTACCAAACCCTCATTGGGTTCTAACTCCACCCAACTTTTCCAGACTTGTAATCGCTCTGTCTCATCGGTGTTTGAGCAGCTTTACGACTGAACTGTCTTTAAAACCCAGACGAGACAAAACCCTGACAAACTCAGTTTTTAAACAACACCTCGGAAACAAAGGCACATTTTGTCATTGGTGTTTTTTTTTCTTCCTCACCTGAACATGTCTGAGCCTCAGCCTGTGTTATTGAATGAAGTCAGACAAACCACCACTACAATTCCAGACAGATGTGCAGATAAAAGTCGGATGATGACACAGTCAGTGGGAGGCTACATTTACACACTTTTGACTTGAAAAATAATAGGAACAGGAAGAAATACTTTACTGCACTGTTAAAAAAGAAAAGTGGCTGCAGGAACAGGCTGAACTTTAACAAGCAGTAATGAGTAAAATACAGGGTCGGTGACTTTAACCATGAAAACCCTCGCAAAATATATTGTTCATTTTTAGTTACTGTAAATAAATATTCCAAATCAGTGTGTTTAGGAAGCATATACAGTGAAATAAAAAATAAACATGGGAGAAGCACTTATATGCTTTGCTCACATTGGCTTAAAAACACTGTTTTTAAATCACTATCTTTATAAACTCCATATAATGTCTATCAAAAAGTGACTTTAAGACATACTTTAGGTTTCGCAGTTCTGCGTCAATTAAAGTTTAAAAAGAAAGAGATCAAAAAAAGACACGAGACAAAAACGTTGTGGTTTTTCTCTTTTTTATTGCTTAAACTGCCATCTGGAACAATCTATACCAAAAGGATAAACATCTTTGCACATACAGGTCAAACTGAACACAGGGTATAGAATAGAAAAACAAATGGTCCTCTGGTTGCCTGCAGCACTTCATCTAAGGCTGCAGGTCTAATAAACTCACTGAAGGTCGGGCTAGCAGGAGTGACCCACCATGACGAAGACGACGACAACGACTACTGTAAAGCCCAGGTTAGGAAAGCTAAGGCAAACCGGGACGATTGCAGTGTGGCTAAAATCATTCTGGGACAAAAAAAATAAAGAAGCAACAACTGATAACGGCCTCGACTGTATTTACACGAAAACGGTCTATTCTGAAAATAGAGTCAGAAAGAAACAGGACGCAATGTTTAATTCACACAAATCTGAATGTCACCACATCAACGAGTTTAACCTGAGGGTCAGAAGGAAAAATATTAAGAGAATGGACCTAAAGGAGACGGATTGGAGCACACTGCACTTCTGTTCCCAGTCACTCAGTACAGTCAGTGAGTACAGCAATTATTCATGTTGCAGCACTAGTAATACTATTTTGAGCATGTAAAGAGTTCAGTACATCCCTAAACCTCAGCTATGCATCAGCTGAGCCAAAAAACAGTGAAAGAACACTTCCTTGTCCACATCCTTGTTTTTCTTCTCCTGACAGAACTGTGTAACCGGGAACAACTGTGACAGCTTCTGCAAACGGCTGGACTTCTCCTTTAAATGGACAGTAATGTAAATACACTCATTTCTGGCAACGGTAATGATCGTTGCCAACCTGATTACCCTGCGGTCGACACCAGAATCGGTTCTAAGCGCGTTCAAGTGAAACAAAGGAAAGAGAAAGACGAGGCAGGAATGAAGAGTCAACAGTGTGCCATTTGGTGAAGAAGACCAGAAATACCAGAAATGAAGCGACAGATTCAACATCGTATACCATCTAAATACTCAAGAAGCAGTAAAGCCGGGATTTATCAAATCAAATATTGGACAGACAAACCATCAAACTCACGCTCCCAGTCACAGCAGATCATGTTGAAAAAGCAGAGAGAACAGCTCACAAGCTAATCTGATGGCATGACAGCCACCGCTTCAAAGAGGGCAACGACATAAGACAACGGTTTGTCTATAAATATCTGCGGACGTCGGTTGTCTGCTTGCCACACATAAATACTTCCTCAAAAATCCACAAATCCGTTTTTTATTTTTCCTCACGACTTCACTTTAATAAACCAGTAATGAACCCTTTGAAAAGTTCTAACCCATGACTTATTTTATTCACAATACAATTATATACTGTTTTGTTGAGAAGAAGCATTTATTTACTCTGTGGCACTGGACACCTAAAATAGAATTTATGGAAAAATAAGTGTTTACAAAAGACAGTTTAACGTATATTTATTTATATATATATATATATATATATTTAAATATTTTTTTAAGATCACCATCACTCCAAACCATATATTTTTTTATTTAGTCAATGGTAGTAGTAGCGCTATGATCCGTTTTAACTAGACTAGAATAAACCATAGCAGGAGAGTGAGCAGGTCGTTTGGTAAAGACTAAAACAAAATGAATACTGAGATACACATAATACTCTGTCCTTTCTTACTTAATGTCTTCTTTTCCCTCAAGCCAGTTATTTTACGGTCATTCTACTGATTAGGTGGACAGCAAAAAGGGGTGAGTGGGGGCTACTTCCTGTCTGTAACTTTAAATAATCAACCAAGCAAAAGAGTGCGCCCTTCACTCCCATGGCGTCTTCATTCTGTAACAATAGTCATCAAGGTTTGGCACTAGCCTGGTAGCTGCACAATTAAACTGAAGTCACAAAAGCTCTTTTGTGGAAAAAGCAGAAGCGACACCAATGACCTCAAATCAACAAAAAGTGAAGCGTCACATGTCAAGAGCTATAACCTCAAAACAGAATTTCAAGTTCTAATCTCTTCACAGTTTTTAGGTTCGGCTCCATGCTGTACAGCAGGGATGTCCTCATCCAGGCCTCAAGTGTTTTCACAGTCCTGACATTAGTCTGGACCTCATTTTTTATTTTTTCGATTTCAACAACACAACCGCTTACTATCACTGTCATCTTTCACTAAAGAGCACCCTCTGCTGGATACTTTATACACTAACTCTATAGCCATTTTCTGATTATTGTGTGTGTATATATGTGTGTATAAATAAATATATGAACATATACACAAATATATACATACACATATAAACACACATGCATATGTGTGTTTATATGTACCAATGTGTATGTTTTGTATAGGTATGTGTGTTATATATTATATGTTTATATGTATATTTATATCCCCTTGACCAGAGGACTACTGTTGTTAGTATGACTTCTGCAGGTAAGATGAATGAAAAAAATGTATATATTTTGACAGTAACTCAGGATCAGGAGCCACAATGGTGGATGATGACATCCCTACTGTTTTTATGGTCATAGGGTGTAACGCAGGAGAGGGTACTGTAGAGGGGGGGATAAAATAAGGTTTTTTATACCTTAACTAAAGATAAAATCTGTAATAAATTCACCAAGAGCGCCATCTAAAGGTTGATTGTCCTGTCTCATCAGCCTGAGGCCCAAATGTCTCTCAGATCTAATAACAATCCTATTTTTAACATTTTCAACAAAAAAACAAAACAAAAAAAACAACAACATTATTAACCAGCAAATACATAGAGAATATAACATAGGTAACATGACAGAACTGTGCCCACAAGGTAGCAAACAGCAGCTGGTACAAGCGCTGGTGAATGGCTAAAAGTCACCTCTGCCCGACGGGTGGTAACGATAAAACGATCAGTGTGAAAAACAAAGAGGGAGAAGAGGAAAAAAAGTGAAAGGAAAGAGAAAGAAAAAGAGCAAGAAAGTGACAAAAAAAGCAAATTGCATTGGTGGACCCTGGGTCAGAAGGAGAAGAGGAGCAGAGAGGAGAGGAGAGGGTGAGGATTTCAGACAGACAGCGAGACAAAGCTGTTGTACTGCTGGATGTTACGTTTGAGAATGTCTGAGCAGGGACCCAGGACGCGCTCGAAGCGAGGTCGGTCCAGTTTCACACACTTCAGGGGGCCGCGGGCGACCACCGTGGCGGCACGAGGACGGTTCATCAACAGAGCGATCTCACCTGGATGGCACAAAACACTTAATTTTAGTGGAAAATAGAACCTAAAGGATTCATTTAGACTGACAGACCTGAAGAGAACCAGAAAAGAACCAATGTCAGAACTGATCAACAACCACAACTCTTTATGAAATGTTTTCCATGTGGATAAAAATCTATTTACATTTGTAAAGAAATACACACAGGTCGATTGAACGAACTCCTGACAGAAGAACCACAAACAGAGAAAACCTAATAAAAAACCAGTGTCAGACGATTCTCACCAAAATAGTCAGATGGTCCTAATCGGCCCACTTCCACAAACTCCTCGTTCTCGGAGCGACGCTGCAACACAGCTGCAGAACCCTGCAAACACACAAACACAAAATCAATTAATTTCTGATTTTTGATTCAGTTCCATTTTATTTTTACTTATTTATCCCATTATTAAAGTTCAGTGTCTTGTTTTAAACCTGTTTGTTTTAGTAGCACCTCAGGAGTGCGGCAGCCTCTTTTGTGACCACAAGAGGGTGTGTGCAAGTTCAAACAAGACACCAATGGAGCAACGTTTTGTTTGATTAAAACTGGGCCAGAAACTAAAACCAGATCTTGAACAACACATGGAGACCACTGTGAGGAAACACTGGGGAGTGTGTGTGTGTGTGTATGTGTGTGTTTGTACCTCTAGGATGATGAAGAACTCGTCTCCTGGCTCCCCCTGAACAACAATCTTCTGTCCGTCCTCAAACTGGACAGGTTCCAATGCGTCGGCGACTGTGAGACGCTCCCATTTGTCAAGAGACTCTGAACAAAAAACACACACACACACACAGAAGGCAGAGATACAACACACACACACACACAAAACACCTTTTTGTTTGTTATGTGAGATATTTTTAATCAGTTTTATTTTTTATCAGTTTATTTTAGTCTCAGCACCAAACACAAGCTGTTCTTCAGTCTGAATGTAAAACAAAATGACACTGACAGACACAGGTGGAACAGTGATAACAGAACCATCTAACAGAACCATCTCTGTGGTGGACTCACCTAATATGGACACCTTCCTGAGGAATTCCTCGTACATCTTCCTCTTTCTCAAAGTGCTTCCCTGTCAAGACAACCACGTGTGTGTCAGTTAAACTGCATGAATATAAAGATGCCACTCAAATCCAAGTCTAGAGCGCCATCATGGGGACACAGAGTTGCCACTGGCAGTTCCATCCTCACCATCAGTATTCTCCTGTAACTGTCTCTGTCGATGCCCCACAGCTTCACGTTGGTCTTGGCTCTGACAGTGGCCGCCCTCGGGGTGCCGTAGATCAGGGCCAACTCTCCGAAGCTGCCTCCTTCTCCAATGCTGGTCACCCATTCGTTGTTCACATACACCTGGAGGAGGAGGAGCATGATGGGAAAACGGTGTTTCAAACAATCAGAAAAAAGTCATATTTTTAACGCTGTTGTTGAGAATCAGACACTCACGTCCATCTCTCCCTGGTCGATGACATAGAAATTGTCGCCTTCGTCACCTGTGTGTTAAAATAACAGCATTAACAACTACTTTAATCCATTTTGAGAACTTTCTTCAAAACACAAAATATGGCCTCACCCTGCAGTATAACGGTTTCCCCAGCAATGTACGTAACAGGAAACATGGCATCAAAGATGTCACTGTGAAGACAGAACAGAAAGAAACTGATAAAACAGCTGCACAAAGATCCCTGCCTTTCATTGACAGCCTGTTCTTCACACGTACCTCCTCTCGTTATCGTCCAGGTGGGAGAAGAGAACGTTCTTTTCAATTGCTTTAGCCAAGGCTGCCATCGTCTTGTAGTCTTTTGGAATAACCTTAGAAGACAACACACATGCGCAGATGTGATATCACTCAGTCCACCAATTTTATTTGACTACTGCCTGAGCCAGCAGATGGGACTCTAAAGTCTGATTCATGGTTAACTTTTAAGCACACTGATTTTGTCACATGTGTAATATAGCAATTTTTTTAAACAGTTATGCATGAAAATTAGCAGTACCACTGGACAACGTGGGGGGCAGTGTTGCCCAGGACATCTTCAGTTCTAAGGTTTTTTTACCTTTCTGACATATGAGGCTGCATCCTCTTCTGTGTAAACCTCTGCACTGAAGGCTCCTCTCCGCCGGCGACCTTTTACCACTGGGTTCATGGGAGGAGACACCTCTTCATCACGGGAGTCTGAACGGGAACCGTTGGCCTTCTGTTGGTTCTGAATCTGTTTGGCCTCCTCCTGAAATGAAAAGGAAACAAAAGTCTGTGAGGTGAAAAGAACATAATCATTATAACACTATCAGGATTTAAAACTCAACACACAATATGTGTGTATTCAAGTAGGCAATAAAACATTTTATTTTTTATTTTTGATTACTTGTAAAGTAGTCATTCAGTATTTTTTTCATTTTCTAACACTTGTGACCTGGTGACAAAGGTCCTCCTATAGACAAAGAATTCTGTGATGGAAACACCAATGAAGAAGAGAGCAGACTGACACATGGATGAGATAAAGAGGAAGAAATGTGTCGGTTTGTGATTATGTAAATAAAGGCTGTCCTGTACCACAGTAACCACGTGGTAAACATGAGAGTACACGATGCTCCACAGCTTTCAACGTATAATGATTTCCTTTCTTTCTGTCCTCTAGCGGGTTAGGACAACCTAAAAAAAAGTTCCAATAACACAAACACAAACCTTCTCCAGCCTCTCAAAGTACTCCCTCAGGAAGGCCATGGGCCTGTCGGGCCTGGAGGTGCACAGCTGGACAATGCAGTCCTTCAGCAGCTGTTGAATGTTGTGTTTCTGCACGTACTGCTCGCACTCCCTCAGGCTCCGCTCCTCGTCGCTGTTCGTACTTCCAGAAGCCATGACGACAAGTGCCACGCCGCTCTGCGACCTCTAGTTTTTGTACTGTAGAAAGTGGAGAATAAGGAAGAAGAGCAGTGGGGCAGGGGAGGGTGTGGAGTGGACAGGACTTCAGATTAGCAGCCAACAGAACAGATTTGCTGAGAAGACTGAGTGTGTGTCTGTCTGCCTGTGTGTGAGAGTGAGAAAAGGATGGCGAGAAAACAGGAGAATGTGAGAAAAATAGAGTCGGGGTGAGAAAGCTCCAAGGGCTGGGGTGTTGTTTTGGCTCCATTAGTGCTTCTGAGCGCAAGGAGTGAAAAGTGGTCATATGATGTGGTCACAATTGACGAGCACTAAAGATAACAACGTGGGATTTGTGAGGTAGATTAATTCAGCCAAAGCAATTCTGAATTTCTATGAAAGAAGCAGTTTGTCAGAAACTGACACACGTATGTGTGTGTACATATATCAACATATCAACAATTTCCACCATGTGGATCAATTAAGTTATATCTATTGTAATATAAGATGTATATGTACACCTATATATATATATATATNATGGACACACACACACTCAAACATCTCTTACTTTTAAAAAGCAAACAGATACACTTAATTTCACCATCAAACAGTTTAAAAGAGCTGCACCAGCTTGACCAGCTGAAGACATGAGCATTAAAGCCACCGCACATCCACGTGGTTCCATCACTTCAAACCACAACACTGTGGCTGTGCAAAACAGCTGGACAGATAGCAGATTATCTGATGAGCCTGTGTTTCTGCAGGCCTGAACTGACATCCTGTGTCTGTAACCAACATGTGTTTTTCAGATGAGCAGCAGTAGTAGACAGTCAACAGACAGTCCACCATGTTCCTGCCCGTGTATCAGTATAATAGGATTGGGATCATTTCTGCCCTGCAGAGGCCAACACTGATTACAGAAGGTTATCAAAGATGTGCCTTTATGTATTATGTACCTTTATTTATGTACCAAACCACACTTGTGGCTGAAAGTTGGCAGACTTGTTCTGATACGATCCTTCTGCGGGAGTAACAACTGGTACATTTTACCCCACGTAAAGACACTGTGTCCAAGTAATGGACAATCCGAAAAACTGTTGTCATAATTAACCAGGCCTCACTGGAAAAAATTCTTTTGAGTGATAATAATAAAAAAAATAGAAAATAATAAATAGAATATACTTTAGAGATTATTAAGTTAGATTGTAGCTATTAGCTATTATTTACTTTTTTGGAAATGTACATTGAACATATGTGTAACCTACACTGTAGCTGAGATGATGATGAGCCGTCATATTAAAAAAAACATTTATAGTTATGTTAGACATTGGTAATCAATAAAACAGTGGCTTAACAATCACTTAAGGTTTTAAGCATGTCTAAAGCACTTCAATCCATTCCCATTACTTTCAAATATTTGTGTAATGACAGACTATCTGGCCCGTACTATACTGTACTATAACATATATATAGATATGCATGTTGGAACACGAATATTGTTAGATGTTGTACAAAATGGCAGCAATAAAATATAAACACGTTAGAATAAAGTAGTACATGTTGATTATTCAAGTAAAATCCTTTGCTGCAGCATCGCCTCCTCTGTCAAAGCGAGCTGTCATTTCTGATGACATGAAAATGCTGAAATGCATTGATCACCCTGCATAACAAGTAACAGCCAAAAATACTCAATTATCTACTAATAAATATCCTTACATATACAAACTATATAGAATATGTTTTAGTTTTGGAGCCAACCTGAAGGTAATTTCCTGTGTTTGGCACGGTCTAGGTCAGAGAGGCTTTAGTGGAGGCTGCAGCCAAGTTACTTAACAACGGGGAGACAAGTGCGGAAATTGAACGTATCAGTAAGCAAATACTAGCAAAATATGCACGCAAACATAAAAGAACACTAAATACGCGAGCGTTCAGTCTAATATTTCCGAACTGCGTTGTGTAGTGAAGCGTATTCAGCTTCGCAGTTAGCCTGTTAGCTGGGTGCAAAGGCAAATCTCTATCGGTCTCTCTCCTCTAATGACGCCATCTTGACTTCTATTATAAACAAACGACAGACGGAGGAAATTCTCCTGTGCACAACCACAAAAGCTTCGCTGTAAAAACGAATCGAAAAATACTCACGACAAAGGAAGAAAAATTCTGCCGAGTCCTTCTGTGGTGACTCGGGATGGATGTTTTTTTTTTTCTAGAAGCGTACCGTTACCAGATCCTCCTCGCTTCGATTTTTTTCCCCCCAGCCTTGGACCGCTGCCCCACCGGATACGACAGAGAGCCAATCGGTGTCTGCCTGTGACGTAGTCGAGCCAATCAGCGACTGGCAGTGACGTCAATTCTCCTCGTTCTGACATGTGAGCCAGTAACCCTGGGCAACCTTAAAGGGGTCGACACGACACTTGTGACGTCAAGGAAATAGTTTGGATGGAAATTTAAAACTGAACTGCATTTTAAAAATATATAATTCTCCCCCATTAAGGCAATTGTACATTAAACAACTTAGATGTAATTTAGACGAGATTTATGACAGGGTGTTACACACTAGACCCTGTTGTTTGGATGTTTGGTTTTGAAGCCTTACAATGTTTCCATTCAATACAATACAAAATACACATTTTGTCTAGCCTACAAGAACATTAATTTTATCAATGGTGTAGATCTATCGTTTTATCTCATTATAAGATAATTTCAAAAGGGCTAACTAAGGAAAGTTGTCAACATTGTTAATTAACATCTGATTGCTTAGCTTATGGTTTGCTATCATTAAGCTAGCATTCATCCAAATTCTAACCATATATTTCATTATTTTATATTTTTTTACATTGCATAAAACACCAGTGTTGTGACGCCTAATGGCACAAACTAATACTGAAAATCTTATTCGTTCTTGTGGCTTTGCATATTACTCATTGAATTTGTCTCCCCTTTTCCTTTGAAAGAGACTCAAGACAAATTATGTTTAAATGAGCATTAGAGACGTATTTACCAGAATAAATATAAGGCCAGAAAACACTTGATCCTACTTCCGTATTTGAGGTTGTTGACGCTTATGCGCTTTTTTTTAAACCAATGAAATTATCAAAACAAGTCCTCGTGTCAAGACTGACGGTAGAAGTAGCCAATCAACGTCCTTCATCTTTGAACTAATGCTTAAACGTTTACTGACAGCTGTAACACCCAATCAAGGTACAGTTCTGAAAAGCTCGTTGACTGCAAATGGCGGAAGAGGACGAATCGACCAGGACGTGCCGGCCAATGGTGACGCATCTAAGGGTGACGCATCCTCCCATCAGCTGTTTTTGTTTTGCTGTATGAATATAGAAAGTTAATAACATAATAATAAAACTGTCGACTTGTTATAATCAAACGTCCAGTTAAAGAATCGGGTTTGTTTTCGTTCTCTTCTTCCGGTTTAGGACCGTTAACTTAGTGTGTGATGTATCCAGTCTGAGCCTGTCTTCTCTGTCTGCCTGGACCTTCGTCTACTCAGAATACTGTGAGCGTGGCGTTTGGATTCGAGGAAGCAGCAGGGGGATCGACCCGGGCCCAAGGCCTACGACCTAGGCCAGCGAGAGGAGAGCGAATCTCATTTATCGAATGGAACCCCGGGACATAGCGGAGGTTCCCGAAGTGGACCGAGGGTTTATCTGCGCCTCCTTCAACCAGGACACCACGTAAGTAAAGAGACCTGTGGACCGAGATCAGCATAAACTCAATCACCTGTACACAACTAACTGCTGCTTTAGCATTATTGATTGAAGTCCTATTACATATTAAAATTAATTTCACATGTTACGTTGTCCATCTAAACTAGGATTGAATCTAGGAGCGTTAAATGCTTGCTTTGGAGTTTTAGAGCAGCTGTAAGTGAAATAGGCCACTGTGTTAATCTTCTCGGCCTGTTGCTCATTAAAACAACATCATTAATAATAGTAAGAAAATCTGCTGCTGTATTAAAATAAGTGACACAGCTAAAAACACTCTTTATCACCATACGCTTAGGCCTTGGGCCAAGGGCAAATAAATGAAAAATGTTATGGTTCAATAGTTGGTCCGTATTAATTATATATATACAAATATATATTATTTGGATTAGAATAATAATAAGATAATGATTCGAATATTAAATATTTGTTTCTGTGAACTTAATAATGATAAGGGTTTGTTTATTAACTGTTCCAATCAGGATAGTAAGTACTTAAGGGTAGTGGTTCTCCAACTATGGTAACCGTAACTACTGTGGTACTACAAAGTGGTATGAGGCTTATTTATTTGCTTTTTAAATCTGCATGGGCAGTTGTTCTGGTTGTATATATGTGTAGTTCCAGAATTACATTTAAGACATAGTAACCCTGCACATGTTCTCCAAACCACTGTTAAGATGCACAGTTACATAAAATCTCCATTGTAGGTCTCTGTCAGTGGGAACCAAGTCTGGATACAGACTCTTCTCAGTCACTGCTGTAGACAAGCTGGACTGCATCCATGAAGGAGGTAGGACATTAGAGAGGTTTATTATCAGGATAGTAGCACATGAACATGTGGCAAACAATACAGTACGTCAATGTAAAATAAGTATTTGTTTGTCTGTTTGAGTGAACACTCTTGTCCATCTTCCAGTGGAATGTCCGGACGTGTACATCGTGGAGCGACTCTTCTCCAGCAGCCTGGTGGTGGTGGTCAGTCTATCCATGCCCCGGAGAATGAACGTCTACCACTTCAAGAAGGGTACGGAGATTTGCAACTACAGCTACTCCAACAACATCCTCTCCGTCAGACTCAACAGACAGGTGAGGGGCAGGAGGTGGAGCAGCTTTGTGTTTCTCACCACTAGGGAGAGCTGTCATACTAATGTCTGTGTCACTGTTTCTTCAGCGGTTGGTGGTGTGTCTGGAGGAGTCCATCTACATCCACAACATCAAGGACATGAAGCTACTTAAGACCCTGCTCAACACACCCACCAATCCTTCAGGTACACTCTCAGTCTGTAGAACTAGAACTGTCTATAGAACATTTTACACTAGAACAAGTCATTGTGGCTGCTTACTCCAACTGTAGCCACAGAAATTCATCCACCTCCAACTCACTCTCTACTGTTTCACCATCCTTAACGAATACTGACCACAAGTTTTACACATACTCACATGAAACCAAAGATATAGAAGGTTTAGCTCAAATGCTAACCAAAAACGTAATCAAAAGCTTGCCCAGAAACAGCTAACAGTTTGTTAAAACATGTTTGATCCTTGTAGGTCTCTGCGCTCTCTCAGTGAACCACACTAACTCATACCTGGCGTATCCCGGCAGCGCCACCATCGGAGAGATCACCATCTATGACGCAAACAACCTGGTGAGACCAACACAGCAGCATCATCACCCACACGTGAGAGCGTTCCAGTGTTCAGTAATTCACTAAAATGCTCTTTTGATTTCCACCTGTAGAGCACCGTCACCTTGATCCAGGCCCACGACAGCCCCCTTGCTGCCCTCACCTTCAACGCCTCTGGCTCCAAACTGGCCAGTGCCTCGGAGAGAGTAAGTAATTACTGTCTTCTTGACACTAGACTTGACACTGTGAAGTCTATTCTAGCCAACCTCACGTTCTGCTCCATCACAGGGAACAGTCATCAGAGTCTTCAACACACCTGAAGGACAGAGACTGTTTGAGTTCAGACGAGGGATGAAGAGGTCAGAGTGACTTTCTTCACGTTGAATCAGAAATGAACAAACACAGAGTAATCCTGTCGGGGTTCATGCTGTTTGTTTGTTCTTTCGTCAGATATGTCAGCATCAGCTCACTGTCCTTCAGCGCTGATGCCCAGTTCCTCTGTGCCTCCAGTAACACGGAGACGGTCCATATCTTCAAACTGGAGCAGCACAGTCCCAGGTGAACTATTTTTCTCTGTTTCCCCTATCAAACAAATCAGTGTCAAAGAATTGGCAAATTCATCTGTCATCAATGGATGTCGACAGTCTTCTCTGTCAGTCCAAAGGTAAAAAGTGAGTGAATTCACACTACATTTAAATTCACCATTGACTTTTGTGCATTACAGCAATTAATTGTGATAAAAATGTAATTTTGCAGAGAAGAATTTTTTATTTAAATTCAAAGTTTTGCCTTTTTTGGGGAGTTGGATTAAAAAGGTTCTTCGAGCAGTTAGACAGATTTACACTGTTCTACTCTGACATGGCTGACGTTTCTGCTGTACTTTTGATGAATCTTTTCTGAAGGTACAGCACAAGCAGTGCAGTCTGCTGTTGTTTCTGATGTACAATAACAATGTGCTGTATGTGAAGTCAGTTTGGATGCTGCTGTTTTTTGACTTGAATCTTTCCTCCTCACTCATCTTTCCAGTCAGGACGATGAGTCTCCCACCTGGTCGGCGTATGTTGGTAAAATGTTCACGGCAGCCAGCACCTACCTGCCCGCTCAGGTGTCTGACATGATGCATCAGGACAGAGCCTTCGCCACAGTTCGCCTCAACATGTTCGGTCTCAAGAACATCTGTGCTCTGGCCACGTAAGACAAGGAGACAAAAACCTGGACCTGTGTCCTCACACGACTATCCACTCACCTGTGGTGTGTTTACTTCTTACTCAGGATTCAGAAGCTTCCACGCCTGTTGGTGGCGTCGTCGGACGGAAATCTCTACATCTATAATGTCGACCCACAGGATGGAGGCGAGTGTGTCCTCGTCCAGAAACATAGGTGTGTGTGTGTGTCATTCATTTGCCCAGTGCTTTGTCTCACAGGCTGTAGATAAAGTCTGATTGTGTCCCTAAATATCCCATCAAGTAAAATATACTACATAAAATACAGAGCATTTCATTCGCAGTGTTAAACCTGTCCACTTATGACAAAATGAAAACGAATTGAATTGGGACCTAGTTACAAAATAGAACCCTGTTATTAGAAAAGCATGAATGGAATTGCTTAGTTAGCTCAGAACAGGCTAGCTGGAAATCAGGGCCACTGTTTTGGACACATTTATTAACATGGTCATGTGACTTGTGACGTTCTAGTCTTTAACTCCCATCAGTTCAGGTCATTTAACACTGGTCCTTACCTGTGTCATCACTGTGGGTCTGGTCTTGTCTTGTTGAGTCTCTGCCTACTCCCCACAGGCTGTTTGACTCCAGTGAGGAGCAGCTGGACCAGAAGGAACAAGAGAAACAAGAAGACGTTGCTCCTCCACCGGCTAGCCAATCGTACGCTGCCACCGTGGCTCTTCCTTCAACCCCACCGTCCTCCACTGCTCTCATGGGTAGTTTGTTACTGATGAACACATAAAATGCTTTATAAACTTCAATTGTCAGGCACCGTGGTGTAAAACACTGAAAACACACTCACTCACCTTCTTTCCTTCTGTTTCTCAGGTTACTCTGAAGATGGTGGAGCCCAGAAAGGCGACGTCATCCCAGAGCACGAATTTGCCGAGGGCCCAGTGTGTCTGGACGATGAGGATGAGTTTCCTCCAGTTGGCAACCAGAATAACTGACCATCACCTGCGTTCCCCTCCCCTCCAAATGTTTAACCCCCCACATCCTAATCTCTAATCCAGACTACATTCTTTACCACAGAAAGGTTGGACCAGAAAATTCCCCTGCTGGCCTCAGGGTAAAAAAAAAATCAACTTCCTTCTTTTCTCTGATTCTGTATTTTTTTGTCTTTAAAAAAGAAACTAAAATTCCATAGAAAAATATGAAGAACATTTCAGAAGTTTTGCTTAAGCTGATTTAGAGTAAACCGCAGACACAGTATTACCATGGTAACACATGACTGATCCGTGGGAGAAAAAAGGTGGTTCCACGGTAGGAACTAGAACCAGGAACTGGAGACAGGTTCAAGAAGTACTTTATGTTTATTTTCACAGAGGTTTTTGAGAAACCAGATTGAATATAATTTTTTTTCAGCCGCTAAGAAAGACCGTTGTGGAGCTCACCATTTTTGTACCTGAGGTCTTGCTGACAGACCTGGAGACAATGACCATGAACATTAGGAACTTTTTCCATGTGAGGCCAGACTCATTTGCATCATCATTCAATGTCTTTATATAGAATAGAACTGCATTTTTTCCACTTGCCATTTTTTCACAAACCTGTGGTGAAAAGATGACAACATTTCCTGTCAAACCTGAGCCAATCTAAAAAAATGTTACTGATGGTCCAAGGATGAAGCCCAGGTTTTTTTGGATAAGGAGGGCATTCAGCAAAACCAGAAGTCAACTGAGCTTTTATCTTTCTCACATGTCAGAGGCCTAAAAATGCATAAAGTCACATGACCTAATTGGTGTGACACCATAGGAATCCTTCGTAAACAAGAGGCCTTTGCTTCCTTGAACATTAATTCTAATGCTTAGAGTTCCCATTTGTTTGTGGCTGAAATGTGTCTTCAGAGAGCAGGCGTTACAATAATGAGTACACACAGGTCTGACCAGGAACCACAGCAAGGCACAAGTTCCACAAAAAAGTACCAGGATTCATCTTGAGCACTTTGATAGTACTTTGTTTGTCTGTTCAGTTTCACGTACTCTTGAATCACTACTTAGAGAATTATGATCGTGGCATTTTTTTTTTTTTGACAGAACACAAACAGGTCCTGGGACCTTTAACCAGACATTCAATGTGTTGTGAAACAGACACCGTGCTGGTAATGTGATGCACTATTTAAACCCTGATACATGCAGTAAGTATTTGATGACTTCAAATGCAGCTGAGCTTCTAATTATGGCCAAGGGCGACGTGAGAGACTTGGATCCAGAAGCTAAATGTGAAAAAAAAAATAAAAAAAAATAACCATTTTCAGCAGACGCCTTTGTTTTTACGAAACAAGACATTAAGTAGTACAATAAACGTGTAGGATATCATCAATTATTAATTTGATGAATTGAATATTATTTTTGGTATTACACATCAGTTCATAGTCTGATCATGTATAGCAATCTGTACGCAGGGTTTTTACTGTGTGTATACTGTGTATATAACATTTATATTGCATAGAGTACTGGTTGTGATAAGTACCATGTCGTACCATTAAGTTGCCAAAAGGTGGCAGTGTAGGTCACCTTTGGGTAGATTCATTAAAGCTGAGAACTGACTTAAAGTCTCTGATGACTTCTCTATAAGGAGTGAAGTGAAATAAAGTTGACTGGAAAAAAGCTGTTAACGCCCCCTGTGAACTAAACATTAAAGCAAAACCGTGTCAAAATAATTTATGCGCCAGTTTAAAAACTTTTAAAATGTAATTTAATGAGAAATAATTTGACAGACAAGAATCTAAAGGTTAGCCAAGTAGCAGCAAAGAATTAGCCAAACAGTAGATCCAAACCTAAGAAATTTAGTTTAAGGATAAAAAGATTACTATAAGATGGATAAACATCTTCAAGTATTTATATATATATGACCAAAATATTCAACTGCTATTTAACTACTACTAGTTAAAATATTTAATATTTATATGGGATGCCAGTCATTTCCTAACGGCACTGACCGGACCGAGGAGTCTCACCTGGACCTTTCCTCTACTCCCTGACTCAAAGTCCAGCTCTTCATCCTCCAGCATCTGTTTGCTCCCTGCTGATTTGCACGTCCTCCTCCTCCTGCTACATCTGGACGTTGGACCTAACAAACACTGCGCTCTACAAACAAACATCTGACGCCGTCCTCCAGCAGAGACAGTGCTGTGTCTCGTCCCCCCTAGAGGTTTACTCCCATCTGTGATCTCCTCAGTTCTTCTCTGACGTGAAGGCACAAGTGATGGAGCGCCCCCACCTGCCGACTCGTTGGCTGGCAGCGACACACGGGCTGCCTGGAGTCACAACAGGGAGCCGCTGACTTGTCTGTGCTATAGTCTGCTGAGGACACAGACCTGTCTGTGGCGATGTCCCACAGCAGCTCCTCTCTCCTTTGGTCAATCTTCTCAGCCACAGCCTGGTATTCTGGGGTCCTGATGTCCAGAGGCGTTTCCTCAGCTCCATCCTGCTCCAGGTCAAAAATTAAAGGTGGATTATGGAGCTGCTGCCCACCTGTACCACCCCCACATGACTCCGCTGCTCCTGGAAGGACACCGGGGGCAGTATTAAAGTTTCAATTCAGTCACAGTGACAAGTCATGTCAGTAAAAAATGTAATTGGGTCTGTGTCAGATTCCCAGGGTTTCCAGGTCAGAGGGTTAAAGGTGAAGGTAAGGGTTTGGGATTAGAGGTTAGTCCAGTCCAGTCTTGCTGTTGTTGAAGTCCTGTGGTCAACAAACCTGTGTGTGGCCAAACTGGTTCAGCACTGTTAAACCCGCTGACTCACATTTGTCAAATACCTGTGATGTAGAAAGCTTTGTGTTTCCCTCTTCGGACCGTTTGTAGGTCGCCAAATCTACCTGCAGCGCCACTGTTAGGGTGGAAGAGGAACTGCAAAAAAAAACAAACATAAGAAAAGGGCAGAAAGGCTGACATTGAAACAACAAAATGCTGAATTACCTCATGCCCAGTCTGTTTACCATGCAGCAGAACATCTGTGGCATCCATGCCATCGTAGCGTCTGTCTGCAGGGGGCGTTACTCCAGCCAGAGACAGCAGGGTAGTAAAGATGTCCATACCACTGTGAAAAGATGTGACAAAAATGTGATCTTGTCTAAAAATGAACTGCAAAAACTCTTTGATTGAGGTCTGGGGTTCTACTTGGTCAGGAATGACCAACTAGTTCATCACCTGAACTTCCTCACCAGACATTTAAAAAAAAATTTGTGTTGTGATTTTTAAATCTCCTCCACATGCTCAGCGCTCCACCGCGCTGCTTTTCTGGTGTGAAAACGCCCGTTGAGCCCACCTGAGCAGAGCAGAGTTGGTACTGTTGGCAGAGATCTTTCCTGGCCAATAAGCCACTGTTGGCACCCGGTGACCTCCTTCCCAGGTGGTCCTCTTGGCTGAGCCTCCCCCTGACAAACACAGACCACAAGATCAACTCAGGACTAAGAGGATTCTGGGCTCAGGTCTCCACAGGACCATGCAGGCCGAGGTTCCAGCCTCCACAGACGTTTTGTTAGTGTGGATATACATACCTCTGCTGGTTTGCCACTTTCCAACAAATGGACCAACACTTCCTGCGTACTGACACTTCTGCTCCCAAGGCCCATTGTCTCCTAATCACACATAAGAACAGACATTGATAAACACTTCTTCAGGAGAACATCTGATATGAGGACACATTTCCCCCAGGTCTCACCAGTGAACCAGATGAGAGTATTGTTCTGGTCTGTGTCATCAGAAACCTTCTTCACCGCTCCTATTAAACTGTCCATCTCTCTGAGACTGCTGCTGTAGACTGTGTGGTCAGCAGCAGTCAGGACCACAGCATCAGGAGGAGGTGGAGGAGGTGGAGGAGCCAGAGGAACGTGCATGTGAGCCAAGGCCACGTACAGCAGATAGGGTTGCCCTCTCTGCCTGAAGACACAAATGATGACATCGGGGTCAAGTTCAGTACTGTAGAAAACCAACAGAAATCTAATGATACAAAAAAGTGTCCAGTTTTCTCAATTATTGTGTCATTTATTTGAAGCATCCCGTCACTTTTGTCTCTAAAGGGAACTGGCTGTCCTCCTCAAAAACACCTGTCTTTCTCTCCTCACCCAGCAGATGTCCTCTCATCTTCTCTGGTTTCCACTGTTCTCTCAACTGCACAAACCTGTTTCTTACTTTGACACATTCCTGTCTGTGTGTTTCTTCCCTTGGTTTGAGGTCCTGGACGTGTCGTCTGCTCCGTCTCCGGGGATGCTGCCTGGTTGTCCACCCATCTTACTGTAAGCCTTGTCTCCTTGTCGTTGCACTCTAGTGCATCAGTATTGTATGTGCAGCAGTGTTGTACCTTGCATTGTGTATAACCCTGGTGGCAGCAGATGTGTACTGTTGGCTCAGTGTCCACAGGTTCAGTGGCTGCTCCACTATGCTGCTGTTTTCCATCAGAGGAAGCCCCACTTTGGTGTAACAGCCTTTGTCTAGTCTCCTCTTTACCCTGGAACATGGAAACACAGAAAAGCTGCGGCGTTGTCTTTACACGTGTCAGTGAGTGAGAGAATTGAGCAGGGAGGTTTGTCTGAAACCTTGTTGACAGACATTATTTTATTAATATTTAAAAAAAATGTCTGTTTGAGCTACCAGGTTTACCTGTATGTTTGTATCAGAGTTGTTAGGTTACAACACAGAGGCCTTTTCTACATGTTGAATAATAAAAGACATTTGTAATGAAACTGCAGGACAGGAAAGAAGAAGCCACACCTTAAGGCTTGAGGTGAAGATGAGTCACAGGGTAAACACCGGGGCAGATTATATCCTGGAGTGTCAGTGCAGCCCATATCATTACTGTATGGAATTCCTAAGTAGTAGTCGAAACCTGTCCAGGAGACAAAACATTACACAACAGCTCTAATCTGTGTATGTAAATATGATATGGAGGCCCACCTCTGTTAGTTGGGCTGTAGGGTCCGTTGTGGCCCAGGTGCCATTTACCGACCATGGCTGTGTAGTACCCAGATTTCTGTAGCAGCTCTGCCAATGTAACCTCAGATAAAGGCAGACCTGCCACAGAATTCACAGCAAAGTTATGGGTCACCCCGTTTCTGAGACCGTAGCGTCCAGTCAGGATGGCAGCGCGTGAAGGTGAGCAGGTGGAAGCCGGGGAGTGGAAGTCTGTCAGTCTGAAGCAACAGAAAGCAAAAGCTACTTTTTGGCTACCGTTAAGTTATTATTTGCTTATTTTTAGTACAATGTAGTTTGTTTTATTATTTATTATGTACTCTTTCAGGCTTAGTTGTATATTTAAGGTTATATTTCATATATATATATATTCTTATTTAACTATGTTCCAATCAACTTTTGCATTTTAACAGAAGACCGTGGAGGAGTGATTGTACAGTATGTTGATGCAAGCTTAGTGACTGCACTGCTTTTTGTCAGACAAAACCAAACAGGTTAGACAGTATAAAATAAGAATCTTGATGATGCAGCTGGTTACCTGAGCCCTTGTTCAGCCATCAGGTCGAGATAAGGTGTGTTGTCTGCCTTTTTTTCTGGCTGGTTTGCATCCAGATCACCCCAGCCGATGTCATCTGCCAGTATGATGATGAAATTGGGCTGTTTGTCATCTCCAGCCTCATGCTGGGAGGATGTGTGGAGCAGCTGAAGCGTTGCAACCAGAAGATGAACAGAGAATGACTTGGCCATTGGGGCCAGAATCTGCCAAAAGTGATAGAGACGTTTTAGCCATTTAAATCAGAGACGTCTTGAAAAAAAAAAAAAAAAACGATATCCTTAAAGGAAGGTTAAAATCTTGTTTGCAACAGTGAAAAACAACAATATTTACCTCACATACAGTTTAACCCATATAATATTTGCGTCAGTTCATGAGGTACGCATATATATATATATATATATATATATATATATATTTACCCTCAAACATCCTGGTGTTGAAATAAAGAACAGTCTCTCTGTTGAAACAGTTTACCACAGAGGGGGTTAGTACTGACTGCGACAGACTACCACGTCCAGCTGTCAACTTTTCCCTGTGGACTGAATCCGTACCCAAGGACGGTTTAAACTCTGTGTACTGTGCTGTAAACTGTGATAATTATATTTATTAATTATTAATTATAGGTCAATTCTAACTTAGTGCAAGCGGTTTTTGTAAAGTTGGCAGTTATTGTACTACCTGACAATAACTAATATACTTTATTGTTAGCCTGAATATTTTGATTAATGTTTTGGGGATATTTAAGCTAAACACGACCTCTTTAACTAGTGATTATTTGTTTATTCAAATTTGGTTATTTGTTGTCACATCATTTTAGTTTATTTGTGGGTATTCTCAGTCATCCAGGTCATAATAATCTCAAAAGCAGTTTTGAAGAAGGCAACTGGACTCACATCAAGTAAGTTGAGGTGAGTCCAGTTGCCTACATTAAATCTGCTTTTGAGATATAGTTTTAGCTCTTTCTATGCTTGTACAGCGCTGTTTCCTGATATTCTTAGTGTAACTTTTATAAATAGTTATTATTAAAACGTTTAAATAAGTTTGTCAGTCTTCCTGGTAGTTCCTTTGCTCCTCACGCTACTAGAGTTTGAGGAAGAACGGGAGAGACGTTAGGTCTGGTTTCAACTGGTTTAACTCCCTGTGTGCGTGTGCGCGTGTGTTTACACTGGCGTTCATATAACGCTCTAGCAGCACGTGGAAAAGCAGACATGTTCTGACGTAGCAACACCACAGCAGCATGAATCCGGTGCAGCAGTGACGATAACGATTTTACCGTCGGACCGTCACGAAACACAGGTAAGCAAATACTTTTTTAAACCCTTCTGAGTTGTAACGATCTCATTATTTTTTTTACATTCATTACGTCGTTTTGTAATAATTCAATTAGAAAAAAATACCGTGGAGTGGAGGGGGTCGTAGTATCGGTGGTACTCACGCTACAGTGAACTATTTTTTGAATTTGAAAAGACTTTTACTATGAAAGTCCTCCATCGGTTTTTAATCAGGTTCCTCCACTACGAGCGCACGCGCCTCCCGCTGTTGGTTGATAACTTGATTGCGTCAGCTGCATGAGGACGGAACGGAAGTTCATAAAGTTGTCAACTAAAAGTTACCAACTAAAACATCACATTATTACATAAAAAAAAAAAGTAAATATTAATATAGACACGTTTAAATTACCGTTTAGCCGTGTCCATGTAAGAACATTTGAACAAAATATACCATGTGCGTTATTAAAAACTCCTCATGACCAACCTGTGCAATAATAAATTTCTATATCAAGAAATGTAATATTTCATATTCTTTACTGCTGCCCTATGATAAATATATATCTTTATTTTTAAAAAAGCCCACATGACTAAGACTAAATAAAACTCTGTAGGACCAACTGCTGCATCACACCCCTCCAGGAATTGAAAAGATGTAAGTCTAAAAAAAGAAACTACTGTCTTAATGACCAGCTGCTACGGACGGTCTCTGTAGAAAGATAGAATTACGTTTTGAAATGAAAAAAGAAAACAAAAAACAGTGTCAAATCATCTTTTGTATGACATGGATGGAGCTACACCACAGAAGACACTGCTACAGTGTTATAATCAACAACGTGATCATTGTAGTGTGTGTGTGTGTGTGTGTTGTGGCTTCAACAGTCCTTTATCATACATCATACTCACGTTGTGCCGATGTTTGTCCCAGGGTGTTGAACCTTCATGCTGTATGACACACCTGCGAAAAACACAACACAGACATTAATGTGGTGAACTGTGGTCAGGAGGTAATGCTGTGATTGACACACCAGCAAAGCTGAAAGAAATCTGTCTGTTCTTGTGTAATCCTCCAAAAAGCAGAGGGCGAATGTTTGTTTATTTGTTAGGGGAGAGTGTGTGTTACATCAGAGTCCAGTCACAACAACACCGGGGTCAGAGATATGATCAACAAAACCAAACATCACAAACACACGCTTTCTTGGTCTTTCCAAGAGAAATGCCTTTTTCCCCAGGAAGTAGTGTTTTGTTTCACCCTGGTCAAAACAACATTACTGTCCATTTATTTAATTGTTGTTACTGTTTTGTTTAATCATTGTTCTAGTATATATTTTTTAATTTTTGCATGATTAGAGCTGTTTCAGTTAATTGGGCTTTATTCTCTACAGTCATGGCACTGTGTGGAGCCAAGAGGCCACGTTTCCTGGGGCCCAATGTGTACCCAGAGGCCCCTGACGGCGGCTGGGGCTGGGCGGTGGCCGTGGCCTTCTTTCTGGTGGAGGTTTTTACTTATGGCACCATCAAGAGCTTCGGCATCTTCCTCCAGGACCTGATGACAGAGTTTGGTGAGACGAACAGTCGAGTCTCCTGGATTGTTTCCATCTGTGTCTTCGTCATGACCTTCAACGGTGAGCACGGCTGATATGACGCTGCCGGTCGCAGACATTACAAACTGAGATAAAAAGTAAGACTGTTTTGCTGTGTTTCTCTGTTTGTGCTGTGGCTTCAGCGCCTCTGTCGTCGGTCATGACCAACCGATTTGGGTTTCAGTTGGTCGTCATGTTGGGAGGAATTTTGATAACTTCGGGTACCATTGCCACCAGCTTCACCACCTCTATCAACCAGATGTACCTCACCTACGGACTAGTGGCAGGTAGTGAAGCTGCTCGTCCGTCTCGTCTGCTCGTCTGTTTGAAGGTCAAGGAAAATCCCAGTTTAGTGACAAATGAAATCATATTTTAAACCCTTTCTCTGACCCAATTCCAGGTCTAGGCTACTGCTTGACCTTCCTGCCCACTGTCACCATCCTCTCCCAGTACTTCAGTCGCCGTCGGTCTTTGGTCACAGCTGTAGCTTCTACAGGAGAATCTCTGTCCATGTTTGCTCTGGCACCAGGTGAGAGCAAGACCATCGGTGTGTTGAGGCGTATGGAAGCACAGTACAAAGTGTTTACTTCATGTTTTCACTCCTTTGTGTCTTTTGTTTGTCAGCCTTCTCTGCACTGAGGGATCACATCGGCTGGCGAAAAACTATTGTGGTGATTGGAGCGCTGCAGAGCACTATCATCATCTGCGGAGCTCTGCTCAGACCCATCATCATCAAAGACAGGATTTCCCAAAAGATGGAGTTAGAAAGTTTGTCCCCGAAGGAACACGAAGCTCTTAGTGCTCAGGGGAGTGAAGGTGTCCCAGTACCAGAGGGGTCAATAACCAACACCAGCTCTCAGGCACAAGGCACTTCTTACAGTCTGGACAATGAGCTGACCCAAGGCTGCGTCAGCACCGGAGACTTTGGTGTCCAGTCTCTGAAAGACACAGGAAGTGGCAGCACAGAGGACAAGGCTCTGCTGCAGATACCTGAGGACAGTGGTGAAACCAAGTTGTCAGAAACTGAAAATATGGACAAAAAAAGGACAAAGGATAAATCAGAAGAAGCACGAATGTCTCAGAAGGTTACCAAACTACTGGACTTCTCCATCCTCAGGGAGTGTAACTTCATCCTCTACTGCCTCTTCGGACTGTTTGCCACGCTGGGCTTCTTCGCTCCTCAGCTCTATGTTGTGGAACTGAGCGTGAGTCGTGGAGTGGGGAGGGACCGCGCCGCCTACATGCTGTCCACCATGGCCGTGTCCGAAATCCTTGGTCGCTTCTCCATCGGCTGGGTTCTGACCAGGAATCGACTCAGAAAACACAAGCTGTTGGTGATTCTGGTGTGCGTGATCATCATGACGGCGGATCTGGTCGGGTTTACTCTGGTCAGGGAATTCTACGGCCTGGCTGTTTGCTGCGCTGTGTACGGATTCTTTATGGGAACGCTGGCGTGCACGCACATCCCTCTGCTGGCTGAGGACGACGTGGTCGGTATTGACAAGATGCCGTCAGCGGCTGGAGTCTATGTGTTCATACAGAGCTTTGCTGGATTGGCTGGACCACCGCTAGGAGGTAAACGTCTATAAATACAAATGAACCAGAAATTGTTTTCCATGATGACATTAGTCTCAGTCTGTTTTTAGAACCAGAGTACCAAGGTCAAAGGTCGCTATTGGATTTTTTTTTCTTCATTTCAAAACAAAAAACAGTTTCAGGTGCTTGAACTAGCCTGGAAATACATCAAGCTCTGTTGTCTCTGTGTGTGTGTGTGTGTGAGGAGTATATCTGGAGGAAGAAACAGTGCTCATATTGATCTAATAATTGAGTTCATATATGAAGAAATGAAACAGCAGATGTAAACCTGTCATTCTGCTCAGCTCAGTGGAGTTCTACCTTCTCCTTTATCGCCCTCTCTCTGCAGGTGTGCTGGTAGACATGACCCAGAACTACGGCTCTGCATTTTACTCTTGTGCCGCAGGCATGGCTGTGAGTGCCTTTTTCCTTGGTTTGGTAAAACCAGCAAAGAAAGGTTTGCTCTGCAGAAAGAGGTTGAGCTCTGGACCTGCCCAAGACACAACAAACACTAAAAAAGAGGTGGAGTCAGAGGAACAGCATAAAACAGACAATACGAAGAGACCTCAGGATCCAGCTTCTGTAGCAGAGACCAATGTGGACCACACAGGAGCCTCAGGAGATGAAGAAAAAGTCGTCCGTTTTGCCTAAATTCCTTAAGGGAACTCCCAAGGCATTAACAAAATTCTATCTTTCTATCTATAAAAAAGATGACATTCAGAAAAGGTCAAATCATAAAAGTTTTAAAATGAAAAAAACAAAACAAAAAAACAAACACTGCTGTAACAAAGATATACAACAAAGACCTTGTCTAGAGCTCGACCAATCAGGTTTTTTTTAACCTCACAGTAATATATTATATGTGTAGTACTGTGCAAAAATTATAGGCAGTTTTTTTCTGTCAGTCAGCCATGCTGTCCGTGCTTATGTTGTTCAGAATCAGCTTTCTTAACATGAGCTACAAATGCATAGGCCCTAAAGAACAGAATGACTGCCTAAAACTTTTGCACATGCGGTATTGTTATCACTGGTTAAAATAAGTGACTTGTCAACTCAGCTTTAATCATGGAAGCTAATGGATGAATCACCTCATTCTATTTCCATTTTCTCTGGGATGTGTGCCTGCTTTAGACTTTATACTAAGCTAAATACAACTGTTTACATAACTGATCATGACCATGAATGATTAGCCTAACTACAGTGAAACAAACAAGCACACAAGATAGTGGATGATCTGTTTACTGAACGTGAACTGCTGCTGAATCTGTTGTCAGAATAATTAAAGAAGCTTTGTGTAATATTCCGGAGCTGTTACGTTACTTACGAGCTGTAAGTAAAGAAACACTTATATTTGTAATTATCTTGTCTTCCTCCATCTATCCAAATTCAACTGTGACTATATCAGTGATCTGCACACAAACAGACAAACTCTGGCACGAGTTATTGATAACAGTGCAATTTAATGTCATTTTTCAAGCCTTTTGTGAGAGGTGTGAAGAATATACACTACATGATAGATGGATGTCATTTCTGTGTTTTACTGAATTTGGGAGGAACTGTTTCAAATGCTACATGTTACATTTTTTGAAGTGATGTGGTTACTGTGCTGCCACCTTTTGGCAAGTGTAGGCATCGCGGGTCCACTTTGATGTAAAAAAATCTTTAGTCAGATTATTTTTGTCCTGAGTGTCTGTGTAGGTTCTCAGTCATCCTCAATGTAAACATGTCTTTTTCTGAGTCATATTCATGGTACTTGTGGATACTTCTGGAAGGCTGTACCTACAAGATATGGTGTCACTGGTAACAAACTTACAACATATTGATTTATTCTGCAGTTTATTGCTCTCTATGTTAGAAAGAAAGAAAAAACAGTGTTTTGAAAAGAGAAGTATCAGAAGTCAAGTTTTTTTTAACCTTCATTATTTTTCCAGGATTTCCAGGCATCTTTGAAGCCAGAGTTTATAGTCATGAAAGGCTTCTGTGGGTTTGGGATAGTGCAGTGAAACCTGGGAAGAGGTGTAGGAGGCTCCATCTGGAGTACGTGTTGGTCCATGATCATCTTCTAGCCACTGCAGCAAGGCCTAATAAAGACATGGAGAAATGGACAGATCTTATTATTTACATGATTTTTCCTCATCAGACTTAATCCACAGCTTTAAAGTGAAGTAAGCTCCTATAGTGCATTTGGACTGGAGTTTGATGCAAATTCCAGAAGGTGTTTTGTGAGAGCCTAAAGTCTAAAAGTGGAAAATTCTAATGGTCTAGGCAGCAGGTTTTTTTTTACCATCATGCAGGACATCCTGTATGCTTTTAAGTGTACCTTGTATCTGTCTGCTATATTGAAGCCAACAGACACCTGCAGCTTGCGGAGGCAGATGGGACAGAAATCCAGAGGTCTACGATCGGACTCCTCCAAATGATTGGAGCCCTGCATCACGCAGCTCAACCACTGACAATGCCTGATTCCAAACATATGACCGATCTCATGCGTCATCGTCTATGAGAAAAGGAAAAGAGTTGAAAGTTCCTACTATTAAAACGAGGTGTAATTAGAAAATATTGTGTCATCAGAAACCTTGCAGGATCTCAGCAACAGAGAGCTGCAGATGGGTGGAGTGTAATATCCATCAAACACAGAATAATCTCCCTTCTTAGGCTGAAGACTCTTACTCAGTCGACCCGTGTAATTTCTGCTGTAGAAGTGGTTGTCGTACCTGGCAAAACTGAAAACACCCATCCCTGGGAGGAGAGAAAGACAACAAAAAAACCCAACACAAAAACAAATTTATATTTAAAACAAAGTCTATAAATCTTTTGCCTATAAATAAGAACTTAAATATTGGTTGGAATTCTCAGATTTGGAAATTTACCTAGACATTAATTCTGACACAGATCGTGAAGTACAGAACAAGTTAAAGTGTAACAGTTTTTTTAAACAGAATATTTCGTATCGCTTTTAGTTTATTTTCCAACGGTACACAGTACTTTGGCGCCGCCTAGCGGCAATGCAGCCACATTACATGACAGCCTCGAAATATAAATTCACTGCGTTATATTTTATTATTTAATTCTCACCCATACTGAGAGAAGCCTGTCCAAAGACAAAATTCCAGGATTCTTTGGGATACAGGTCAATCATTGTGATTCCAACAATACAAAACGCATCTTTTGGTTTTCTGTGGGCCAAGAATTGCAAAAGATCACCTAGAATTCAAGAGAAAAGAAATTGGCAGATGCTCTGTAAACAAAAATATTAATAATAGTTAGCCGTTAGTTAAAAGGTTGTCAGGTTTAAGAATTGTAAACAAAAGAAATACTGAAAGAGACAACAGTTCAGCCAAATGATAAAATAATGTAGTTTAGTGTCCAACACAGTACATAGTTGTACAAAAGGTAATAAACCCTTTCTTTCTCAGCTGCAGCTAAAGCTAAACAAATTCAAAAGTGCTCAAATTTGATGGCTAAGAATTATCGAAAGGATGAATACGTTAGTATTAATATGAATATGTTAGTTCTGTGTCAGAATGAAAAAAAAAGAAAAGTTATAGCCAAATTACCAGTGAGTATCTGTAGGTTATGCAAATTGCTGTTAACTCTAAACGAACACTGTGTTTCAGCCACAGTCACTGGAGGCATCAGTTTGACAGAAAGACCACAGAAGAAGGCTTGACAGTACTGTCTGAGCCACTGCACATACTGGTCTGTCTGAGGACCTGCCTCTCCAAAGGAACCTGCAGCAGACATTAGAGTACAACTATATCAGAGTGACACTCATTATTATCAATGTTGTTAGGGAAGAAAGGTGCCCGCACCAAACACACACATATTCACCTATGGTTTGAATATAAATCGTATTGTGTGCAGGATCAGGACTCGTCCTGTGAGGGTCTCTCCAGAAGCTCCTAAAGTCCTGAGGCTCCTCAGGATGAGCAGGGATCCAGTCTGAGTCTGAGTGAACTGTGATGAGCTGGAACAGACAACCTTGTTGACCTGCCTTGAATCCTTCCTCCAAAAGTTGCCTCTCCTGATCTGTGTATTTCCTGTAGAGTTTAATCAAGTCTTTGCTGTCAGACAGCAGAGCAGTCTGCAGTGTCTTTACAGGGCGCTGGATCACCTTCATCTGCAGCAAAGATTACATTACAGGAGTACATGAACGTGAGTTAACATACAGTTGAACAATATACTGAAATCTCCAGTTAGCTTTCGCTAACTTCGTGAGTAACTTCTATCCATATTGTTGTTGTTTTTGTAGTGTATATATATCCAATACAAAAAGGAAGCGAAGATGAAAGTCATATACGCCCACCCACTGTCACAGATGATAGTTTACACAATACTAGAGTTTAATACGTCATATAAGTAACACATTGAACTAAAACTCAGCGGTAGAGTCATTTCTACCAACGCTCTTTTAAAACGTCACAGGCAAAACTATAATCTTTCAATTAAGTGAACAACAAAACACACCGTTTTGACTGCAGAATGTACTTCCGTCTACGTCACGTAAACACGAGGGCGGAGCTTTACGTCACTTGATACGTCACTTGATACGTCGGCAACGGTTTTGCACTTTGCTGGATATGAGTACAGTACCGGCTAAATTGCCGTAGCTCACTCAACCTCTCTCAACTTCTTTGACCATAATTCGCACAACTTTAACAACGTAACATCCTGTTAATTTGTACTTTTTTGGTACCATCCGTCTTACTATAAAAAAACAGACAACACTTAACGCCTAGTGAACGGAATACTGAAGGTGAAGAAGTTGCCGTTTTCTTGTTAGCCAGGCTAGGCTAAGCTAACTAGCAGCTAACTGCTCTCCTTGTGTTGTCATGACTAAACTTCCTCGAGATTTCAGTGAGTAAACGAGAACACCCGTTAGCCGTTAGCTCAGCTGAGCTGTCAGAGATCCACAGAAACCGTGTGTGTGGCTCTATTCCGTCACTGAGGCGTTGGCTGGAGGAGAAGAAGCTGAAGCCGGAGAAACAACAGAACTACACCGGACTGGGGTCCTTGTCTTCAGCAGAGGTTTTTGTATTTATGCCGGCTGGAGCTTACTGACATCAAAGAAACCTGATGAGATAAGATGAGATGAAAGCAAGTTAATTGACTTTATTTAAAGAGATGATCTTGCACCTATAACACGCCAGACGCTGGAAATTTGTTTTTAGTCCTGCCAAAAAGATGCTGACTGACAACAGGTATTCAGTCTTGTATACTAATATTTGACAGTCTCTTTATTACATACATTATTGTAAATCACCATTGTATCAGTAAATTCTATCTTAAGCATGTTTTCCTAATCAATATATCAATTTGTTTTGTGTTTAAAGTCCATGTCCAAGTTATGTTAATCTATGTAATAGGAGTGCCACATGTCTGCTCATGTAACTGTGTGTGTGTGTGTGTGTTTCTATTTTTGGCCCCTCTTCGTTTTGATGATATACTGCACACATACTCTTTTTGTACTCCCCCTTCCTGTCACACCATTTTCACTTGTATGCCCATGGTTCTGTCCTTCATGCCTAACAAGCTTGCTTCATTTCCTCATCTGTTTAAAGGAAGCGTCGCCGTAGCTGTGACAGCGAGGAGGACCAGCAGCAGCTCAGTCCTCAGGCCAAAAGGTCAGGAGCCAGTCCCTGCCTGATTGTGTCAGACCTGGACTCAGAGGTGAGAAAGGCTTCCATACCGATTCTCCAAAGTCATCAGCTCTGTCCAAAGTTTAATGTGTGTAACATGTGTATTGTTGTCCATTTCCTCTAAATTCACAATATCTTCCAAGGACAAATGGGTGTTTATTTGTTTAGTACAGCCTGTGCTCCAAAGTCAAGTCAAGGACCTGCCATTAAGCAGGTTTTATATGACACCCATATTTATTATGGCCTGAAAGTTTTGTTCAATTTCTCATTATGCTATAAAACACCAATCTATAATTGGGTAATGTAAATAACTGTAGTTGCACAGGTATAAGACATATGCCCAGTTTTTAATGCCCTACCTAATTTACTTTAAGAAAGGCTAATTTAGAAACTTGTAGCAGCAACACATGGCAGGGCAGCCATGGTATCCATCTTCCTGTTCCTTTGATACCCTAACCTCCCAGTGTGTAACTGGAAAACCATTATGTCACCTGCAGTCTGTTAATATAATGCAGAGTCCACTGACATTTGTAGATACTGGAGCATCCTGACATCCTGCATATAAATGTGACTGCAGTCTGTGTGCACTGCACCAGTGTCAGTGGTTAAAAAAAAAACAAAAAAACCTGAATGTTTTATTTAAAGCTTCCACAGTCCACAGACCTCCACAGTCCACTATCTTACTGTCTGTTTGACTCTGTGTTTTCAGTCTTCCAGCAGTGACAGCTGTAATGGCATCAGCAGCCCAGAGTCCAGTACACTGGTCACCCCCAGACCCTGCATCCACAGCCAGAACAGTCACCGCATCGTCCACCACAACTCCCCAAGTCCGAACCCCGAAGTCTCTGCCAGCGCCGTGCAGCACCGTCTCCACGGCAACGACAGCAGCAGCACCTCCTACGACTACATTAACAGAGTCCTGAGGGAGGCGCACTTCAGCAGTTTGCAGTCTAGAGGACGACGAGGCTCTACATGACTCTGAAGATGCTGTGAAGACCAACAGACACAGAAGCTGCTCCTCAAAGTGACTGCCGAAGGTCACGTGGACTGTGTGTGTGTGTGAATGAAAGAGTGAGTGTGTACATGTGGGGAGGTTTACAGATTTTTGGGCAAAAAAAAAAGCCTCATCCCCACTTTGCCGTGTAACCATCCGTGACCATAACAAGCACATCCACGTCTCCACGGCCCAGCCACTGTGCAGTATTGATGTGTACATGTGATTGTGTGTGTGTACATGCGTGCATGTGTGTTTGTGCACGCACCCTGTGCACTTTACAGAGAGGTTATTGTTCTCTTTTACATGCGTGCATTTATGTGTGGACATTTTCATTGGTGCTAATCACAGAAAGAACAAGTGCTGGTGATCCAAAGTGCTTGGGGTAAAGAAACAAAAACTAATAAATAAAGTGAAGCACTTTAAACTAAAACCCTGCTTTTGTGTATTTTCAACTGAACTTAGATGAACTACATTAGTTCAGTCATTTTTTTCAAACATCAGCTGAAATGAGTAAATGTTATTTTCTATTTATTGACGTTTACATATTTTTTCATTACTATGATACTGTGGTTTCAAACATCAAATGTTTTCCAACACATTAGGTTTTTAATCCCAGACATGCACTCCTCAACAGTTCCTCTTAAGGAACTAAATAATTCTGAACTAAATGTAAACATTCACACTATATTTTAGCTTAGTAGCAAAAATAAGGAAGACAACATGTTCTTAGTTTTTCTACTTTGACAAAAAAAAAAGTTGTTACTGCTGTAGTGCAAAATCCAATGGAGGGATTTCCCCTCAGAGGTTTATAGTGTGTTAGGTTTGTTAGCTAAACCAAATCCTGAGGTAAAACAAAATCAGTTCTTACCTTCATTTCAAGTCACCTGCACATGTTTGATCTCAGCTTTAGATTCTGAGAAGATCTGCTATTTAAAGGAACGTACCAAGCAAAAAAAAGAAAACGTTTTTTGGAAAAGCAGGAGGATACATAGATTTGACAAATAGATGAATAGCATACCACACCTGAATGTCAGAATTGTTGCAGACCTGAAATGAAACCTGGTCCATTTGGGGTTGGACCATGTACAGTACAGTCAGGATTGTACTGTATATGGTCCATGAGGTCCAGGCCAACACTCACAAAGACAAACTAGAACTAAAAGGATGGTTCTGAACACTTGACCGCTAACCCTATACACTAGTCCTTGAAATCCAACTTTGTACCAATGAACCTCAAAGACATAAAGCAAGAAATGTTTCTGTAAACTCTACAGTCAAAACCTCACTGATCTCAGATCAGACTGATAATAAATAATAAGACTTGTTTTTAAAGGATACTGTTTATAACCTATGGTGACATCATTGTTTTGTTCTTGGACAACAGTTCCGGCTCCTAACTGTTGGGTCAGCATGTGAGGAAGGAGAAGGCGGAGACTGGCTGGATGTTTTCTGAACCAGAACTTGAAGCTGGGTTTTCACTGGGACTAAATGTGGTTGAATGTTCTGGACCGTCACTGTCCAGCACTGCACTTTCCTGTTTCAGGTCATGGTCTGTTGTACCTGTGATGTTTTGAGTCACTTCTCTGTCCAGTCTTCCTTTGGTCACCACCAGCTCCATTCCACTGAACAGAGATGGTCTGGAACCATAGTCCCTGTTGAGTTCTGGGTCTTCAGCAGCCTTAACGTCAGCAGTCCTGGCTGCAGAAAGTTTGACCTCATCACTGACGTTCACCAAGTCTCCTGCCTGGTCATTCAGGATCAGACCAGAACTGGGAGATTTATGATTTGGTATTTTGGTGCCATCTACAGGAGAGACATCTGATTGGCAATTGTTAAAGTAGGTTTCATGGGCAAAGTGAATTGGTACTGAAGAGTCTGAGGTTGATAAAGGACTCTGATTGGTTGATGACTGCTCGGTACTGTTGGCTGTTTCCTGTCTGGGCGAGTTCACAGATCCGCTCAGAAGGGCTTCAAACTGCAGCAAAATCTGTCAGGAAGAAAAGAAGGAAATAAAAAATATTCTCTACCTTTTTACTACAGCAACTCTGGAGTAGTACACAAAAATATCCAGGTCATTTTCCCCTTTTGTAGCACCATTCTTTATAAATGCTGAGCAGTCTAAGCTCCAAAGTACACGTGAGCATTGGACCAGTGACCCAGTTCTTCTTTTCCCTCCTCTTACCTTGGTGGCTTTGTTTGCCACTGGTCCTGGTGTGCCTTCTCTCAGCTGACCAAGTCTTTTCTGTATGGCTGCAAACATTTGCTCCAGAGAGAGGAGGTCAGACGTCATGAGGCATGAGATGGCACACAGAGCCCTCTTCAGGATATGAAGAAATGAAAACATACATTACAATGTCACAAAATAAAAGAAAAACGACACCCCATAGTAATCAGAAGAACTTTCATTTTTACCATCTTCACTGAGTTTGACGGATCCTGCAGCTTGTTGGAGAGCAGCTCCACAACAACCTCACAGTTCAGAGTGGAACACCTGACGAGTCAGAAAAGGAAAATAACATTTAAGATGTAGTGTTCATCACTTAGATAACAATGATGTTAAGATGTTGGTCACTAACTCTTTGATGAAGTGCTGGTTCTCTTCTCTGGAGAGGAAAACTCTGGAGCCTTCAGTCAGTCTGCTGATGAGCGCCATCTCCTGGACACAGTCCCCTAACTGCAAAGCTTCAACCCTGGTAGAAGGTAGATCAGGCACAGAGACCAGATTAAGTACTGCATCAGACACATATCTGATGTTTGTCAAACCGACTTCACTCTGGATGTCGACTGTTACGTCACTAAAGTGAGACAGACATCACAGCTGGACAGAACAGGTATCACCAACCTCTCTGAGAGGTCACCGCTGCTCTCTCTACTGCCCCCTGAGGCACTCCTGATGTCGGCTGACTTGCTGCCCAAAGAGGCTCTGCTGTCGGTCGTGATGTCCTGAGAGGAGTTATGAGAGGAGTTGTTGTAGCTGTCTGTCTCCTCCCAGCCTCCGCCTACCTGTCCTGGACAACGTCTGGTCCCTGCTGTGGAAAAGAGAAAAAAATAGTTCCTTCTACAGGACATCTCCCACATATGGGACTCACATTCAGTCCTTAATGTGGGTAAAGACCAAACCTTTTGATTTGCGAGCAGGAAGACTGTAGGCACACGCTGGCACAGCCACCTCGATAGGTGCAGGGGGCGCTGCAACGGCTCTGTAATGGTTATCGTGCAGACGGATGCCCTGGTGTTCGGTGGGTGGGAGGACAGCTGAGGCTACGACTTCTGCAGCTTTCTGGATTTTGTCCAGCAGAGAGTCGGTGCTTGCTGGGAGGTCAACATGGAAATGGTGGCGTTTCACTTCTTAAATGTCTTCAAATTAGAAAACGTGAGGGATTCACATAGAGATAATGCGTTCCTTAACCTCTTACTTTACCTTTACAAATGTATGCATATTTCTAATCCTTACCCTAGCAGGGATTCCCAAGGTATGTGCACGTGCCGCCACAAGATAAAAAAAAGTGACAGGATTTGGTGTGTTTTTTAAGTGGGATTTTTTTCACACAATAAAGAAATGTAAATAAACATTTCCTCTGTACAGTTTAGTCCAAAAGCTGACATTTAAAAAAAAATGCAGGCTATACAAACGCATATATATGTATGTGTGTTATTTGTGTGTTCTGGTCATTTGAGCACGCTCTGCCTTTATAAGAAAACTTGATGCTTTTATTTGAAGGTGTGGGGAACTGGGGGTGCCTCAATATAGAAGGAGGTGCGCAGCCAAAAAGGTTTGGAAGCTGCTGTCTTAACCCTGTCCCCAGGACTACCGGTAATTCTAATCCTAACTCCTAATTCTAATCCTAACTCCTAATTCTAATTCTAACTGCAAACTAAATCTTTAACCTCTACACACACACACTCACACACTCGTGTCCTCTCACCTGTTCCCTGTCTCCCTGGACTGTATCCAAAGCCCTGCATTCCTGACCTGTGGGAAGTTGCTGATCCCATACCTGGAGAGAAACAACACAAACATCCAAGGAGTTACATTAACATTCTAATGACCTTTATGATTAAATAGATGGTATTTTAGTAGATTTTAATTTAAACGTAATAGGATCTAAGCAGTGTCCTTATTAACATATTTATCGTGATGTGTTCACCTATGGAAGGAGGAGTCAAACTGGGTGGGGAAAAGACACTCCTGTTGGAGAGTGTGTCTGTGAAAAGCAGCCTGGCCACTTCCTACAAACAGAACCAGTCAACAAATCCATGGTGTTACTGCTTTTCTTACACAAGACAACACTACACGGCGACACAACATGTGTCTCACCTGTGCTGAGTTCCTCACTCTCTGGTACAAGGCTGTGCCATGGATGGGATCTGGAGGACCGCTGTGGACTAAACACACCGAGCACAGAGTTAAGGCAGCACTAGGGCCAGAGAAACGTTAGGAAAAAAGGAAAACACTGACGCCTGACCTGAGGCCTGCTGGATGAAGGTGGAGTTTCTTCTGAGTTCAATCAGGAAATAGTGTGAACCGTGGCTGCAGAGATGGACAAAGATCTTCAGAACCTACAGGGAATAGGAGGAGGAGGTTTCGAATGGGAGTTAATTTTAATGAAGGAAAGTTTCAGAGAACGCAAAAAAAATAAAGGAAAAAAAAACCCCCCACCAGACTGACCTTGAGTTTGACAAAACAGGATTCAACCTGCAGTCTCTCCAAAAGATACTCCAACAAACACTGGCCACAGCCTAAAGACTCATGGGAGATTTCTGGTTTTGATGATTAAGGAGTTGGTAGAAAAGTTGACCAGACGGTGGCAGTAATGTGACAAAAACTAAGGCAACTGCCATTAATAGTTTATAAGAGCCACTGCATCAAAGTCAAAGAAGAAAGGCCAAAGCAGAACAGTGATAAAGAACAAAAACAGAAAGAGGAGATATAAATGAAGCAAGGGAACGTAAAGAAAATGAAAAATCAACTGCCTTTTCAATGCCATACAAGTTACACACTTTTTGCTGATTTAAAAACATATGTGGTCACACATTATATAGGTAGCACTACAAGACCACCTGTAGAGCTATTGTCGCAACATTAGCCACCAGGATACTTCCAATCTCTTGGAAGAGGTAGCCAGGACAGGGGGTTTCATCATCTGCTGTGGCCTTCATCAGTGTGGGCACCTTCAGATGGAGGAAACAAAGATAAACAAACAACAGAAATCCAGACAAAAGCATCGAATTTTCCATAGTTTTTATCTTTTGTTTTTGTGTTGTTTTATGTTGACCATAACTGGTCTTTTTGACAGCAGTCAATAGAAAGTCACACATTTAAATAAGCACATTAACGTTACAGTTTTGTTTTCAGAAACAGTGTTGTTTGTGCGTATACATCTTGACACGTCTACTGTATAGCACCACTGTAAACACTATGATTCTGCCTGTTGTTAGCTGAGAGCTAGCTGCTAGCTCAGGTTAGAGTATCTAAACGTATTTGAACAACTGAATAAACACCGAGTTTAACTCTGTATGTTCAACTCTGGGTCTTTTATTTTCTCAGCTTAGACTTACTCCATCATCATAACACTTACTTTCTGTAGAAAAGCCAACCGCTCCATGAAGGTTGCCATGATTTAGCGATCCTACTCCTACTCCGCCACCTGTCAGCTCCTATGGGTTACTAGAAAAAGGCGGGGCTTACATTGACAGCCAGCGAACCAGCGAAAAGAAGAACCCCAACGTAATTACGTAGTCTTTGCGTTTGGCAAAATTAGCCAATCAAGTTCTGAAAGAGACTGGTTGGTCAAAACCTGATTGAAAGCGACATGAGCGAAGCAGATTGAAGAAGTCTCCTGACGACACATCCTTTCACGACACATTCCAATATGGCGTCGTCCGTGGATTACTCGCCAATGTTGTTTTGATTTTTCATGTGCTGATATGTCTCATTCAAGCCCCTCGTTCAACTTTAAACAGTATCACCTTTAATGTCTTCGGTGTCTAACTCGGTGAAATTTTTTCAGCGGACTTAACCGACCAAAGTGTCTTAGGGGACCGCAAGAACAGCACCATGTCTGGGTCAAATGTGTGGAGTCGCACCCGAGAAAAACTGAGGCTATTTCCCGAACTTTTTGCACAGTGTGCGGAAGAGGTGAGCAGCAGCACTGAGAGAAGACGTTTTAACTGAATGGAAATGGTTTTTAAAAACTACAGGTTTTAAACAGTAATTTTTCACATCTAATTAATTGATGTCACCCAAAAATCCTGATTCATTTATCAATGCACATAATTGCAAGTTTTAAATGATGTCTGATAATGACCTGTGTGTGACCCAGGGAGCAGTGTATGGGAAGTGTGTGACAGCTACCACCACAGGCAGACAGGAGTTGAAGAAGGATCTGTGTGCCAAAGAATTTGAGGCTCTAAAGAGCTGCTTTACAAATGCAGTAGGTGGCAAAACAATATCACATCACTGTCCTGCTGGGCTTTATAATCATAGCTTAATATCCTTCTTCCATTACAGGCCAAGAAAAGAGCCAAATAAGGAGGGCATCCTGGACTGTTGTAAAGAAACTTTAAGTCAGACCTCGACTCATAATAATACTCATTTGACATTACTTGTTAAATGTTCTTTCTGCTACTTTTCAAATGTGTCAGCTGTACCTGTAACATATGTGAATAAAAGGCTTTTTATTTTCACCCATATTAACAGACGGTAACAGCTTGATTGCAACAGATCTTTAATTTATTTTTTATGCACATGGAAAAATAGCCTTTGATACAAAGCAAGCAGGTCCAACCAGCTAAATGCTAAACACTACAGAACCCAGACAACATTTCCTTCCACTGTTGTCTTAAACAAATATACAAATATTTTGAATATATAAAAACACCTGTACTATTTACAATAGGCAATCATGTGCAAGAATGACATCGGAAAACAAAAACTGCCACTTTTGTTTTTTTTTCTTTTTCAACAAACAAAGCATTTACTGCAGCATCTGCATTGTAAGGCACTAGGGAATGAACTGAGGTGAGGATGGGATCAAAGGATCCAGATGGTCTGGATCCAGCTGCTCTATATGGTCCACAGTCTGTCGAAGAACAATTAAGGCATCTGTGTTTCTACCTTGTATATCCAGCACGAGGTTAAATAATTGACTTTTTCCATTTAAGGTCAAATTAGGTCCTAAAACCACTTTACACTAAATGTAGAATCAGAATGAACATGTGTGTCATCAAGACTGATGTACAGTTGTGTCCAGCGCAGCCTAAGGATTTGCAGTTTAAATAATGCTATTCTAAATCTCATAACAATACAATCAGTAAATACAGAAATATAAATGGAACACACAGAAACACATGTGGAAAAAAAAGGATGGACTTGTTTCAGTGAAAGTTCTGGATAGTTATCTGGTAAAAAATAACTGACAATTTGTTCAAGGTAATAAAAGTTAATAATAGACACCACTGGCAGCCTATGGTAGTTGTAAAATCATAACCCATAATTGAAGGATATAGGGTTCTAATCCTAGCCATGGCAGTGGTGTGTTTAGCTCCTGTGGATCAGTGGTGTTTCAAGGATGCAATTCAGAGAGTAATTTTGTTCAGACGTTTTTCAGAGTAGTGGAAAATAAAACAAATGTATGGAGAGATGGAAGTCAAGGATTTATGTGCTGAGAATTCCAACTGGCAACAAGAATTCTAGGAACAACCAAGTTTAGCTGTGTTAGTTTCAGTAAAAGCTCAGTGTGTGAGATGAGATGTTCACCAGGTCAGCAGAAGTCCAGATACAGCCTTTAAGTCCCAGCTGGGCCATAAAGTCCCTTCAGCAGAACCCAAGAACAACCTGGCTCAGCATCAGAGGTCGTCCTGAAAATGTCCAAAAAGACTGCAAAACTTCCTGCAGCCTTAAAGGTCTTCTAAAAATTCAACGTCCAGCAACCAAGAAATAGCCCAGCAAGAAACCAGCACAGTCTTTGCACAGGATTTGGACCGTTTCACAGAGTCCGAAAATGTAGGCCTGATCAGAGAGTGTCAGAGAGCAGCACAGAACCAACTGCACAGACAGAAGAAATAAAAGAGTTCTGAACAAACGGAGAACTTTGGGAACATGCTCAAAAGAAATATCAATGGTCTCTGATGTCATTTAATCTGTTGTTGTTCAAACATGTTCCCCGTATGTTCTGGTTGTTATCTGAAGGAAGTACTAACCCAAGAATGTAGAGTGCTGTAAGAGATTTACAATATTTACATCTCTGAGTCAATGACAAAAAAAACTATATTTTTCTTTTTCTTCTTTACAAAAATCATCACAAATACCAAAACAAACATCACAGACTAAATAAAATAAACCACATACAACGTGAACTTTTTTTTTTGATTTTTTGTGCAAATGTAACAAACACCTGTACCTGCATAGACTAATGTACAGCTGTCAAATAAATTCTGTGCCACTGAAGATAAATAAGTTAATATTAACAGACACTTTGTCTTTGGAGTACATTTTCAAAGTGCACAGTTTGTGAAAGGAGAAACTCTTTCTATTAAAAGCCTGTTTTCTCAACAGGAGCCACGAAACAGTTTCAGGAGTTTTGTGTGCTCCCATAGTAGAGATCTTGATTTTAAGTACCAGGAATGTCAGGGCTGCAGCTTGGAGTCTGGGAAACACCCTGAAGTGTTGGAAAAGTTTGGACTGGGGAGGACGTCCAGGCACTTTTGACAAGAATCCAGATAACATCTCCATGAATTCCAGTTAGGTCCAAATGAACTTAGACTTGGACTGTGAAGTGAAAAGGTGTCCTTTGTCCACCGAGGACAGGGGGAATGTAAGGCAGTACAACAACAGTATGATCAGGACGTCCTGCAGGGGGCGTTATTAAAGATCCACATTAGTTGACGTTCTGCTCCTCCGGGGCCTCTTTAATCTGCCGTGAATGTAACCTGGCCCCAGCCAACAGCTGCTGCTCCAGGGCAACGTGCAGGTCGGAACCCCCCAGCTCCAACAGTGGCTCCAGGCCATGGACCCCTCTGGACCCCCCCGTCTCCTCTGGGGCCCCACCAGCATCTCCAGCTACCACTGCTCTGCGTCTCCTCTTCAGATCCATCTCCCCCTGGTCCCTGACCTCCTCCTGGGAGCCCTGACCGGGAGCGTCTGCTTGGAGAGCACCGTTCTCCACGTCCTCTCTAGGGTCGGCGTCAGGAGCCACCTCCTCTTTGAGGTCTCGCCCTCCTTTCTTCAAAGCTTCTCCGTCTTCTCTCTCCACGTCGACGGCAGCTTTTTTGACCTCGACAGCTCGCTCCAGCCTGTCCCGCTCCTCCATCGCCTCCTTTTTCCTCTTCATTATCTCAATGACCTCATTGTCAACTTTGTGCACCTCCTGCTGGATCTTCTCCTCCATGGCTTTCTGCTGGGCCTCCTGTCTTTCTGCTTTCACCTTTTCTAGCTCCTGCTCTCTGGCCAGCATCTCCTGTTTCTCCCTCTCCAGACGCTCCTTCTCCACCCTGGCCTGCACCTCCTTCTCAATTCTTTCTTTCTCTGCTTTTTCCTTCTCCTCCCTCTCCAGACGCTCCTTCTCCACTCTGGCTGCAACTTCTTTCTCTATTCTTTCTCTCTCTGCTCGCTCCTTCTCTGCAGCCTTCTTCTCCTTCAACTCCTCCTCAATTTTTTGGTTTTCCAAATCCAGACTTTTGCCTTCGACCTTAGGTTGCCCCGCCTGACTGTCCACTGGTGTCTTCTTTCCCAGTGGAACTCCTCTGGCTCCCAGCTCATTCTGGACCGCAGCTTCTCCTTCAGCTGCCACAAGAGAATCCTCCTTGTAGGCCGCAGGAGCAGCTCCTTTAGGAACCTGCACCTTAGCTGCATTATCTCCCTCCTGAGCCTGAATCTTGGCTCCGACCACGTCACCCTGTTGAGCTCCAGCAGGTGGTGCTGCAACTCTGGCTGCTCCACCAACTTCAGCTCCAGCAGCTCCTGCTCCTGCCGCCTCCTGGGGCAGCTTCACGTCGAGGGCCAGTCCAGATTCTTTGGACTTTGATGCTCCACCCTCCATCACCTCCAAATGCTCCTGAAGTCCTTTTGCAGCCTCGCCCTCAGCAGCACCTGAGATGAAAGAGACAGAACATCTTCACTCTCAGTTTCTCCACCTGAGCTTGTCTTTCCATACAGACCGGGTCACATGCTCACCAGCCGGCTGTTTCTGGTGGATCTCCTTATGCTGCTCTTCAATGACAGCCAGCAGTTTTTCCTGCTGGTCCAGGAGTCTCTTCTGCTGCTCCTGCTGCTCCTTTATCACCTGCAGGAGCACAGCGTGGTCCAGCTGACCCTCTACATGGAGACAGAGACATCGGATTAAAAACAAGACATCAACTGGTATGAACTGGATCACAGGGCTCTTATTTTACTTTATCTTTATCACTTACTAATTTCTCTTTTGGAGATTTATTTAACCTAAGTAAGAAAACTTAACTGAAAAATATTTTTTTAATTAAAAAAAAAAAAATCTTTTATGTTTTTTTCTTTAATTTTCAAACTGTGACACTGACGTGTGAACCCTGGGATCCAACTCAAACCTGTAGGAGGAGGATGTTTGGTCCTGGACAGATGAAAACACCAACAAAATGGCACATAGGGGGCAGTAATGAACAGCTTTGGACACATAACAGTAACAGTGGATGAGATCTACACAGATGTGTTATCTATAGGACAAGAAAAAATGGAAATGCATCATTTAGTCCAAACTAAATTACCTTATAATCAATGAGTTTTCACTAAAGGATGGGACTAAACAGAGGGGGAAAGGCAGAGGGATTTCGTACCTGCAACCAACTTTTTTATCACTGTGACAGGAGTCCAGCAGAGACAGAAAAAAAGTAAGGGGGCAAAGAACAAGAAAATAAAGTGTGAGAGGGCAAACATAGACAACAGAAGAAGCAGAGGATTCAATCAGAAAGGCAACGAAGGAAACATCAGGTACAGCTGAGAACCAAAAGGAAGTCTTTAAACTTCACGTTCAAAGTGATTACAGTCAAATGTCACAAAAAAAAAAAAACAGGACGAGTAGAAACTAAGGCTAAAATAAGAAGCAGCAGAAACATAGGGAAAAAAACAAACCAGCCAATTAGAGACTAAAAACAGAAAATAGCTGTTGACGACATCTGTTGTCTGTAGTAAAGAAAACAAGCTAAATAAAATATTCCTTCGTGTTCCTGTACTTCAAAATCTCAAACTGAAATCATATGAATAATCATCCGTCAACAGTGTTTTACAGCTAATTAACTGATGACTCTCCTGCAGGGATTCTCTGAAGGACCGCTTTCTTCTCTACCCTCCATCTTTTCATCTCCAGTGTCGTTGCTGTCTGCAGCTGGAGCGCCCTCTGCTGCGGGCCGATGTTCTCCATCAGGCAGCTGAGCTGAAGAATCACCCAAAAACACAGGTGTTTGAATAATTCATCATTTTTCTGACAACCCCCCCCCACAGTCAGATCACGGAGACAAACCTTCACGTTTCACTGCAGCTTCTGGAGCTTTGCCTTCGTCCACTTTCCCCACCACCACCACCGGGTTCTCCACCACTGCAGCCTTCACAGCATCCAACTTCTCCACCTGCTCCACCACAGGGACCTCGTCCTGCTTCTTTGCTGCTTTGTTCTCCACTATCTCATTGGACAGGACTTCGCCTCCCCCCAGATCTACTTCCTGTTTCCTAACAACAGCCTCTGCCTGTCGTTCTGCTTCCACCTTGTTGTCTTCTTCCTCCACTGACTTTGCAGCTGCCTCTACGCCCACTTCTCCATCTCTACTGGCTGCACCGTCTGCACCAACAGCTTTTTCATCCTCTTTCCTGGTGTCTATTTTGACGGCGTCGTGAGGGATTGGCGGTTCGTGGCGGTGAGCCTCTCCTTCTGGCAACGCCATGCCTGAGAAAAGAGAGAAAACTATCTGACACCATTCATTTCATCACTATTTACAGAAGGGAACCGACACTGGTCTCTGTCCACTTTGTCTTACCAGCATCAGGACGGTCCAACTGCACCTCCTCCTCCTCCTTCTTCTCCTCAGCTTCGTCCACTGGTCCTTTAATCTGCGGAGGCTCCGGCTGTTTCCTCTCCACAGGTTGAGCCACATCCACAGCTAGGAAATCTGGTTTTGCTATTTCAGCAGCTTTTTTGTTGAGGACATTTTCTACATGGCAAAAAAAATTAAAATAATAATAATAATTCGGATTCTCACAAATCAGTGTCAAGAGAATATAGACTGCAGACGGGGATATTTATCAGCCAATTCAAATTGAAAAGAGTCTTCAGTTCATACACTGCAAGCCCACCAGAGGGCAGCAAACACTACAAATATCAAGTTGGAAACTGGTGAGAGTTGAATGATCACAGTAAGTTACAAACGGAAAACCGACATCAGTGAAGGGGCTGATGAGTAATGAGTCAATAAATCCTGGAGGAACTAAACAGTAGAAATATTTTACCGTGCAGATCATGAGAGTCTGGCAGCAGAGGGCCACTCAGGCCAGAGGCTGCAGATGGAGATTGGACTTTGGTGGCAGAACTGCTGGCGGAGATGGACAGGGTGGTGAAGGTGCTGATCAGCAGGATGCCCAGACCCACCCACAGGACCAGCTGCAGGACACAGGACACACATATCAGCCTCACTTTCTATGGACACTGATTTATCAGAGAATGTTCTGGGTCTGTCTGGGTCACCTGAGCTATGATGCTGTTCTTCTGGATCTTTCCAAAGATGAGAGCGGGGCAGATGAAGCAGATGAGGCTGCCCATGGTCGCTCCAGTCAGACCCAGGATGGTTTCAACTGAAATGAGAGCAGTCCAGGAAGAAGAAGACAGGGATCAACATGTGGTTCACAGGAGAGAGAGAGAGAGAGAGAGAGGGGGAGGTTTCAGAACAGTAGCTGCAGCATCATTGTTGTCTCCCCTCTAGGGGAAGATAAAACGTTTGCTCTGTGATTTAAGGAGTGTGTCAGAGTGTGACACTCACTGCCTCATAAAGTCACTTTCACACTTGTCGTTTAAAGATCATCACCTTCTCCTCACCCACAGAAATGCCACACATGCACCTTGTAACCCAGCAGAGTCTCTCTCTCTCTCTCACTCACACACAAACACACACACACACACACACACAGAGACAAATACCATTGGGAATGAGAATGCCTCCCAGCATGGTTCCAAACACAATGCAGAGGGTGATAATCTTGAAGCGTAGAGGAGGCATGTATCCCCCCGCAGCAAATGTCCCGTCCTTCTGCTGTGAGCATGGAAACACACAAAAAAATTAGACAGAAAACGAAAGCAAAAAAGTGTTTAAAAAATCAAGTCAAGGCTGTAACTAATATTACAGGCTTCACTTGATTCACAGCTTGGTTGCAGTTGATTTTTCCAGGGTGTTTTTCACCATACAGAACGCACGCACACACACGGCACATCTTGAACCGTTGACTGAACAACTTTGTTAAACTGCTACTAAAGGTGCTGTGGAGACTACAGTACAAATAAATAACAACGTAATAATTCCAAAAATGATTGTTTGTGGTAGAAATGAATCTAAATTAAAAAAGAAACAGTAAATGTCACAGACTTATTTTTTCATGACCTGCTCGAGGTCAAACAGGATGACACCGTGAACACCCAACACAGAGACCTGTTTGTGCCTCAGTAGAACTGTAGACCATAGAACACACACCTGTCTGCTGTTCACACTGGAACAATGACACGTTCACTAATAAATACATCAAACTTTTTTTCTGTTTTTTTTTACACATCAAACACACTCTTAAAGTTCACTTCCAAGATATTTCAAAGCTAACTCTTAGCTACATTGATGAGCAGGTGTAAACTCACCTGCTGCTCAAACACCATGGTGTTGATGGCCTGTCGACAGGGCAGGATCATCATGGGGAATCCCACAGCCACCGACATCATGAAGCCCACGCGGATCATCTCCGTCACCGGGTTGGAGGGGAAGTTCATGAGCACGTTTCCTGCGATGTTCTCAGTGAAGCTGACGTAGCCGAAGAAGCCCACCTTCATTGATGGACAAACGAGAAGGACAAAAAAAAAAGAGATTTTTTTTGTTAATGAAGTAAAACTGCAAATTCAACTAACACATGGACACATGGCAGTGTCACAGGACAACACGGACAGAGACACGTGGTCACATGACTGGTGATGGTGTCGCCACCGTACACTCACAGTGATGTAGAAGATGGTGACCACATTGAGGGAGGAAGTGAAGATGGTGCTCATGCGTTTGACTGACGGCTCGTCCAGACTGTCGTAGGTGGGCAGCACCTGACTGTGAGAGACAAGCAGCCCCGCCCCCACCCAGAATAATAACACACATGCTCTGCAGCTGCACGGTGAACAACAACCACAACAACAACAACAACAACAACTACCACACACTGCTACAGTCGTCACATTCATGTGTTGTCTTTTTGTATTTTGTTTGTTTTGTTTGTATTTTTGACATGTTTTTCTTTAAAACCATCTTAAGAAATATTTCTGTGAAGAGTTTCACCTGTTTGTCAATAAAGTCACGACAATTTCTGTGACTAAGAAGTGGACTTTTACAAATGAATGCGACACACACATGGATGCAACGATTTCTCGCATGTCAATCATAATCATCACACTCCAAAAAATCATGTATGAAATAATTCATTATTATTATTAGAATTTTTTTAATCAGAGATGGGTCAGAAGGAAGTGATGTCATGGCAGCGGTGATAAAATAGTAGAGGACTATTAAAATTCAACCCAGTGTAGCTGAGTGTGGGACCAAGCTAACGGACATGATCAGGGGATGGAGAGAACAGAGAAGGTGAGTTGAGGTGGGACAAGTCTGTGAGTTTCTCTCCTCCAAAGGTTTGGCAACAACCGACCCATGAACCTGTGACTGTGAAGACCTGACATCACCACCAGGAGCTGGAGTAAGAGACGGAACAACGGAGAACTTTACTTTCTCTCCTCACGTTCTGTCTTTACCTTCTTCCTTTCATTCTTCTTTTTTTTTTTAAAGACTAAACTCTGCCCCCTGGTGCTTCCTCTTAGAATTAGTTTAATCCTCTCTGAGCCAAGGTGAAATAAACACTGGTTTGATGGCCGTCCACTGGTCCAGTGAACAAGGACAGTGTGTTCCTGTCTGCTGTAATGTGGTCCTTCAACAGTGGAAGAGTGTGTGTGTGTGTGTGTTGTGGGTAATATGGTTAGCCCTGGTTGACAGAAGCCTCTCACAGGGACCTTTTCAGTGGCACAAGTTTCTCTTTTGCCCCTCCATTATGAGCTAACTGCTGCTCGCTAATTCAAGTCCTCAGCCAACCATCCCCCCCCTTCTCCTTCCTCTCATCCTCCTTTCTTCTCCTCCTTCCCTCCCTCCTCTCTTGTCTGGTCATCATGGTGATGGTAAGTAATGTTTTAACTGAAAGTAAACACATTTCCTGAATGTCATAAAAATCCAAATGTGCTGAGAGCCTGTTTAATCAGTCCATGTGGCTACAACCAGCTAGCATCTGCATCATGGACGCCATCCAACGAGTTGATTAGAGTGGTTTGGATGAAGCGGTGCCGAGATCGACTCGTCAGGCCTGAGCCTGGGCCAAGAAATCACTCAGCAGATGCAGCACAAACACATTAACGCAGACACTTTGGTCTTTGTTCAGTGAACACTGCTACAATAATCTGACCCAGATTAGACTCATCACAGGGTCTGACCTCACCCTTCCTCACCCTCTTCTGCAGTCATCAATAAACAAACCTGGATTATCCCTCCTTTACCATCACCAGCACATCATCAAACAAGCAGCAATGTTTTTAAACACTCACTTATTGTTAACCACAATTTCAGTGAGTTTTTTGCTGGTGACCGCAGCCCAAACCCTCCACTGTGCCCACCAGGGAGGATACAAGAGAACGTGTACTGACTGGTGACATGTGACCAGATTCCACTTGCAGGAATTACAATGTAGAAAAGAATTCACACATTTCTCATGTCTGTGATTCTGAGTTAATTTGCAATTAGATTTATGTTTTTTGTGATTTGATTTGTCTTTACAGTAGAGGAGGAAGAGGAGGAGGAGGAGGTAGAGGGGTGACAGTACTTACGACTGACAGGCGAAGGCCAGCCCACAGATGGGGAGACAGCGACACACACCCTCCAAACGCACCACAGTGACCTGCTCCAGCCACAGGCCGCTGAGCAGCCCATGTTTGAAGGAGGACAGCACCATCTGAGGGGGGAAGGAGGGAGGAGGGGGAGGTTGGTGGGTTACAGCCCGAACCAAATGGGAGACAAGAGAGAATGCGGAGGAGGGAGGAAAGGAGGAATGGAGGAAGAGGAGGGGGCACCAACGCTGACACTCAGGGGGCAAAGAAAAAAAAAACAGAAAAAGAAAACTGCTGGAAGAAAATGAGTCACGAAGGAGGTGGAGACAAGAGAAAGAGTGGGTCTGAAAATGAAAGTGTTGCTCCTACATCTAGCTCCTTGAATTTCCCTGCACCTCCAGTCTGACAGCGCCCAGACCCAGGACGACCAGCCTGGGTCTGGAGCGCAGCCCAAGTTAAAAACGTGCACCTCCTCTACACTACCACCACTGCCACCAAACCTACACACACACACACAACAGCTCAGACCAAGCCCAAATCAGAGGAAAGGAGTGAGGATGATGGGTAATAAAAATCATGGTGAAGAGTGAGTTGGAGTTCAGGACGGTGACGCTTCCTGGAACACACCTGTCCACTGCCCTGTCAGTCAGAGGATGGGCGAGGGTTTGGGGGAGGGGGTTACCTTTTCTTGTGGGGTTTGCTTTGCTTTACTTACGGGTGACAGCAGAAGGTTGTGGCGATTATGGGCAGGCACTGAATGACGCCCCTGAGGCGCCACAGGTGAACATGCTCCATCCAGGAGCCAGAGATTATGCCGTAGCGCACGGACGACAACACTATCTACATCAGCAGCATCAGCAGCAGCAGGAGCAGGAGCAGGAGCAGCAGCAGGACGAGAGAGTAGAGGAAAGGAGAGGACGGGGATGGTGGTAAAAGGGGGGGTGAGGAGAGGAAACGGTGGTGCAATTAAGCAGCAAAGAAGGGAAGGAAGGAAGGAAGGAAGGAGATACATCAGTGTTATAAGGTCAGGGGTCTGGACTGGGCCAGGCTGAACCGGGCCGACACACACACACACACACACAGGCTACAAGAACTAAACACTTCATCAAACACACTGTTTGATGTGTGTGGAAGCAGAACTGGAGGTTAGAACACCATCACACACTCTGTGTGTGTGTGTGTGTTTACATGTGAGAGCAAATGGGCTGAAAACACATGAGGCAGAACTGAGTTTCCTAAAACAAATAATCAGTGAAAAAAAAGGAGAAACTTTACCAAACAGACCAGGACTTCTGCAGAGTTCAGTGTCGTGTTCAGTCTAACACAACTTTTTAAAAATAATTTCTTTGTATTTTGTAGAGAAAATACATTTGTTTTGGCCTAAATGACTCTTCTGCTGGATGTGATTCAGTAAAAATTTGCTCTAAAAAACAAACAAGAGCAAGATGACGTTGGTGAAAATAAAAAAGACTTAACACATTTAAATAAATAATAATGAACACATTCAGAAAATTAATAGATTTCATTCAGTTTTAGCCAACTATAAAAGAGCAGCTCAGTCTCTTTGTCTCTTCACTATATTAGGAAATAAAAATAAAAATTGGAGCTGATTTTAGACTAAACTCCTGAATGGGCACGAAGTAACATATTTTTAAAAAGTGAATAAAAAACAAAAAAAAACAAACACAATGAGCGATTAAATAATTATTATTATTAGACTTATAAAGTCTTCAACAAGTGTTTTTAACAGGGCTTTCCACACCACCGTTTTAATCCCATGAATTAATTTGTGAAGACTAATCTGATTCATCTTTTCACACTGACTTCTGTTTTATTAAATTGGATTCAGACTGAACTTTTAACACAGATGAAAACATCTGAAAATGTCTCTTTTTATTTGACATGATGCACTTCAGCCTGTAGGTGGAGACAAAGTAAATCTTGTGGTGCAGCCCTGGATGACGGAGGGCACTGCTCACCGTGAACATGAAGAAGGTGTAGAACATGAGTGCCATGGCGGAGAAGGACTGGAGGGAGGACATCATGTTCCTCTGCAGACTCAGAGGCAGAACGATGAAGAGGGAGACGGCGATCAGCAGCACCACACGGAAACTGAAGGTCACCTGTGGACGTCATGACATGAAAATAAGACTGTGTCGTGTTTAATGTGTCGGAATATGAACAGAAAACAAACCTTCAGTCCCAACAGCGTAGCAAAAAAGTTTGAGCCCAAATCTGCGATGACCACATAGAAGGCAATACAGGTGCCCAACATCAGGCCAATCATACTGCAGGGATACAGAGAGAGAGAGAGAGAGAGAGAGAGAGAGACACGTACTAGCTATTAAATTTACTTATATTTAAGTCCAATACTATGTGGACAGTGGTGGTAAAAGTCCAGTTGAACCTGCTCACATACATTTGTTAGTCAAACTCAAACATTCAAAGATGTTCAATGTTTATTTTGACAGAGGAAGTATTTCCGTGTTCCTCAAACTCATCAATATTGACACTTACCTCAATTCCACCAGTGCTTTCCCCGGTTTCCCATAAGCATGAAAAGCTGCAGAGAAGAGAAAGACGTCAGTGTGAACAACATGGAAGTGAACAGGTGTCGTCGCTGCACAAAAACAAAAACGTGACTCTGCTGATGAAATCAAACTGGAACCAGTTCAGTTTATCCAGCGCCTCTGTGTGAACGGTCCAGATGCCATGGAGACGGTCAGGTGATTCAAGTTCATGTTTCTGTAGCTGACACACGTGTCAGTAACTGTTATGACTGCAGACCACCAACAGTTCCCTCTGTTTTACTGTTAGCAAGAAAGCCAAACAGGACCTCCAGAACCAAAAAGACTTTGTTTTACATTTTTAAAGTAACACTTCCAACATATGGAAGTCACACAGTAATATAAACATGGGGAAAGCAGAATAGTTCAATAATACCATATATATATATGTATATATATATATACATATATATATATATATGCAGTAGATATACTGTTGGGAAATATTTACTTTTTAAATATTTACTGGGAATTAACTCACCCAGTCCAGCGTACGTCCTTCTCTTGGTGTGACTGGCCGTGTGGACCAGGAACATACAGGACTTGTGTGTCATCCAGGAGCAGAAGAACAACAGTAACGTTCCCAGAATGATCCCACACTGTGAGGGCAGAGAGGTCCCACTCAGCAACCACAAAGACATTCACACTTCTGGTGTCTGACACTTTATGTCCTTTACTTATGTCACTAACATTAACAGAATCAAAGTTAACTGTACAGTGTTACAGTAGATTATTTTGAGATTTCTGACTCTGTAAGCAGCGGTGTCTCCTTTGTGACGCGGGACTCCATTACTGTCCCCACAGGACTCTGCTTTAGTCCTAATTAAGGACTAGTTTTTCCTTGGGAGGGGATTTGAGGCAGCACCAGCCCGTACCCACGAATGGAGAGGACACTCACCTGTTTGAAGCAGAAGGGCATGGTGAGCACACTGACGCCCACGATACTGTTCACCACGTTCATGATGAGTCCGGAGTTCGACGCCGTCATTTTGAACAGATATTAATTACTAACTTAAACCAAATTTGTTTGCAGTGGAGTGGAACTAAGTCCGTCCAATATCTAGTCCTGAGCTGTGACAGCAGTGGGACCAGGAGCCCGGACTTCAGCTAAAATCCGGGTGAGTGTGTTTTCTTTCCTGACTCCGTGGATCAGTGACGTGGCGCTCTGGAGGGCAACAGAAAAAAACTAATCGATATTTTCATTATGACTTAATTCAATCCATGTGTAATCACTAGTCTAATGCCAGCAAATACGGTAACATAAAACACAACAAACCAACGTTAAATTCATGTAATTAAGTCTTTTAACCAGAAGCTAAAATGCTAAGTGTGAACTCCAGTTTCGTCCATCAGTTACCTCCTTTCTCTGCGCCACCGTCTCTGTCTCCTATTACGTTATCATCAGTGAGTTCTTCTTCATAAAAGCTGTGAGTTTGCTTTATCTCCCGGTCGATTGAAACCTTCGGATGCAATAAACGCACGATTCAGGATATCAGAAATAAATCAGATCTAAGGATAACTGTTTTCTTCTGAACGCGTATCCAGGAAGTGAAGGTTAGAGTCGAGGAAGTTTTAGAAGACGGAACAGACCGCAGGGACTAACAGTGTTGAAATACTTTGGCTCCCACTAGCGGTCATGTATTGATACTGCGGTTCAATCAACCTTTGCTTATTAAAACGTGTCTTTTCCCTCATATACTCCCTGAACATTTCCATAAATTTTAAAGTGTTTATTTTATTTATATTGTTAAAAATATGCATTATCTCACACCTTTTCATTTAAGGTCAATTTTACCCGTTAGGTCAGATAATCTTAAGTGCAATATAAACATATTTATCATTTTATATTTATTTTCTATTAGAATTAATGGTTTTACATTTATGAGATGCTTTTATCTAAAGCAAAGAACCACATGCTTTTTTTTAACTTTTTAGACCCTATGTATTTCTCACACCTATGAAATTATGAATATAACCATATAATCGAGTCAAAAACACCAAATAAAACACTAAGAATAAAAACAATATGATGAAAACAAGGAAACATGTAGAGTAACATAGTTAATGTAGAAAATAATCACCAAAACTTAAGACCCAAACATTCAAGGGGTACTTTCCCTGTAGCCCACAGTCTATGTGGACTGTCCTGGTCTCACCACAGACTCTGATGACGGTTAAATGGTTTGAATCAGTGATTAAACAGAGGTGAAGCTGTTTGTGATTCAGTCTCTCCAATGCTAATAAGTCAGTTATTAACCCTTTGTCTAATCACTACTCAGACATAACTGCTCTGTTGGCTCCATGAAAGCCCCACGCAAAAATTAGAATAACAGTCTGGAGGGGCAATATCCTGCAGACAATCTGCTCTCTGGAGAACACACACACACACACACACTTTGGTCTGAGCACAGGTGGCTCAGTGAAAGCCAGTCAAAGGGAAGTCAGATGAATTGCACATGAAACAAGAGTGAATCATAAAGAGCTTTGTTTATAGGGTTTTGTTTTTACTGCTGGTGATTCACTGAAGGACGCTCAGCTGCATGTTAACCTGTGGTCCATGTTGACCTCTGGTCAAGTCCATCTTTTCCTTCTCCGACTCATCTTGTGCTGATGATTACCGTCAGGTGTTGTTTAAAGTGTAAATAACAAACACACAGATTCTGTATGGTTGTTGATAACAGATCCTTAAATACCCATGAAGTATTTGTACTGCTGCCATATAAATATATGTATATTTATAAAATATACATACTGTATATATATATATATACACACAATATACAATATGATCAAAAACAATGGCTATGAACGCTGAGATGTGACTACAGATGTTTTTAGTCAGTCAGTCAATTTTAGTCAGTAAAATACTAGAAAAAAAGTTTAGGAAATTGTAAATTACAAATTATTAAAACATGTAAATCATCTAAACACAAAAATCATTAAAATGAAAAATAAACACAATACAAATCACTACATTACAAAAAATAATAAAATTGACATAACAGTTAAAACTTAGTTACAAATCTAAACAGAATCATCAAAGAATTTTTAAAAGAAAATGTTAGCCAACAGATTAGTATTAGCTTTATGACTAAATTTCTGTTGGTGCAAAAATGCAGCCATAAAGCTAAACATTTACCAGTCACCAGAGATTTACAATACCTACAATTGGGCTTTAGCCAATGATCAGCTGCAAGCACTGATCACATTTAGCTGCTGCGATGTTCTGATGGGTCAAAAGGAAACGAACAAAACTTCAAAACAGTCAAAACACAAGATTTAATAAAATTCAGCCAGAAGACGGGGAGTCTGGGTATTCGATACAAACAACAGTGTCCAGATACTGCGAAGGTTGAGCTCTGTGACCCCTGAACCAGAAGAGTAAAAATGCCATCTGATCATCTGTGGAGTCGACGTGTGAAAAGACAAGGAGAAACAGGTAACAGCAAAGAGTGGAGGTCACCACAGCTTGCGTGACTTGGACTCGTTCCAAATCTGGAAACTCACTGGACTACGGCGTTTCTTAATGGGCTTCAAACTACAAACCAAGTGGAACTGATGACTTATGAAAGTAAATTATTATTTGTCATCGTGACACAGCACACCACTGCACACACAAGGAATTTGACCTCTGCCTTAAGTGCCTGGGCAACATTGCGTGGACAGTGCCATGCTCAGGGCACCTCAGTGGCAACTTGGCAGCTGGTGGACTAGAACCTGAACGAATTATAATTAAAGAAAATAAAAACACTAATTCAGACTAAAAAGAGGAGAATGAGGGAGAAGGGGAGTTCACAAATTATCAACGGGAGGAGTTAGAGCTGGATCGTGACCGATGGCGACGGCGTCCAGGTGAACGAGATCTACGGCGAACTGGAGAGCGTCGCCGTGGAGACCGAGATCTGAACCAGAGAGGAAACATGTCAGCTTATGTCAAATGTACAAGTACACACACAAACACATGGTCAAACAGCACAGCTGCTCCTCTTTAGGTTCACCTTCTACGCATCCTAGGAGGGGTGCGGCGCCACATTGGAGGAGGGGGAGGCATCCTGCGAGGAGGGGAGAGTCTGCGAGGAGGAGGACGCACTGTAGGCGTGAGGACCGCGGTGACTGTGATCTCCTGACCGTCAATCTGACCTGGGTATTCACAATTAAATACAAAAAATGACTGTGAAAACGTGGTTCCAATCGAGACCGTTGTATGAAAGTGTCATGTAAACAGCTAAATGTTAGCTTTACAAAAAGAGTAAAGTGAAAAACAGACAGTAGCTCAATGCCAGTGTAGGAACAGCTATAAGTTAGCATAGAGAGTTTATTTAAGCTAAACCTTAAATTTGTTGAGATCCTAATAAAAATTCCAAAAACAAAGCTGAGATAAAACATGAATAAACAACTGGTGGCCGTTTGACAAGAACTGTTCAAGGATTCCTGTCAAACTTAAAGTTAGCCAGGGGTAGCTCAGAATCTAGCTCATTAACAGCTACATAGTTAAAACGGATGATAAAATGACCCTGGAAATGACCGTCCACATCCACATACCTCCATCCATATGTTTGAGAGCTTTCTCGGCCTCATCGGCCGTCTCAAACTCAACGTAGGCGTAGCCTTTCGACAGGTGGGGGTGTGTGCGGTTCATGGGCATGTCGATCATCTTGATCTTTCCGTAGGTGGAGAAGATCTCCTGGATGTGTTCCTGCAAAGACAGAATTAGAGAGCATTCAGAAAACACTGACTGGTCAGTCTGGAGCCATGAGTCCAGCAGAGAACTTTGAGGACGTTCCAAAGAAGAACTGTCTCGACCTTGATGACGTTCCTGGTCAGTCGGCCCAGATACACTTTGGTGGGTTTTGGCGTGGGGCTTCTGCGCCGTCGCTCCCTCTCGTCTTTCTTTGTTGATTTCGACCTACGGTGACATGTACGTTCATTTCATCAGGTGATACATTTAAAAAAAATGTTTTGGAATTTTTTTTGGTTAATCTTTACCAATCATTCACATACGACTAGCAAATACAATGGGCAAATGGCTAACTTCAGGCAATAACACTAACTCATTACTTGGACTAACAATTTAAATAATACCTGTGAAATAAAAATATCAATCAGCAGTTAAATAAAAACAAAATTTAATATCTAAATCGTTTTCATCATTGTTACATGTTTAACCTAACCTATGATTACCATAGTTCCAATTGTTAGTTTCTTCCTACAAGTTGATTTCGGCAAACTTTTAACCAACTCCAAAAAATTTTTTTAAGTAGTTTTACCAAATGTGTGTTTATGACCACACTGACAAGTTTCCTAGTTCATTGGTAAAATGGCACCTTTCAACACATTAGTCGATAGATTCCTTACTTTGAGCGTGAGCGCCTTCTGTTATTATGGCGCTGGCGGGTAGGGCTTGGGGAGGAAGATGAGGAGGAGGATGATGAGGAGCGGGAACTAGATGATCCAGAGTGACTGGATGAACCAGAGCTTGAGCCGCTTGAAGACCCAGAACTAGAGCCTGAGCTGCTACTGGAGCTCGAGCTAGATCTGTAGAATGACACACCAATAAGAAATGTTAGTTGGCTCTAAACCAAATTAAACATTATAATCGTTTTTAGAAATCAACCTCTGACCTGCTGCTCCCAGTGGAAGCACTACGCCGTGTACGATTCTTGTCACGACCCCGATCTTTGTCGCCACCATCTTTAGTGGCTCCTGACTTCTCTTTACCTCGCTGTTTACTCTTGTCGTCCTCTTTCCTCTTTGTTGGAGAAGGTGCCCTTATAAGACAATAAATGACCACAAAGCAGTAAGCAGAAATGAAGAATTATTCATTCATTCGATGCTGTTTGTAATTAATGCCAGATATCAAACAAATATTAGAGAAGTCAGAAGAAAAAAAAACGCAATGAAAAGGATCTTACTATTTTTTTGGTATATATAGTTATAAGTTTCAAACTGACTCTATCATAAACGAAAGTTAGGACAACCAGAGAAACCAATTCAAAACCCAGAGTTAACTGTGTTCATATTGTATATTATCGTATTGACCGAGAATTGAAGTCCACATAAGCTGAAAAACTGCCTGCCGTTTGTAGTTTACTATAGGACAACCACGTATTGACCAAGCGGTGCCCGTAGAAACAAGCAAACACGTTTTACACAATATATTCATAACTTCAGAAAAATCGAAAGATCGTTTCTATTTTGCATAGCCCCGTGCGCGGTCCTTTGATAATCATTCGAAACAGAATAATAAGAAAAAACAATCACCATTAGCGGATAGCCTAAGACGACGTTAGCATTAGCTAATGAGCAAATGGCCATTTCTTTATTCTTCTTTTTGGTATATTTTGTCACACTTTCCCCTTCCTTCGTATTTTAAAACAGTGTATTTAATGCATTTGTTTTTGTTAACATTTGCGTTATTTGATCACAAGCCCAAAGGAGTAGTGTATTATTACCAGAAAATAACACATTTACATACATGTTTCTGCCTGGTTGCTACCGCTGCAGTCGCAATTCAATGACGAAAGCCGGTCTTAGGTTTAAACCAATTATAGCGCTTTGCGTTTGCAGACCGACGTACGACGGGATGTGGCGGAACTTTACGCTCTCACTTGTATCTGTCAGGCGAATTTCCATCATCACCGCTGTGTTCGAGAAGCGATTATGTTTTCAGGGTTGTTACCTCGTTATATCTACTCAAACAGATCACGTACAGGTAAGTAGTACAAACAAACTTAGGCTTACAACTTATGAAGCCCCTTTACTGGTTAAGGTCGGTGCTATGACGTAAATGCAGGCGGAGCTGCTTGCGGCAAAACACCTAAAAGACGAAACTGAGGGCATACATAAGAAGTGACACTCTAAGGCAGGCAAGGACGACGCAAGCGTGCTTAGGGAAGACTGAAATACCGTATACGAATATGAATATATATGAAATACCATAAAAAGACACCGATGTCAAAGGACAAGATTAATGCAGATTCTGATTTCAATTCGTGTTTTTTAAGGAACTGGAGCCTGTCATTGAAGCGATGTCACCCACGGGTGATACAGAGTCAGAAGGCTCCAGGAGACCTGCAGGAAATATTAGAACCCTCACACTGACCGTCTTCTGTGCAGCTATTGGAGGCACCTTCCAATACGGTTACAACATCTCTATCATCAACGCTCCTACCAGCTACATCCAGGCCTTTATCAATGATACCTACGCGCAGCGATCGGGTACCGGTCTGCACGTCAACCAAGTGACTCTTATATGGACTCTGACAGTCTCGGCTTTTGCACTGGGAGGTTTGGTTGGTGCGCTGCTGGCCGGGCCAATGGCAGTCCACCTGGGGAGGAAAAAGTCTCTGCTGGTTAATAATGTCTTCTTGTTTGTTGCTGCTGTACTTGTACTGACCTGCAAGCTGGCACAGTCCTTTGAGATGATCATCGTAGCTCGACTCCTGGTGGGGATAAACTCAGGTGTCAGCATGAACATCCAACCGATGTATTTTGGGGAGAGTGCCCCCAAACACCTCAGAGGAGCTGTGGCCTTTTCCTCGGCTGTTTTCACCGCATTTGGGATTTTTCTTGGCCAGGTTGTAGGACTCACAGAAGTGCTGGGCTCAGAGCCTCTCTGGACCTACTTACTTGCAAGTAATGCCTTGCCAGCACTCTTCCAGTTGCTTACTCTTCCTTGGTTTCCAGAAAGTCCCAGATACCTGCTGATTGACTGTGGAGACAAAGAGGCCTGTCTTAAAGCATTGACGAGATTCCGTGGAGGGGAGACTCCAGCTTCAGAACTAGAGGAGATGCTTCAAGAACAACAGCAGCAAGTGATAAAATCCAATGGTGATTCAATGACACTTATTTCCTTATTTAAAGATGCCAGTCTCAGACCTCAGCTGAGAACCATCATAGCCGCCAGTAGCGCCATGATGCTTTGTGGCAACGACTCCATCTACTTCTACGCCTATTACATCTTTGTTGAAGCACGTATCCCCCTGAACAAAATCCAGTATGCAACCATCGGCACTGGGGCGTCTGAACTGACTGCTTCCATACTGAGTAATATTCTGATTGAGCGTGTGGGACGCAGGTACCTCCTCATTGGGGGGTACAGTCTAATGACTTGTTGGATTATAGTCTTCACCATCGCCCTGAACCTCCGCAGCCGTGGGTTTGATGGGATGGCCGACCTCAGCATGGCCTGTGTGTATGCCTACATTCTCAGCTTTGGTTTGGGTCCTGCTGGGGTCACAGGAATTCTACCTGCAGAAATATTTGACCAGGCAGCTCGACCAGTGGCCTATATGGTTGCTGGTTCTTTTATGTGGATCAGCCTGTTTTTGGTAGGAATGTTGTTCCCCTTCATCATCAAGGGTCTGGGCGACTTCTGCTTTATTCCTTTCTTGTTTGTCTGTCTGTTGTCTGCTATCTTCCAGGGGCTGACCCTGCCAGAGACTAAAGGCAAGACTATTGCTGAAATTACTGCAGACTATCAGATAAAGAGACAAAATAAGAGACGTCAACAGCAGGAGGCAGTGGAGGGCTAAACGTTTGCTCCATCACCCTCTTTCCCCTGCTGCCGACCTAACGGAGAGCAAAGTTAAGAGTTTTAGGAATCACACTGTGTAAACTAAAGTAATTACTTTGGTGTTTGCATGGTCGTTGAGAACATGCAAACACCCTATAGGAAGACCAGGAATACCTCACATGTAATTGCCTTCAGGCGTAAAGTGTGTTTCCAATCTCAAGGACGTGATCCAGACAATCATATAAATGAAAAATGCAAATGAAAAAACTCACTGAAAAGCTCTGAAGGTGGTCTCTGGGGTCATAGATATATACCAATACAATACATACCAATCGGCTTGTCAAAGGAAGAAACCAACTGTTGTCAAATGCACTTTATTCAAATGTCTTATGTTGGTGAAAACTGCAGCCTCAGGTTCTACCTCAGATCTCAGCGTCTGCAGTGCAGCAAAGTATCCACCTGAGGTCACCAAAGTCTTTTTAATTATCATTGCGTCCTCATTAAGAAGAAAATGTCAGAAGGACTATTTATTTTTTACAAATGGAAGCAAATCGCAATTTTAATTGCAGGGAAAATTCTGTCTAGATGCTGGCTCTTGTATTTATGAAAACCTCTACATATAGCATGATTAAAAAAAACTATAGTATTTAATTATATTTTAATGCATCTTATTTGCACGGTCTATGCCACTGTCTAATTCTGTAATGTACTGTAAAATGGTGGTCTAGCAGGAAGATGACTGTAAAATGTATTCATTTATTAAACACCAACACTGTATATGCATCAGCAAAACATCCTGAAATGTTTTTGTGCCACTGAGTCTTATTTGAACACTGCAGACACCGTCATGTAGATAATCAGCTCAGGTCGTCCTGGCTGCTGCATAAAGGAGGAGGTATTGGTAGAAGAATAACAACGTACTGTTTTGGTGGGCTGTTGCTGAAACAAAGGCTGAAAATATTTGTGACGAGGGGAATGTGATGAATCAAATCCATGTCTTTGACTAGACAGCTAGAACAGCGTTCTGAAAGTAGAGTAGAGATACAAATTCATACTTTACTTTAGAGACGCAATAAACCGTCATCGTCGAGGGAAGAAAATACATCAAGAAATAAATATTTCAATATAAATACAAATACATCTGGGCCTCAACATTGTTTACTTGTCTGCTCGTCTCTTATATTTAATAAAGTCACTTTATATATAGCACGGCCCCATTACATGAGACACATCCCATGGTATTAATTAAATCTTCTCTCTTAATGTCATTAGAGCCATTTCCATTTCATGTAATCTCGTTAATCCTGTTGATACAAAGAGATAACAAAATAACCACTGGTGTTAGCTAATCTTCAAAGCTTCCAATGTGGTTGCAGCGGAGGACAGAGGTAAAGACGAGTGTGAAGGCTGCTTATCTCAAAGTCATTACATCTCACCTCTGTCACTGGAAGTTGGTGAAAGCATCAGAAATAACTCCAAAAAACAACTAACTAACACACCAAAAAAATGACTAAAAGAGATAAGAGCTGGCCAAATATAACCAGACACTCCCCAGTATAGATTAAAGTTTCTAAAACAAATGGTAACAGTTAAAACAGTTCAACTAAAAAATATAACCCCTAAACGTAGGGCCAAGGGTCACTTAAAAAATGTCCTTAAAGCTCGATAATCCAGTTACTACTAAACCAGTTTGAACTTGTCATTTGTCTCCTGTCCTGTTGTTGGCGCCTCAGTGTGTTTCAGTCTTTGGTGTATTTTTGGAAAAACCTCTTTGAGGACTATTGACTTTTAAAAGGAACTGACAATAAAGGAGTGTGTGATTGTGTGTGTGTTTTTCACTCTGTCTCTGAGTGTTTGCATCTTCTTACCCAGAAGTGCAGGTTTCCTCTGGCAACCAGAAGAGCAGAGCAGAAACGCTGCAGAGATTTAATTGCACTTTCTGCTGGTTTCTATGAAAACCAGCCACTAAACTGAGCTGTAACATAATTACAATTAGTGATTTTATGATTTCAAATCACTGTGAGGAGGAAGGTGTATGATAATTTAGCTGGAATAATAAAGTTGTGACCGAGAGGTATCAGTATACATGGGGCATTATCTGACCCGAATATGAAAATAGCTAACCGCTAGCCAATTGTTACCAGACACCACTTAAGCTAGATTACTGCTACAAAAAAGAATGGTAGTGGTCTGACAGTTAGTGAGCTAATAAATAATGTGTTAGCTATTAACAATATAGTTATGAATTTCAAGAGATAAACATGACCAAAAAGGAATCAAAACATACATACAAACATTTTAAAACAAATTAAAATCGAAAGAAACCTGCCCTCTCCCAAAAAGTCTACTTGATAATTAAGCACTAACAACAACAAGTAACTCTTTAATCTCTGGTGCTTCATATTTCTGTTGTTAGGATACACCAGAACCAGGACACAAGTCATTTTATTTCTGTAATAAAAATCGGTACTAAAACCCTGATGTGTTAATTCCATGGACATGTGTTTTTTTCTCTCAGTTCTACCACAGTCTCCATGTTACTCTTGACAACAGAAGACCATGATGATGCATTTATCAAGCTGACAGTGGGTCACAGTGAACCTTTTATGGAGCCTCATCAACACCATCATTGACTCTGACAAAGGCCAAATCTGCCCCCACCAGCATAGAGATTAGTGTTTGACTTTTAGTCGTGTTGGGACCATATGACATATCTGAGTAGGTGCAAAACTGAACTATTGAACCACAATTCAAATAATTATTTAAAGCATACGATGACTTAAAATCATTCCGTTATTCTTATTTTATGTAATGTTAATGTTAGTGTGTTGTTTAATGTCAGTGCTTACATTCTGCAGTCTTCTCAGAACACACTAGAGAACAGTGAAAACGCCCTCTGCTGGACGCTAACTCAAAATAACAATAAACATAATAACTAATAATCTGCGTGCCTCCAATAAAATAATGAATAACCTTGGTGACTACTAGGAACATGTTAAATAAATAGGCAAAATAAAAATAAATAAAATGAAAAATACTGAATAAAACTTGAAGGTTTTTTTGTAAAAAAAAAAAAACCCAAAAACCTTAGACTGCTCATTATTACTGTGGTAAACTGTGGTCTGAGTGTCATGAACCACCTTCCCTCCTACACCAGTGGACACAGGCAAAATGACTGATTTCGATCAGAACCACCAGGTGTTGTTGATCACCTTGATTAGACTTCAGTGGCTAAAATCCATGGCATGGATTTTTCTAACTGAGAGCAACTTACTAAATGAGGCAGCAGTGGACCTACGACTCTTCTGCCCCCCTTCAGGTCAAACATGAACGGGTTTTCTCTAGAGGCCGACTGAGAGAGAGCTCCACAAACTTGAATTTAGATGTAGCTTTTATAAGAGAAGGCTGAATTCTTCCTATTGTTCCCATGGCAGCCATGTTTTCGGAGGGAGTGAACATTTGAGCTGCAATTACTTTGTTTGTGTCTCTGATGAAACATACTACGTGTTTAAAACAATGTCAGCTCTCACTTTACTATGGTCTCGCTTTGTTTTTTTCTCTTTAGAGTCAGGATGGAAATTGTGGTTATTTGGGAGGACAAACAACATCTGGATGTATTTCACTTCCTGACCAACACATATATGATGTGTGATTTGTATACAAAAGCCTGTTTAGAGCCAGCCGCACAAAAACAACCATTATAAATGCAATACCATGCAGACAAGGGTGTGTATTGGACAGAATCCGGCGACATGATACGTATCAAGATGAAGGAAATGAAAATAAGTGTTGTCAGTTTGTATAAAATATAAAAATAAAGCTTGAAGGAGAACTGACCTTTGTATCCATGCAGGGCCTGTGAAACACAAGATACAAGTGCATACATTAAATACTAAGAGAAGGAGAACCAAGGGAGAGCAGACCTTCATCAACATCTCTTCATGGTGCTGACATGTGTGTCTGACCACCACATCAGTTCACATCACTGATGGAAGTTAGGGAGAAAATGAACTAATTTATCCAGGGAATTGGTTTCCTGGATTTATCAATGTGTCACGAGAACAGATGCTGAAGCAAATTTAACAAAAACATCAACACACACGGGACACGACACCTGCTTTACAACCAGCGGGAGCGCAGCAACACAGAAAACACCGGTCTCCTCAATCCTAATCTGAGGGATTTCACTACATCATCACACACTGATGGAGAAAAACCACTTCATCTCTTCTCTCAGTGTATTTAACAGAGAACGGGGCTCATTTCCCACATAATGAAACACGGCAGCAGCAGCAGCAGCAGCAACAACAGCAGCAGCAGCAGCAACCAGAACAGCAGCAGCAACAGCAGCAGGAACAGCAGCAGCAGTAACAGCAGCGGTAACAGCAGCAGCAGCACCAGCAGCAGCAGCAGTAACAACAGCAGCAGTAACAGCATCAGCAGTAACAGCAGCAGTAGTAACAGCCGCCGCAGTAACAGCAGCAGGAACAGCAGCAGTAACAGTAACAACAGCAGCAGTAACAACAGCAGCAGCAACAACAGCAGCAGCACCACCAGCAGCAGCAGCAGCAACAACAGCAGCAGTAACAACAGCAGCAACAGTAACAGCAGCAGTAACCGCAGCAGTAACAGCAGCAGGAGCAGCAGCAGCACCCACAGCAGCAGCAGCAGTAACCGCAGCAGTAACAGCAGCAGCCGCAACAGCAGCAGTAACAGCATCAGCAGTAACAGCAGCAGTAGCAGCAGTAACAGCAGCATCAACAGCATCAGTAGCAGCAGTAACAGCAGCAACAGAAACAGCAGCAGCAACAGCAGCAGCAGTAGCAGCAGCAGTAGCAGCAGCAACAGCAGCAGTAACAACAGCAGCGGCAGGAACAGCAGCAGCAGCAGCCGCAGGAACAGCAGCAGCAGCAGCCGCAGGAACAGCAGCAGCAGTAACACCAGCAGCAGTAACAGCAGCGGTAACAGCAGCAGCAGCAGTAACACTAACAGCAGCAGTAGCAGCAGGAACAGCAGCAGTAACAGTAACAGCAGCAGGAACAGCAGCAGCAGTAACACCAGCAGTAACAACAGCAGCAACAGTAACAGCAGCAGTAACAGTAACAGCAGCAGTAACAGCATCAGCAGTAACAGCAGCAGTAGCAGCAGCAGCAGTAACACTAACAGCAGCAGTAGCAGCAGTAACAGCAGCAGAAGTAACAGCAGCAGTAACAGCATCAGCAGTAACAGCAGCAGGAACAGCAGCAGTAACAGTAACAGCAGCAGGAACAGCAGCAGTAACAGTAACAACAGCAGCAGTAACAACAGCAGCAACAGTAACAGCAGCAGTAACCGCAGCAGTAACAGCACCAGCAGCAGTAGCAGCAGCAACAGCAGCAGGAACAGCAGCAGCAGGAACAGCAGCAGCAGTAACAGCAGCAACAGAAACAGCAGCAGCAACAGCAGCAGGAACAGCAGCAGTAACAGCAGTAACAGCAGCAGTAACAGTAACAGCAGCAGGAACAGCAGCAGTAACAGCATCAGCAGTAACAGCAGCAGTAACGGGAGCAGCAGCAACAGCAGCAGTAACAACAGCAGCAACAGTAACAGCAGCAGTAACCGCAGCAGTAACAGCACCAGCAGCAGTAGCAGCAGTAACAGCAGCAGCGGCAGCAGCAGCAGCAGCTGCCACATTGTTCATATCTGCCTCTTAGCCACACGTTTTTAGTAGGTATATCCGACCAATATTATCAGCCTGATATTAGCATAATTAGGTCATATCTGTAAAAATCGTTATTAGTTGTTCCTCTGGTAATGAAAAG